GAAGCTCTACGTCCTACAAGCTGGAAGCTCTACAGCCTACAAGCTGGAAGCTCTACGTCTACAAGCTGGACGCTCCACGTCTACAAGCTGGAAGTTCTATGTCTACAAGCTGGAAGCTCCACGTCTACAAGCTGGAAGTTCTACGTCTACAAGCTGGAAGCTCCACGCCTACAAGCTGGAAGCTCCACATCCTACAAGCTGAAGCTCCACGTCTACAAGCTGAAGCTCTACGTCCTTCAAGCTGAAGCTCTACGTCTACAAGCTGGAAGCTCCACATCTACAAGCTGAAGCTCTACGTCCTACAAGCTGAAGCTCCACATCTACAAGCTGGAAGCTCCACATCTACAAGCTGGAAGCTCCACATCTACAAGCTGAAGCTCTACGTCCTACAAGCTGAAGCTCTACATCTACAAGCTGGAAGCTCCACGTCTTACAAGCTGAAGCTCTATGTCCTACAAGCTGAAGCTCCACATCCTACAAGCTGAAGCTCTACATCCTACAAGCTGAAGCTCCACATCCTACAAGCTGAAGCTCCACATCCTACAAGCTGAAGCTCCACGTCCTACAAGCTGAAGCTCCACGTCCTACAAGCTGGAAGCTCCACGTCCTACAAGCTGAAGCTCCACATCCTACAAGCTGAAGCTCCACGTCTACAAGCTGAAGCTCTACGTCCTTCAAGCTGAAGCTCTACGTCTACAAGCTGGAAGCTCTACGTCCTACAAGCTGAAGCTCTACGTCCTACAAGCTGAAGCTCTACATCCTACAAGCTGAAGCTCCACGTCCTACAAGCTGAAGCTCCACGTCCTACAAGCTGAAGCTCTACGTCCTACAAGCTGGAAGCTCCACGTCCTACAAGCTGAAGCTTTACATCCTACAAGCTGAAGCTCCACGTCCTACAAGCTGAAGCTCCACGTCCTACAAGCTGAAGCTCCACGTCCTACAAGCTGAAGCTCCACGTCCTACAAGCTGAAGCTCCACGTCCTACAAGCTGAAGCTCCACGTCCTACAAGCTGAAGCTCCACGTCCTACAAGCTGAAGCTCTACGTCCTACAAGCTGAAGCTCCACGTCCTACAAGCTGAAGCTCTACGTCTACAAGCTGAAGCTCTACATCCTACAAGCTGAAGCTCTACGTCCTACAAGCTGAAGCTCCACGTCCTACAAGCTGAAGCTCTACGTCCTACAAGCTGGAAGCTCCACGTCCTACAAGCTGAAGCTCTACGTCTACAAGCTGAAGCGCCACGTCCTACAAGCTGAAGCTCTACATCCTACAAGCTGAAGCTCCACGTCCTACAAGCTGAAGCTCTACGTCCTACAAGCTGGAAGCTCCACGTCCTACAAGCTGAAGCTCTACGTCTACAAGCTGAAGCGCCACGTCCTACAAGCTGAAGCTCTACATCCTACAAGCTGAAGCTCCACGTCCTACAAGCTGAAGCTTTACATCCTACAAGCTGAAGCTCCACGTTCTACAAGCTGAAGCTCCACGTCTACAAGCTGGAAGCTCCACATCCTACAAGCTGAAGCTCTACGTCCTACAAGCTGGAAGCTCTACATCCTACAAGCTGGAAGCTCTACGTCTACAAGCTGGACGCTCCACGTCTACAAGCTGGAAGTTCTACGTCTACAAGCTGGAAGCTCCACGTCTACAAGCTGGAAGTTCTACGTCTACAAGCTGGAAGCTCCACGTCTACAAGCTGGAAGCTCCACGTCTACAAGCTGGAAGCTCCACGTCTACAAGCTGTAAGCTCCACGTCTACAAGCTGGAAGCTCCACATCTACAAGCTGAAGCTCCACGTCCTACAAGCTGAAGCTCCACGTCCTACAAGCTGGAAGCTCCACGTCCTACAAGCTGGAAGCTCCACATCCTACAAGCTGGAAGCTCCACATCTTACAAGCTGGAAGCTCCACGTCCTACAAGCTGTAAGCTCCACATCTACAAGCTGAAGCTCCACGTCCTACAAGCTGGAAGCTCCACGTCCTACAAGCTGAAGCTCTACATCCTACAAGCTGAAGCGCCACGTCCTACAAGCTGAAGCTTTACATCCTACAAGCTGAAGCTCCACGTCCTACAAGCTGAAGCTCCACGTTCTACAAGCTGAAGCTCCACGTCCTACAAGCTGGAAGCTCCACATCCTACAAGCTGAAGCTCTACGTCCTACAAGCTGGAAGCTCTACAGCCTACAAGCTGGAAGCTCTGCGTCTACAAGCTGGACGCTCCACGTCTACAAGCTGGAAGTTCTATGTCTACAAGCTGGAAGCTCCACGTCTACAAGCTGGAAGTTCTACGTCTACAAGCTGGAAGCTCCACGCCTACAAGCTGGAAGCTCCACATCCTACAAGCTGAAGCTCCACGTCTACAAGCTGAAGCTCTACGTCCTTCAAGCTGAAGCTCTACGTCTACAAGCTGGAAGCTCCACATCTACAAGCTGGAAGCTCCACATCTACAAGCTGAAGCTCTACGTCCTACAAGCTGAAGCTCCACATCTACAAGCTGGAAGCTCCACATCTACAAGCTGGAAGCTCCACATCTACAAGCTGAAGCTCTACGTCCTACAAGCTGAAGCTCTACATCTACAAGCTGGAAGCTCCACGTCTTACAAGCTGAAGCTCTACGTCCTACAAGCTGAAGCTCCACATCCTACAAGCTGAAGCTCTACATCCTACAAGCTGAAGCTCCACATCCTACAAGCTGAAGCTCCACATCCTACAAGCTGAAGCTCCACGTCCTACAAGCTGAAGCTCCACGTCCTACAAGCTGGAAGCTCCACGTCCTACAAGCTGAAGCTCCACATCCTACAAGCTGGAAGCTCCACGTCCTACAAGCTGAAGCTCCACATCCTACAAGCTGAAGCTCCACGTCTACAAGCTGAAGCTCTACGTCCTTCAAGCTGAAGCTCTACGTCTACAAGCTGGAAGCTCTACGTCCTACAAGCTGAAGCTCTACGTCCTACAAGCTGAAGCTCTACATCCTACAAGCTGAAGCTCCACGTCCTACAAGCTGAAGCTCCACGTCCTACAAGCTGAAGCTCTACGTCCTACAAGCTGGAAGCTCCACGTCCTACAAGCTGAAGCTTTACATCCTACAAGCTGAAGCTCCACGTCCTACAAGCTGAAGCTCCACGTCCTACAAGCTGAAGCTCCACGTCCTACAAGCTGAAGCTCCACGTCCTACAAGCTGAAGCTCCACGTCCTACAAGCTGAAGCTCCACGTCCTACAAGCTGAAGCTCTACGTCCTACAAGCTGAAGCTCCACGTCCTACAAGCTGAAGCTCTACGTCTACAAGCTGAAGCTCTACATCCTACAAGCTGAAGCTCTACGTCCTACAAGCTGAAGCTCCACGTCCTACAAGTTGAAGCTCTACGTCCTACAAGCTGGAAGCTCCACGTCCTACAAGCTGAAGCTCTACGTCTACAAGCTGAAGCGCCACGTCCTACAAGCTGAAGCTCTACATCCTACAAGCTGAAGCTCCACGTCCTACAAGCTGAAGCTCTACGTCCTACAAGCTGGAAGCTCCACGTCCTACAAGCTGAAGCTCTACGTCTACAAGCTGAAGCGCCACGTCCTACAAGCTGAAGCTCTACATCCTACAAGCTGAAGCTCCACGTCCTACAAGCTGAAGCTTTACATCCTACAAGCTGAAGCTCCACGTTCTACAAGCTGAAGCTCCACGTCTACAAGCTGGAAGCTCCACATCCTACAAGCTGAAGCTCTACGTCCTACAAGCTGGAAGCTCTACATCCTACAAGCTGGAAGCTCTACGTCTACAAGCTGGACGCTCCACGTCTACAAGCTGGAAGCTCTACAGGCATCAACACGTGGCCGGGACCCGAGTTAGGGTCAGACCCTTTGTAGCTGTAACTCCTCCGTATAGGGCAGTTAGCTGTGTGGTCACCACCCAAGGGTGTATCTGGTAAAGGGGCAATTACTCCTTTGTGTTAACGCGTTGATGTTATAATAAATGTGTTGCCTCTAAAGAGAAACATCTGCGACTCAGTTGGACTCACGACACATTTATTCAGTTCCAACATACGGGGTAACTTCTCCTTAACTGCATAACAACTTAAGGTGGTGACCACCCGGCTAACTACACTACAACGTAACTGGTGTAGTTAGCCTGGTGGTTACCACCCGGCTAAGTTACTAGTTACAGCGTAACTGCTACTATGGACGGGGACCAACAGCTTCGGCCCGCGTCTACTTGTTGGAGACTCGTTGAATGGAGAACGTAGACTAAGGGTTTCTTCCAGGATGAACAACAACCTGGTCCCTATCGTGACCCGGCTTGTATTCTCTGTGGCGTGGCCGACTCCGCCCTTGGCCACATCCACCTTCCAGAATCCTCGGGAAGGATCTGGGTCCCAATCACATGACCACCCCCTAGCCCCCACTTGAGGCCCCCTTTGTCAACTTAACCAGTCACGTGTCCTCCCGGGTCAACCAGAGTGCCATGGCCTCACACAACCTCATCCTTTGGTCGGCACCCACACACCCTGTCCTGTAAGGCCGGCACTGCACTTAAAGCGTGGTGCCATCCAGCGCTATTATTCAGCGCACACCGTGCCCGGTACTACACCCACAACATTGTGGTATCCGGCGATGTTGCTACACTGCACGCTGTGCCCTTCTAGGGCCGGTACTGCCCCCACAGCATGTTGACATCCAGCGATGTCACTACACATATATGGGGCTCCCACATGGATATGGTAGTGCAGAACATTGATGATTGTACTGCCTTGATGTGTCCTCATGAGGTTGAATCTGGGTCCATAGTTGGGTCTTTGTTAACCTGCTGCCTGTTGGGACCGTGACATTTTCTCCACTCTTTGAGTTGGTCGCCCAAATGACAATGTGGCCACACGTTCATTTCTCTGTACCTGGGTGGTCTGCATAAGGCCGAGAGGTGTTGTACGTGCAATGCTGCATACCACCTCTGTTTTGTGTTGTTGTGAACTCCTATGGAGCATCCCGCTCTTCTTTGGCTTCACGTCCGTGTGGTTCCAGGAGTCCATAGAGGAGATGGGCCTCTACGCTGACCCAGTCGAGGACCGTCGCGCGCAGGACGGATCGGTGGGTAACTTTCGGCAGCACAAGTTACACAGACTTACACACACACTCCACAGCCACACGTACACACAGACTCGTACACACGTACACACAGACTCGTACACTTGTGCACACAGACTCCTACACATGTACACACAGACTCCTACACACGAACACACAGACTCCTATACGTAGATATGCCTCCCCATCAACAGGAGGCAAGATTGGTGGTGAGGTTGTGTGAGCATCAGTGGTGGGATACAGACAAGGCCGATGAGTCTATGACCTCCTGTCATAGGTGGTAGCTAAAGTGGCCCCTCGGGATAGTCATCCTGTTCGGTGACTTTAATGTCCGAGTGGGTCATGACGCAGAAACCTGCAGTGTCTTTCCTGTTTGTATCAATGTATGTTGAACCTCTTTTGCACCGTACATAGCCAACCGTGATAATCAGAGGTGCGGGGAAAGGACAACAAACTGAACACAAAAAGCAACGCAGTGTGTGATGATGTTGTAGTGTCATACTCCTGTGGTGTGTCTGTCAGGGCGCCCATCGCATGGAGGATGACGTGGAGAAGACGCTGGTGGCATTTGAGCGCACGGGAAAGATCCCGTCTAGTGTCATGGAGGCGAGGTGAGTCCGTGGTCACCCATTCCTGTCAGGGCTCCATATGGCAACATGGTGGCACAATAGTGACACTCATGCCTTGGATTCGATTGCTAACTTGAGCACCTCTCTGTGTGGAGTTTGTATGTTCTCTCTCTCTTGCATGGGTTTCCTACAGGTTTTCCAGTTTCTTCCTAGAGTAAAAAAGAAACATAATCTAACTGGAATTGGCCAATCGTCTCAATTCAGAAAACTCACTGTCCAATTATTCGATTGGGATTTCACATTGCAAAAAAATGTGGCAGGACCCTCCTGAAATAGTCTTCAGATTTAGTGAAGCTTGGATGGGTAAATACGTGTAATAAATTAATATCAGGAGTAATAATAATACCAACCCTACAAAAAGTGTCTTCTGGAAAGCAAAATGTGCAATTGTGACCATAGGATTTGTACTCCTAGCACACTCTGTTTCGTCATCACACTGTCGTTTCATGCACACAGCCACCTTTTAGACCAAGCAGTAACAACTCTGGCTGCATTTTAAACCTCGGCAGGAGAGTGAGACAACTGTGGATCGGTTTAATCTTTTAAATATAACAATAATCTTTGTTCGAAATCATCGCAAACACTTTTGTTTTTCGAGACAATATCATTTCTGCTTAATTTGATCGTGAGAATTGTTTATCAAATTACCGGTGAGTTGAAACAATATATAATTGTCTTCTTGGTTCTTTCGGTAAAGTCACGCAGAAGGGAAATAATAAAATAAGGTCTGTCGGGAAGACAGACAGACGCTGTCTTCCCGACAGACCTGTTCTTCACCTGAGGACGGCTGCTTGCGTTGTGGCCGAAACGTCGTGAGAATAATTTTATTATGTTTTATTTTTATTATTTTATTATTTCCCTTTTACGTGACTTTACCGAAAGAACCAAGAAGATGAATCCCTGCAGTCACGAAAGCTTTAAATCGAAATATATAATTGGTCCATTAATTGCTTGCACACGTGATTGTTTAACCAGTTTGGCTGTGTCAGATGGTCGAGGGATTCATACCACTATTCTGGCAAATCGCCCGATGATGCTGGATGTAATTACCAGCGAAACAACGTCGTACTCAAAATTGTAAATGTTGTGGATCCACTCTTCAACACACCGGTGGGTTAAAGTAGTGAACTATTTGTCTTTTGTCAACGTGATACATTTTTTACTGATTGGCCGTGTCGGGTGGTGGAGGGTTGCGACACATTTATAAATAACGCAATCTAACCCAAAAACCTTTATTATGAATAATATTGGTCGCGAAAGCCTACGTGTGATGAGTTCTGTTTTCTGTAATGTGATGATGAGCGCTGTGTGATGCGAGACGTAATGAGTGCTGTGTTCTACTTACTCTGTGTTAAGTTCTTTGCTGTATTACACGTTGTCTCGGTTCTGCCAGAGCGATGTTTCACACAGTTTTTTCACTTTACATCACTATCATGTCCCACTTGGGTTAGCAATATCAAATTCTCTCTCTCAAGCATTGTGCTTACAAGAGCACCCTGTCTGTCTCATATCAATGTTCTTCATTTTGTTTCCAGCATTTTCAGGAGGCCATATTTCCAGATGCGCTTCTTGCCAGCGCTGCTGAAAACGCGCCGTGTAAGTTGAGCCGTTGCGTCCGGAGGTCCGTCGCGACTTTGTTGGACTCGTTTCTGGTGAGGCTGGGAAAGAAGGTTGGTCTTGTGGCTCGATGTTCGTGGGGCGCCTGACCAATGTGCTTCTGTTCCCGAGTTCCATCGTCCCTGTGACTGCAGGCCAGGGGCGGGGGATTCTAAGGCTCGCATGCCGGGTACGGCCTATGACTTTGTTTGTATGTTGAACTTCTTTGGCACCTTCTTGGTTCTTTCGGTAAAGTCACGTAGAATGAAAATAATAAAATAATAAAATAAAACATTATAAGATAATTCTCACAACGTTTCGACAGACCTGGTCTTCACCTGAGGATGGCTGCTTGCGTTGTGGCCGAAACGTCGTGAAAATGATCTTATAATGTTTTATTTTATTATTTTATTATTTCCATTCTACGTGACTTTACCGAAAGAACCAAGAAGATGAATCCCTGCAGTCACGAAAGCTTTAAATCGAAATTCTTTGGCATCGTACGTTGCGAGCCGTGCTAATCGGTGGTGCAGGGGAAGCACAACAAACTAAACACAACAAGCAGTTTTAAAGAAATTAGTTTTCAGTCTAATTATAATCTGTAACGATGAAAAAACCAATCGCAACAAGAACATTTAGATGACCCCATTTCTCAACTGTTTTGAGTTAGGGGTGTGATTAACAAATTGGCCACACATTCAACTATTTTGCAATGGTGGTCCAGATAAGGAAGATAGCTTTTGTACATTGCAATGCACGTCTTTGCCAATGGCGACATGCTTCCTATCACTTCAAAACAGCTGTAAATTAAGCACCTTAACCATCTGTCCACTTTGGAATTGTGACCCGATGTTGACCCACAGTCTGCTGAGACGGAGCAAAGTTGGTGTCGTGTTGGATTATTATTCATGGCGTTTCTTCTGTATGCTGCCGTCACAGCTTCCTGATGACCCAGATGTTCGCATGGTCTTCATCGAGGCCATGAGGAGGTGCGGTCCATCGCGAACATTTACTACATAGACTCCCTTGTCTGCTGATACATCTGAACCGAGCCAGGCTAATAGCATGGCTAATGGCATGCACGTTATTTGTGATGCCGAGTCAGTCCACTTAAGATGCAGGATGACCATGTCACCTACATGCCTGTCAACTCATTCATGGAGTTTTTACACACCCCGAACTAGGGAGTCATTTGAGGCCGAGTCGAGTTAGGGGAGGCCCCGGATCGGTTCAGATATTCATCACTGATGGTGGCCGTGAGCGGGAATCGAACCCGGCTCGCTGGGTTTGTAGCACAGCACACTAACCCTCCGCTCCCCGCAGTCCTCAACGCACACCCACAGACACGTCCTCGCTTTTTATTGTTTAGTCTGTTCACTAATACACAAACATATGCATACGCTTGACTGAACGTGGGATTGCTGTTTTGTTTTTGTGCACCTTTTCATTGACATTGAGGCTGAGTATGGACCTATGAGCGAGCTGGACCCTGGCTGCCCTCTGAGCCCGGGCAGCCAGGGTTTTACACGAGTGCAAATACCACCATGTACTTGTTACAGTCGTCTCTTGTTAGCGGTATTAATTGGTTCCACAAAAACTATCGCTAATTAAAATTATCGGGAATAAACTATAGGAAATACGATATGAAGGCTTAATTTGCTCGAAGACGATCAGAAGGTAATTATTTTCACCCTAAAAACATAGTTTATAATATCTAAACACGTAATTTTAATAAATAAACGTTTTAAGAACATATTAAAGCATTAATATTAATACCAATGGATAAATAATTAATACATGGAGCTTAAAAATGTGCATAAATACAACATAAAATTAAAATGCTTACCTTAGGCTAAGAAAATAGATGGCTTAAGTATTCAAGAGAGCTGTTTCCATAAGCAGCGCACATTAAACATTGGTAAGCTAGCCAATTGCTCTCAAAATGCAAATAAAGGGCAGGTCGCTGATTGGCTGAGGTCTGCTGCTGAGTCCACTTAGGAGAATTCCGATTGGCCTAAATTGGTGGCCGCATGATATAAAACATCGTGAGTTGAAAATTATCGCAAATAGAAAAAATGGATTGTGAATCGATGGCATCGTAAACCGAAGGGGGACCTCACTGTTTGCACTTGGTACGGATTAATACTGGGTGTAGCCCAAGGGTCATAAACGAAGTGGGCGGGGTTAGTGATGTTAATGTGAGAGATTAGCATGTTAATGTAAGATCGGAGAGCGGCCTCCATGGCGAGCGCGCGGAGGTGTGGCTATGTAGGTGTGATAAATTTAAGATGTTCATGTAAAATCGGAGAGCCAAAGCCACGGGGAAAAAATAAAATAAGAAATAAAAACTAACATCGGAAGGTGGCAGGATAGAAACATCACAGCCAGTTATGACTTAAACTGGTTTATGACGTCCTTCCAATGATTGCTGAATTTGTACCCATCCTCTCGGTTGAAATTGTGTCTGTGTCTGTATATATGGATGGATTCAAGAACAAATCTTTGTTGATAGCCAGTGGGCTTACAAAGTACCTTCATCTTAGAGAAATCAATTTCGCGTGAGCCCACCGCATTAAAACATTGATCAGCCACAGCCGACATGTTGGTCATACCGTGTTTCAGATCTGCCTTATGCTCACCAACACGGTCCGAAACATGTCGCTTAGTTTCCCCAATGTAACTACTGCGGCAGACACAGCTTAGTTTGTAGATGCCAGGGTATTGCATGTCAGGAATCCTAACCTTCACAGATGGGATCAGATCACGAATTTTACGTACTGTTCATAATCAAGGTTTTTGGGTTACATTCCATAAGTATAAATATGTCGAAACCCTCCACCACCCGACAAGGCCAATCAGTCAGGGATTTGTCACGTAAACAAAAAGACAAATAGTTACTAGGTCAGCCCACCGGTGTGTTGAAAAGTGAATTCACAACATTTACAATTTGAGTACGACCTTTCGCTGGTAATTACATCCAGCATCATCGGGCGATTTGCCCGATGATGCTGTCACGAAAGCTTTAAGTCAAGTGTTGAGACTCGGTAAGTCTTTCCTGACTAAACGTGCAAAATAACAACACAGGCGTTTCCTGCTTAACGAGCTTTTCTTTTTTACGAGAATTCGCTAACAATGAGAAATTATAGCCCAAATTTGTTCGATCAACGATCAAATGCATCCCGTGGCGGCAGGGGACGTTGTGTATAACAGTGCTACAGTATCGTAATACAGCGCGCCACGGCCCGCAGCTGTTTACCAGTCTCCTGTGCTGTGCCATGATTCAGGTGGGGGCCTTGTGGTAGCATCGTAATGGGAGTGTGTGGGGAGCGGTGGCGCAACGGTTAGCACGCGGAGCTACGAGCCTGGCGACCCGAATCGATTCCCGCTCGGGGCCAATACTGGTGATGATTATCAGAACAGGTCCTGGGCCTCACCTAGGAAGACTCGGACTCAAATGAGTACCTGGTGCGGTGTGTAAACATCATCGCCACTGGTGAGATAAAGGCGGCCGGGCGTGGTGCTGGCCACGCACCCCTCGTGTGCAGTACCGGCCTTAATAGGTGCTCGCACTTGGCCCAACAGTCTGTTCAGGCTATACGGGGGTTCTTGCACTGGTTCTTCATGTGTTGTAAGTGCTAAATGTGGTGTTACTTTATTTTAAAATAATACAGTCATTTGTATTTCTTGTGTTCCAAAAAATTGATCAAGAGTGGAGAATGTTGGGGCCTTAAACGTAGCTGGCTCAGCTTTTAACATGAGGGGGGGAGAGTGAGTCGGTGGGAAAACGACGATCGTTTAACGAGCTTTCTCTTACCGAGCAGTTCCCGCGGAACGTCTCTCTCGTTAAGCGAGACGATGCGACCGTATGGTCACTTTACACCCTACTGCCCCCCGCCCTCAGAGCCGACAAGATTCCCAGCCACATGTTCAGAGCCTACGTGGAGGCATGCAGCATGGCCGAGATCCAGCAGCAGCAGCACGGGCAGCAGGGTGAGTACAAGCAGTGGGGCAATTACGGCAGAGGATTGGCGAGCGGGTGGAGTGGGATGGCGAGCGTGGGGAGCGGGATGGCGAGCGTGGGGAGCGGGATGGCGAGCGTGGGGAGCGGGATGGCGAGCGTGGGGAGCGTGGGGAGCGGGATGGCGAGCGTGGGGAGCGGGATGGCGAGCGTGGGGAGCGGGATGGCGAGCGTGGGGAGCGTGGGGAGCGGGATGGCGAGCGTGGGGAGCGGGATGGCGAGCGTGGGGAGCGGGATGGCGAGCGTGGGGAGCGGGATGGCGAGCGTGGGGAGCGGGATGGCGAGCGTGGGGAGCGGGATGGGGAGCGGGATGGCGAGCGTGGGGAGCGTGGGGAGCGGGATGGCGAGCGTGGGGAGCGGGATGGCGAGCGTGGGAAGCGGGATGGCGAGCGTGGGGAGCGGGATGGCGAGCGTGGGAAGCGGGATGGCGAGCGTGGGGAGCGGGATGGCGAGCGTGGGGAGCGTGGGGAGCGTGGGGAGCGGGATGGCGAGCGTGGGGAGCGGGATGGCGAGCGTGGGGAGTGGGATGGCGAGCGTGGGGAGCGGGGCAAGCAGCTCACAAACTTGGAGATCTACTTCCAAGGTAGAAAAATGTAACCAGTTAGTTGAAGCACTGAAGGCCAATACCACCAATGTTATCTCGAGTGAGTTGAGGAACACTCTACAGCCCATGCTGGCTTCCAGTGTTGTAAAGACTCCTGAAGGAGTTTGGAAAGAAGAGTGGCCACGCTCCAATGAACATTCGACTACCCGATTGGAAAGGTGGCATGAGAACTGTGGAAACTTTTGACTTTGTGCACTTCAGCTGCAAAGCCTGAACATTACGGTGACATCTGGGGGCCGTTGAACTCCACAACGTGACAATATCGGTCACCAAGAAGCGGAGAGCTGCTTGGCCCGGATTGGGATTTACCCAAAGTTTCTCCAAAAATATGTGAACCAAAGCAAAGATAGTGGCTGGGACAGATCTCTTCATCCACCGATTAGCATGGGGATCCCCAGCACGTATGAGGAGGAGGACATCGTCCTTGCCCTCCTGCAGTCCGGAACAACTACCAGACAATACCACCAGTTATCAACCCATCTCACTCCTCTCCACCGCAAGTAACCCTTTGTAGAACGCACTTCTGGCCCGAAGAAACTCGCCGGTTTTAAGCCAGCCTGTTAGTAGCTGTGACCAGATCCTTGCTCTCACAAGCCAAGTTGAGGCTGGTTTTCGATGGAAACAGAAAACAGCCGTGGTATGAATGGAACTATCATCTGTCTGATGACACAGTGTGGCAACGTAGCTAAAGTATCTAGGCTCATCAAATGCCAGTAAAACCGTACATTTCATCGGAGTCTTACTCGGAAAATTGCTGGTACTGTATTGTGTGCATCTATATGGAGAGGCCAGCAGAGCAATGACATTCAACAATGTCCTCCAGCAAGGCTCTGTGCTTACTCCCCACTGCTCTTCAACGTAATCACGAGCAGCATCATCAGGACGGCATCCCGTACATTAATTTATGCGGACAACATTGCACTTCTGGTACAGTCCAAGGCACAACAACAGCCACTAGTCTCCCATCGGCCACACTCTCACAGGCGACCTCAAGACCCCGGATGCCACTCTCCAACATGGTCAAGACTGGCAACACCTTCCCATCTGAACGACAAGGCTGCCATCCGCTTGACAGTGACCTTATTATGGGCGGAAGGTAAAACGTGAAGCCAGCCCAAAACACCTCAGACTGGATAGAAGCCGCAGCTTCAGAAGCCACCTCAAAGGGGCCGTCAACAAACCCCACGGTCTGGGTTGAGTCTCACAGAGAGACCGAGCGGGCACCACATGGGGGGGGGGGGGGGGGGGTGGCGCAAATGCACGCACAGCAGCGGCATTGGCGCTGCTGGTCTATTTAACCACAGAGCACTGATCCCCTGTACACTCGCAAAGCCCTTGGATCCACAACTCAACTCTGCAATGGGCACCGCAAGCAGGATGTTTGATTAACCCCCGTGCAATGCTTGCCCCACACTGGGCCGAATTAATCCACCCGTCTCAGAACCAAAGAGATACCCAGACCTGCTGAATATACCCAGTGCATCCTGGACGATCTGGAACTTACCTATCCACCAGGAGCTTCCAAACCCCCTCCCACCCCTGCTCATCTCGCAGTTGCCTGAAGGAACAGTGGCGTGAATTGTAGTGCAACGCACTTATCACGAACAACCTCTTCCCATGGTTCAGTGCTCAGCCCTAAATCAGTGCAGAACATGGCGTGGCAGATGCTGTCACCTCCTCCATCAAATGGGAAAACGAAGATCAGTCCGCAGTCATCAAAGCTAGATCATGGATCACATAATCCAACACTGTCCAACACCGCCTATTCGCGAAGCAGTATCGCCAATATCCACCAAGCCTCCACAAAGGCTTAATCACTTCGATGTACACGTCTGTTTCAATGTTTACCTTGCCATACGACATGAGGAGTATTGAGTTGTATGCGAGTGAGTTTTTGTGATTTACCTTGGTGCTGATGTTGTTTTTGTCACAGACACGTTGCCCGTGGGAGGAATTCCCTCTGAACCGATGGACGTCGTGTGGCAGAGCCTGGAGTCACTCCCCTCTGTCGCCTCCCTTGCAGCCAGGAGCCCGGACACGCAGGATGGTCAGCACCCATGCCCGTGTGTGTGTGTGTGCGTGCATGTGTGTGTGTGCATGTGTGTGTGTGTGCATGTGGGTGTGTGCATGTGTGTGTGCGTGCCCGTGTGTGTGCGTTTTTTTTGCATTGGGTGGGGAGCGGTAGTGTAGCGGTTCGCGCGCTGTGCTACGAACCCATCGACCCGAGTTCGATTCCCGCTTACGGCCAACACCAGTGATAATTATCTGAATCGGTCCTGGGCCTCCCCCAGGTCGACTCAGCCTCAAATGAGTACCTGCTGCGGTGTGTAAACATCGCCACTGGGAAGACAAAGGGGTTCGGGCGTGGTGCTGGCCACCCACCCCCTCGTGTGCCGTGCCGGCCTTCATAGGTGTTCGCTTACAGCACTTGCCCCTACAGTCTGTGAAGGCTACACGGGGGATCTTTGTGTTTGTTTATTTCCATTGTGGGGAATTGTTTATCCTTGTGGTTAGTGGTGGTGCAGTGGTTGCCCCACTTTGCTAGGAACTTGGCGACCCATGATTGATTCCTGCGCCTGACCACTCTGAGTGACCTATATATATGAACTGATCCTGCGCCTCCCATAGGTTGACTCAGCCTTTAATGGGTACTTAGTGTGGTGTGTGAATGTCAGCGCTGGGGAGACCAAGACACTTTTAAATATAGATTGAGCACTAATTTCTTTACAACTGCTTTTTGTGTTCCGTTTGTTGACCTTCCCCTGCACCTAATTAGCACGGTTGGCTACGTACGGCGTGAAAGAAGTTGTACATACATTTAGCAGCACCTTGCCTCAACAGTGTTGGAAGGCTATATGGAGGATCTCTGTATGTATTTGTGTATAGACCATGGCTATGGGTTATTCTTCGTGCTTTCTGGGTTGCAGACCCTCTGCTCACAATCATGTATTATAGTATTTGGCTGATATACATTTCCACATGATGATAAGCCACTTCATTGGGCTATCATTTGTGATAGCCAGGTTGCTTCTGAAAAGAGCTATGTAGCTCAATGGTCTGTACCTGGTAAAATAAAATAAATATTTCGTGTATGCCATTGATCAATGCCAAGTAAGACCCACTGGGAAATGCAGTATTGTGGGCAGGCCCGAATAAAGTTGTGTGGCCGGGTATCAGAGCCATTTTCTGTTCACCTTGGGGTGCAACAGGGATGTCCACTGGACCCCCCTACGCTACTCAATGTCTTCTTTGACCACATAGCTCAATAAGCTTTCCAGAGATGTACGGTATTCTCTCGTTATAACCTGGTGCCGTATAGAGCTGTAATGTGATGATGTGTAGTGCTGCAATGTAGTGCTGTGTAGTGGTGTGTATAGTGCTCTGTATAGTGGGGCTGTAACGTAGTGGGGTGTATAGTGGTGTGTATCGTGGGGTATATCGTGGTGTTGTATCGTGGTTCTGTATAGTGGTGTGTTTAGTGGTGTGTATAGTGGGGTGTATAGTGGTGCTGTAACTTAGTAGTGTAACATGGTGCTGCGTCGTGGTGCTGTATCGTGGTGTGTGTAGTGGTGTAATGTAGTGGTGTGTAAAGTGGTACTGCGTCGTGGGGTGTATAGTGGTGCTGTATAGTTGTGTGTGTAGTGGTGTAACGTAGTGGGGTGTATAGTGGTGATGTAACTTAGTGGTGTAACATAGTTCTGTATAGTGGTGTGTGTAGTGGTGTAACGTAGTGGGGTGTATAGTGGTGCTGCGTCGTGGGGCTGCGTCGTGGTGCTGCGTCGTGGTGCTGCGTCGTGGTTCTGTATAGTGGTGTGTATAGTGGTGTGTATAGTGGTGCTGTAACTTAGTGGTGTAACATGGTCCTGCGTCGTGGTGCTGTATCGTGGTGCTTTCCGTGATGTTGCACGCGAGCAGCAGTGTCACATCTCGTGCTGCGTGTGGAGGAGTGCCTGCGGGAGCTGCATGGGGCCGATCCTCCCCGGGAGCTCCGCCTGGGCCCCGTTGCCAAGGAGCACCTTCAGGTGAGCAATGGGCACCGCAGGTGACGACGCCTGGGGATTAGCATGGCCACCTCCCCTGAGGTCCAAACAATGCAGGACAAAGTCATTCAAGTTAAAGCGAGTCCCCTGCTCAAATGAGCAATGAGGTGATTGCTCCTCTCCCGTTTATAGCCCTAAGCTAGTCAGAAAAGAAATCCGCATTCTTATGGCGAGGTATGGAGTCTATTCTTGGGACAACTGCTTATGCCTTTTCCACAAAGTGTTTTTTTATTTATTGATCCGGGAGGATTGAAACTTACAACCTTCAGATAGGGAGCTGCTCGCTCTGCCGGTGAGCTACCTGGAGAAGGATGCGCATATGTCATTGTCTAGAGTGGGGTGCATTGTGTACGTGTAGTGATATAGAACGGATCACTATGGCACGTAGCACTAAGTACAGTAGAATGAGGAAATATGGGTGTAGAGGCTAGCACACCATGCAGTACCACACAGTGGGTTGCTCGGGTGCATGGTACTGGGTGATTGCAGAGAGAGGCTGATGAGTCCTACCGACAGAGTAGGGGATAGCAGCCACTCCGCCAGCACAGCGAGTGAATGCCACGTAATTGGTCACTAGGGAGCTGGTGCGGGCTGCTGGCAGAAGGGGGCATATGAGGATGAGTCACCCCGGCCTCGGGTGAAGCACGCGATGGGCCGGGGTGAGGAATGTGGGGCAAAGGTGACCGAGGGGACACCGGAAGTGTAGCCGGGAATCTTCTGGAGGGTTCCTGAAGGGGGCGTGGTTAAGGGTGGAGCCGGGCAGGTGGCACGAGCAAAGTGGCCTGGAACCTTCGGGAACGTTCCAGAAGGGGGCGTGGCCGAGGGCGGAGCTAGGCCGCGCCGAGAGAGATAAAAGGGAAGCCCAGATCGAAGAGCGGGGCTGTCTGCAGGTGAAGTGAACCCGAGGTGCTATGTCTTCATCTCTTTCTCTGACGTCAGGTCAGACGGCACGTTGGCTGCTCTGACCCATTTATAGTTATCCCGTGTGTAACGGTGTGTAAGAGATAGGCATATTGTAGTCCCCTGTGTAACGGCGTTATATAGTGTAGAATAAACGTTGTTGCCTCCTAACTCGTGTCTCCGAAGTGACTCACTACATACATACAAATGTTGGACTTCTTTCGTGCCCTACGTAGTCAACCGTGCTAATCGAAATGTGCAATGATCATGCATATGATAAAAATTGGTCTTTTAATGTCCCCACCTCATTCCAGCTCATTCTGGACTTACAGTTCATCGATTATCCAGCATGCGATTATTCGGCTTTCAACATTATTCAGGGGTCTCAGGCACTGGCGGAGCCACGGGGGGTGGGGGATTATTGGAGTTTATTAATAATAAATCGGAATGTTGTGACCCCCACTGCCACCCTGTAGCATATTATGATAGGACAATAGTCTGAGTCAATAATTGGCAATAAGTAACGGCAAAGCGGTTATAAGTGACTCGCAGAATTGTGCGCAGTTGCGTATACAGTCCACGACTTCCCTGAAGGCAAATGCCTTCAGCGAGCGCGATGCCGATCACACACGGTTCGAATTCGACCCTCGATCGATGGTTGCGCCATCGCCGCACACGCATCAAATAAAAAGCAAGAGACAAGTCCTTACTACCAACTCCTCTGTCATTTTTCATTGCTGGAGGGGTTGCCCCCCCCCCCTACCTGAAAATCCTGGCTCCACCATTGGTCCCAGGCTGATCCGGCGAAATCGGCAAAATCGCTCCAAAGGCAGCAACCAGTCCGGCCATCGGCACCGTGTGTGACAAAAAAAAGGAGCAAATGCTATATGCAGTAGGTTATACAGTACATCCAGTACATACAACCTAAAACATGTAAATACTGCACGTATATACAATTTTCATGACTAATAACTACAGTCATAAAAACTGAAAATATACAGTGTGATCTGGCGAAAAGTGCGTGAATTCGGCGTTCGCGGGAGCACCAGCCTGAAGCCTGCATCAGTCCGGCCATCGTCCAAGCCGTGTTGTTGGAACAAGGGCGTAGCAGTATGGACATCACCCCGTGCAGAGTCTTCGAGATTGGAATGATAAGTATGGTACAGTAAATACAGTAACGGTAGGATTGTTTTATTCATATGTTTATTTATGATAATGTCAAATCGTAAACAAATTTTAAACACTTAAAAAAAACATAGAAATAACTAAACACAATGTCATACAAGAATGTGCTAAATAAGCCATTTTGTAAAATGATGTAGTGATTATCCGCTCGTTTTTGAAAATCCGGCACCCCCTTCCCCCCGAAGCTGCTGGATAACCGATGATCTACTGTATCAACTCAACTCCAGAGTTCAGACCTTGACAGTGTCCATGGTCTCTCTTCAGCTCCTCGTCCTCTGCGCTTCAACAGTTTTATGTAATGACATAAGTTGGGGTATTCGTTGCTATTTGGAAAGAAACTGTCATAAATTCCATCTTAATTGTCCAAGACCTCTTCCATGCACTTGCTTGGTGCAACCCTTGGTGATCATTGAACAAGTGGTGAGGTCTTCCACACCTTCATCTGTGGCCGAGTAGCAGGGATAGCGGGTGCACGTCATCTTACGCCGTCACTCTCCACGCAGTTATTATTATTGTCGGGCTCGTTTACAAGGGAGAGCAGCCCCACTGAATCTCAATACTTTGTTTTAGAAGTGGCTGATGTTGCTTTCTCTCATCCCAGTCGAGTGATTTATAAGTGGGTGATGTTGCTCTCTCTCATCCCAACCGAGCCACTTGGAGGTGATTTTGCAGCATTGAGACATTTGGCCAATGCCAGTTACTTCCTGTTGTTGTTTTTCTCTCTCTCTCCCACAGTTGGTCGACCTGCTTCTCAACAGCTTCTGCAAGGCGGTGACCGGTGTCTGCGCCATGCACCACGACTTCAGGTGAGGGAGTGGCACACGCCCCGAAACGTGAACTTAATTACCGTGATCTGCTGTGTGTACGATGCTGTATCCTACTGTGTGTACTAAGCTGTACTCTGCTGTGTGTATGATGTATGATGCTGTACCGTGCTCTTTGTACAACGCTTACCATGCAATGTGTACTTTGCTCGACCGGGCTGTGTGTACTAAGCTGTATTGTGTGTACTATGCTGAACCCTGCTATGTGTACGATGCTCTACTGCGATGTGCTATGCTGCACCGTGCTGTGTGTACTATGCTGCGCCCGTCCTGTGTGTTGTGCTGTGGGGTGCTGCAGGCTGCTTGACTGGAGTTGCCGGTTCGTGTTGATGCTCGCGGGCCTGAGCTGGCTTCACAAGCCGCTACTCAGCAGAGTGTGGGCCCTCCTCCTCAAACAGGTTCCACCTCCTCCTCATGACTTACATCATCACTAACCTCATCACTAACCACTTTATGACCCTTATTATCCTGATAATCACCGAACTCAGTATCATCATCATCACATATCTAGTATTACTGGAGGGGGTGTTTTATTGGAGAAAATGTGCTATGAGAGTGTGTGCTATTGGGCATGTGCCATTGATGGGTTGTGCTCTGGATTGATTGCGCTGTTCGAAGGTGTGTGCTGGGGATTGGGTGTACCATATATGCAGGGCATGTTACTGGGGTGTGTGTGTGCTGTTAGTGGATGTGTGAGATTAGGTTTTATACAGTTTAAAACCTAATCTCACACGCTATTAGAGGGTGCGTGCTCTTAGGATGTATGCTACGGGATGGTGTGTGTGTTATCGAAGGCATGTCCTGTGATGTGTGGTGTGCTATAGAAGGCTTGTGCTATGGATCGTGTGTGCTCAGGCCCAGCAGCTAAGCGATTGCCACATACTGGGCCTGGCCGCTTTTCTGGCGCTCGTACACCGGCACCGCAGCGCCTTCCCGCTCGTGACGGCCCTGCCTGCATCCACTGCCACCGACCCTGCAGAGCCGCTCCTGCAGGCCGTGCCATTCACGGAGAGCGTGGCCGCGGCGCTGCCCTGCAGCTCCGCCGTGGAGATGCTCCTTTCGTTGCGGTGAGTGGCATCGGTGCGGCCCTGGGTCCAGCTCCTACACGACGAGTCCCCTCCCCGTTCCCTCTCCATCCGCGTTCAGGGCAGGAAATGTCCCACGACAATCCAGGAGGAAACCTCAGAGGGCTTCCCAACTCGAATGAGTCGAGAGAGAGACCTCGCGTTAGGGGGAAGACGAAGATTTAAATGTGAGGGATAAGCCTAATCTAATATTTAGCCTTTGGCCACTTACAGCCAATCTATGATTGGGTGGACTGGTGTAAGCAGGTAACTTGTTACAACGTGTCTGTGTGAGTAATTTAACATGACACCACGTGTGTGTATAAACAAAACAGTTAGGGACATTGTTAATCAGCCTGTGTCTTATCAGAAGGCACCCCCCCCCTCCTCCCCCCACAGACAAAGATCACTAACCATTTCCCGATCCCTCCAACTGTGCCCCGTCTTATGACTTTTGCCCCCTACTATCATAAAAGGCTTCTCCCATTACGTCCGTCTTCTGTGTAAGGGGGGTTGGGGGGGGTAGGGGGATTTCTACCATCTTTGCAGCTCATTAGCGCCGATGAGACTGTCCACAATGGCTTCGTCTTCCGAGTTCTATTTCTTTTTGCGGAAAAAGGCAAGACCTACCTAAGGAGGCATGGTTGGGCCGATTCCTCTTCCCAGCTCTCAGCAATCCCCCACTTCGTTGGGTCCAGTCAGCGCTTCGCATTGTGCAGACCCACGGAACCTGTCGCATTTCCGGAAATTTGGGAGAGCCTCCCTCGCCTACCGGTAACATAAGGGAGGATTAATCCAGTGCATGTGAGTTTGCGATTCTTAATAAAGGCGGAGATTCGGGAATGCAGTGTTTTGAGATAAATAAAAAAAGTCCCTCAGGATCCGTGAGGGGACCAAACCTCAGGAAGTACAGAATTTTGGGGAGGATCATAATTATTTTTAAATGTGCCATATTGTGAAGGGAGAGGAGTGGGGGACATCGATGAGAAGAGTGAAGATAATGAGGTAGCTTCTTAAACAGCCCTACATTACTCAAACATCTAAACATTTTTTCTGGTAAATATTAATACAACACCAATGTTCAGGGTCTTAAGGGAGAGAGTGGAGGGGGGTGCGATCGCCCCTATCGCCCCTATCGCCCCCTCATTCAGGATAGCACATCGTGTGATACAGCTGCAAGTCGTGCATTGGGTGGTGTGAGCCAATTGGGAGAGGTGCACGTGGAGCCAGTGGGAGCTGTTAACTCGACCAGCTTCCCACTCATCCTTTATTATGTTGTGTGTTTTGGAGTGTCGCGTCAAACTCGGATTTAATGTGACGGAGAGGAATCCTTGCCTATAAACATTTGGCAGTTTACCAGCATTAGTTCGAGTTAGGAAGTCTGACTGCTGATGAGACACTGACTGTTTTTAAACACCAGCCCAGAGTTTGTGTTGAATTAATGCTGCTGAAATGGTGGCTGATATGAAAGAACAGATGTAGTAAAACGACGTGTTGCCTGCTTATTTGTTGTGTTACTTATATTCTCCACAGATACGATGCTCATGATTATTTTGTCATAAGTGCTTACGAGAAGTAGTTCCAGTAAACAACTGTGATGTAAGGCCAGGGTGGAAAATCCTTTCCTTTCTGAGGGTCAAATGGGAATTTCAAATACCTTTTTTCTGGGCTGCAGAATTGCTCACAGCTTGGCATTATTCAGTAATAATTCACACAGTTGTTAGGACTCACACTGCATTCAAATAGAAATGCATAGCCAGGTCGAGGATATTCCTCTCTAGTATCAGAATGATACTACTAAGCTGCTCGCAGTGATGGATTGTTTTCAGGTCGTTTCAAATTTGTTTGGGGCAGGAGGCTGCAGGCCGTGTGAAATAAATAGCCACAAGCCAAATGAGGGAAGTCGCGGTCTGAGTGAGTGAATTCACGGCCACATGAGGACCGAAGTCATGGGCCGTATGAGTGAAATCATCGGCTGTGTGAGTGTATGTATGTATGTATGTTGAACTTCTTTCGCACCGTATGTAGCCAACCGTGCTAATCGGAGGTGCAGCCGTGGGCCGTGCGAGCGACAACGCCGGCCGTGCGAATGACGTCGTGGGCCCTGTCTGGCATGTAGGCTCAATGTTTTCCACCCTTGCTATAAAGCGGCAAGGTTATCGCGCTGGGCTGGCCTCTGAGAATCGGAGCGTCTGTGCTGCGTGTATGGTGGATGATGACATTGAGTCTGTGGAGGCCGTGACTCTGCGAGTGGCGCTGTCTCTGGCCAGGCTGTGCACGGCACTGCTCTCCTTCTCTCTTTCCGCTGCCGGCGCCGAGGAGACCGCGCTGAGCGAGAACTTCACGAAGAAGGTACGACGAGGCTGTGGCGGGGTCTGTGGCTGTGATGACTGTGCGGCTGTGATGTCTGTGGTTGTATCGCCTGTGTGGCTGGGATGTCTGTGGTTGTAACGCCTGTGTGGCTGTGGTGTCTGTGTGGCTGTGATGTCTGCGGTTGTGATCCCTCTATGGCTGTGATGTCTGTGATTGTAACGCCTGTGTGGCTGTGATGTCTGTGGTTGTAACGCCGGTGTGTTTGTGATGTCTGTGGCTGTGGTGCCTGTGTGGCTGTGATGTCTGTGGTTGTAACGCCGGTGTGTTTGTGATGTCTGTGGCTGTGGTGCCTGTGTGGCTTTGATGTCTGTGGTTATAACGCCAATGTGTGTTTGTGATGCGTCTTTGTCTCAGTTCCTCTTTCTCGCCGATCGAGTGAGTTTTCCTCGGAATAAGGGGACATCGGCGGATGGATCTCCCTCCCTGCACCTTTATCCCTTTTTACCACAGGTAAATTGAGACCCTGCATGTGTGTATGTGTGAATCTGTTTATTTGTTTACACACACGCACACAAGGCGCTACCACGAATGATGGGTTTATTGTTGAAGACAGAGGTCATGATTCAACCATGGCGAGGAAAGCACGTGTCAAAGGCAGCCGTCGTGACCAACACCAGGTGACGTTTATTTGAATGGGTCCTGGGCTTGCCCTAGGTCGACTCAGCTTCAAATGATAACCTGGTGCAGTGTGTAAACATTGTCAATGGGGAGACAAAGGTGGTTGGGCGTGGTGCTGGCCACCCACGCGCGCACATAGACACACACAAAAGGTTTGTGTGTGTGTGTGTGGTCAGTGCTTCATCTCACACACACAAATCTCATCGTTATCATTCGTTGTTTGTTTGTGACGGATTGCCCTTCACGCTGGCGCGTCTCGGAGAGCGCTTTGCACGTGATCAGTGACTCCGTGGCCTGTTTGGAATGACATCGCGGGATCTCTCTCTGGTGCAATGTGTCCGCAGCTGGGCGAGCTGGTGCACACTTCCGGTGTGCAGGCTGCGTGCAGCGCGCTGGCCTCATCATCGCCGCTGCAGCGCTCACTCGAGCAGCACGGCCCTCGGGTGAGAGACTCCTCACTCACCACTCCTCACTCACCACTCCTCACTCACCACTCCTCACTCACCACTCACCACTCCTCACTCACCACTCCTCACTCACCACTCCTCACTCACCACTCCTCACTCACCACTCTCCACTCCTCACTCACCACTCCTCACTCATCACTCTCCACTCTCCACTCCTCACTCACCACTCCTCACTCACCACTCCTCACTCCTCACTCACCACTCCTCACTCACCACTCACCACTCCCCACTCTCCACTCCTCACTCACCACTCCTCACTCACCACTCCTCACTCACCACTCCTCACTCACCACTCTTCACTCTCCACTCCTCACTCACCACTCCTCACTCTCCACTCTTCACTCTCCACTCCTCACTCACCACTCCTAACTCTCCACTCCTCACTCTCCACTCCTCACTCACCACTCCTCACTCTCCACTCCTCACTCTCCACTCCTCACTTTCCACTCCTCACTCTCCACTCCTCACTCCTCACTCTCCACTCCTCACTCACCACTCCCCACTCTCCACTCACCACTCTCCACTCCTCACTCTCCACTCCTCACACACCACTCCTCAGTCCTCACTCTCCACTCCTCACTCACCACTCCTCACTCTCCACTCTCACTCTCACTCTCACTCACCACTCTCCACTCTCCACTCTCCACTCTCCACTCACCACTCTCCACTCCTCACTCACCACTCCTCACTCTCCACTCCTCACTCTCCACTCCTCACTCTCCACTCACCACTCCTCACTCACCACTCCCCACTCTCCACTCCTCACTCTCCACTCCTCACTCACCACTCACCACTCCTCACTCTCCACTCTCTACTACTCGCTCTCCACTCACCACTCGTCACTCACCACTCCTCACTCTCCACTCCTCACTCACCACTCCTCACTCCTCACTCACCACTCTCCTCACTCTCCACTCCTCACTCTCCACTCCTCACTCACCACTCACCACTCCTCACTCTCCACTCTCTACTACTCACTCACCACTCCTCACTCTCCACTCTCCACTCACCACTCCTCACTCACCACTCCTCACTCACCACTCCTCACTCCTCACTCACCACTCCTCACTCACCACTCCTCACTCACCACTCCTCACTCTCCACTCCTCACTCACCACTCCTCACTCTCCACTCCTCACTCACCACTTTCCACTCCTCACTCTCCACTCCTCACTCTCCACTCCTCACTCACCACTCCTCACTCTCCACTCCTCACTCGCCACTCCTCACTCTCCACTCCTCACTCACCACTTTCCACTCTCCACTCCTCACTCTCCACTCCTCACCCACCACTCCTCACTCTCCACTCCTCACTCACCACTCCTCACTCTCCACTCCTCACTCACCACTTTCCACTCCTCACTCTCCACTCCTCACTCTCCACTCCTCACTCACCACTCCTCACTCTCCACTCCTCACTCACCACTCCTCACTCTCCACTCCTCACTCACCACTCACCACTCTTCACTCACCACTCCTCACTCTCCACTCCTCACTCTCCAACTCCTCACTCACCACTCACCACTCCTCACTTCTCACTCACCACTCACCACTCTTCACTCACCACTCCTCACTCACCACTCCTCACTCACCACTCCACCACTCCTCACTCACCACTCCTCACTTTCCACTCCTCACTCACCACTCCTCACTCACCACTCCTCACTCTACACTCCTCACCACACCTCATCCACGATACAATGCAGGTACAAATGTACTTAATAGATTTGTAAAATCATCCGTGCAGTCCTCGACTGCTGAGACGGTTTGTAAGTCAGAACACAATAATGCACTGTATTTAAATGCACATACGGTCACTTTTATAAAATAAAAAAAGATCACGGCTCAACAACAAAGGGAAGCAGTGTTAAACTCATAAATAAGAATAAATATTGTTGATTTGCAATGAGTCCCCACAGTTGCACACACGCACAGACATGCACCAAAGACAACGATCCGTGTAGCCTTCAGTCTGTTGGGGCAAGTGCTTGTGAGTGAGCAGCACCTATGAAGGCCAGCACTGTGGCACATGAGGGGGTGGGTGGCCAGCACCATCCCAGGCCACCTTTGACTCCCCAGTGGTGACGGTTAAACACTGCACCAGGTACTCATTTTAGGTTGAGTCGACCTAGGACCCATTCAGATAATCGTCACTGGTGTTGGTCGTGAGCGGGAATCGAACTCGGGTCGCTGGGTTGGTAGCGCAGCGCGCTTACAACTGCACTACCACTCCCCACGCACGCACACAGGCGCACACACCCTCTTTCACACACAAAGACTAAGATCCCTCGTATACCCTTAACAGACTATTGGGGCAAGTGTTGTTAGCGAGCACATATCAAGGCCAGCACGGCACACGAGGGGGTGGCCAGCACCACGCCCGGCCGCCTTTGTCTCCCTAGCGGCGATGTTTACACACCGCAGCAGGTACTCATATAAGGCTGAGTCAACCTAGGGGAGGCCCAGAACCGGTTCACATAATCGTCACTGGTGTTGACCATAAGCGGGAATCGAACTCGAGTTGCTGGGTTCATAGTACAGCACACTAACCACTACACTACCGCTCCCCTTTCACATCAACAACAGCCATTTGCCACTAAGTGGCGGTGACGTCACCACGACGCTTGTGCCAGGCTATGTGCACCTTGAGGCCACGTGAAGTGTCGAACGCCCGCTGGCAGGAGGTCACGGGGCAAACCCAGGTGCCACGGGTCGACTGCCTGAGACGACGAGCTGATGCTCCACCTGTGCCCCCTACTGTGCCAACTTGCTGTGCTTTAGCCACCCGACGCTACGCTTGTTGTTGTGAGCGTCGCTCCTCCGCCCTCCGTTGCTGTTGGAGGGAGACTGCCTCCAACTGCCCAGTAGCGTCCTCCATGAGCCTCCTCCACAGAGGCCGATCTTGACACCGCTGATATCAGTCATTGGCAAGTCCACTCAGCTCCACATCCTCCTGTACCACATCACTCCATCTCTTCTCTAGCCCGTGCCGCGCCCGATTAGCGCCGTCGTTCCGGCCGAACAAAAGCTGTTTAGGCATGCGGTGGCTGGGCATGCGGGGTACATGGCCCAGCCATGTAGCCCGCATGCCCAGCTCCTCACGCAATCCAGCCTGGTTAAACCCAGGATGGATCGTAGGCAGGCCAACCTAAATGTTTCTAACCGGCAAAGATATTCCATTCAAGGGGTCCACATTTCGCAAGTGTAGAGAAGGGAGGGAATGACTGTGGCCGAGAAGACCTGAAGCTTCGTGCGGAGCGACAGACCAGGCAGCTTCCACACAGCGTTACGCAACCGATGAAAAGATATTGCCCCTTCACTGATTCGGAGTGAGACCTCTACTGTTAAACCGGAGCCGGTCATGAGCACACTGCTCAGGTATGGGAAACTCTCCACTCTCTCCACAACTGCCCCATCACCAATTGGGAGTTGTGGGGGTGGAGTGTCCAATGGTACAAAATACCCAGGCAGGTGTTTAGTTTTAGTGCGGCTGATGGTAAGGCCCCACCTCTTAGTGGCAAGCTCCAGGTTCAGCAGCAGCGCCTCCAACTCCTCCTCTGAGTGAGCAGCAATTACCAGATCATCGGCATACATAATGTAATTTGAGGATATATCCGGCTCACTGACATATCACAACTCGTCATGATGATTGGCTCTGCCGGTCCTGGTTTATAGCCAATGGGGGGAAGCCTATGGGCGTGGCCCTGACGTAATGGAAAGGTGACAGCTGTAAGTAGAGGATTGGTTCTGCTGGCTTTGGCCACAGCCAATGGGGAGATGAGTCAGGGGCGTGGTCTCGGGAGCCTACGAGGGAGTCTGGAATATTCCATGGAGGCTAACCAGGATTGGTGGAAACGTACCACGTGCCCCGTGTATTAAATAGGGGTGGAAACGAACGACACGTGATCAGAACGGGAACGAACGGAGGAGGGGGACACGCGTGAGCGGGGCTCCGGGTTTGCACGTGGCGGCGCGTCTCTCTCTCTATCCCTCTCACTCTGCCTGTCAGCAGCGTGAAGGAAAGCTGTAATGCAAAGTGAATAAAAGACCGGATTCCAAAAGTCGCCTCAACGACCTTTATTACAATAACATGGTTGAGAAATAGGGAGCTATCCCTTGACCGCACCCGGGCATCGATTAGCCTCCCATTGTATCTGTACCAGATGGAAATTCGTCTGGTTACGGCTATTGAAGGCTTCACGAACTACATGGTCGAAATAGATGTTAAATAATGTGGGAGCCAGAGGACATCCCTGTCGCACCCCAAGGTGTACAGGGAATGGCTCCGACTCGCGGCCATGTAGTTTTGCCCCGGTCCGCTCACCCTCATGAAGGTCCTTAATTATCGTGAGCAGAGGGTTAGGGACTCTGAAAGCACAAAGAACAACCCAGAGCCCAGGCCTACTGATGGTATCATAGGCCTTGACCAGTTCAATAAAGTAGAGATGTAGGTCTTGTTGGAATTCCCTATACGTCTGCTGTAGCAGACGGACAGAAAATATGGCATCTGTGCAGGACCGCCCTTTCCTGAAACCGCATTGGGGCTCCGCAAGCCTCCCCTCAGCGGACCTTTCCCGGCACACTGAGGAATGAGATGGCCCTGTAGTTTCTACAGTCTGTGCGGTCCCCATTCTTAGAGGGGGACCACCAGGGCATCCTTCCAATCCTGCCAAACCCGTCCAGTAGTCAAGACTGTTGTTATTATGTTATGTAGAGCAGTCTGTGCACAAACGCCACTCTCCTTCAGCATTTCGCTTGGGAGATCATCTCTGCCCAGTGCCTTTCCTGGTCTCAGACTCTGGATCGCCTTCAGTACTTCCTCAACGGATGACACCTCAGCCAGCCACTGTTTTCGCTGTTGGTTGTCCCCACCTGATGACGGATGCTTGTGTTGCGCCCGAAACGTCGTGATTAATTTAGTTGTTTTCATTCTTATTTTATTTTTATTTCACCTACGTGCTTTTACCGAAAGAACCAAAGAGTATGGATCCTTGCAGTCACGAAAACTTCAAATCTAGAAGATACCAGCGGTGTCAAGATCGGCCTCTGTGGAGGAAGCTCATGAAGGACGCTGAAACTGGGCAGTTGGAGGCAGTCGCCCTCCAGCAACAACGGAGGGCTGAGGAGTAACACTCACAACAATGAGTGGAGCGCGGAGTGGTTAAAACACAGCAAGTTGACACAGTAGGGGGCACATGTGATTCATCGGCTAGTCATCTCAGTCAGTGAATCCATGGCACCTGGGTCTGTGTGCGTGCGTGCATGCTTGTGTGGGGAGCGGTAGTGTGAGGGTTCGCGCTATGCACTACCAACCCCGGCCACCCGAGTTCGATTCCCGCTGGGTCCTGGGCCTCTCCTTGGTCGACTCAAACTCAAATGAGTACCTGATGCGGTGTGTAAACATCGCCACTGAGGAGTCAAAGGCAGCCAGGCGTGATGCTGGCCACCCACCCCCTCGTGTGCCGTGCCGGCCTTCATAGGCGCTGCTCGTGAACAGCGCTTGCCTCAACAGTTTGTGAAGGCTACACGGGGGATCATTGTCTTTGGTGTGTGTGTAATTGTGGGAACTCATTGCGCCCCTTCTGACAAGCAAGCCAGCATCTTTTTTTTACTTTATTGTATGTTTTATTTAAGAAACAGTATTTATTACAGTATTACATGCAAATGGACACTTTATTTTTAGAAGTTTAACACAGCGTCCATTTGTTGTAGAACAGTAATACACTTTACGTGCATTTAAATAAGTACATCATTGTGTTCCGACTCATGAACCGTTCGACTTGCCAACGGAGCTCAGGAACGGAACCCGTTTGTAAGTCGAGGACTGCCCATAATAACTTTATTTTCATTTTTGTAAATATTTAAAATAGTGTATATTTATAAATTCGTAATACTTGCTGCTGTGTTGGTCTGCTGACCGAGTCATCCTTGAAAAAAGAGCTGGGGATAACTCAATGGGCTACTTAGTTGGCTAATAAACTTCTGATTCTGATGGTATCTCAGTCACCATTCGGTACTCCCAACATTGACACGGTGGGTTACTTTGAGGCATGGTGGGATTTGCGAAGGAGTTGGGGGTACACTGAGGGATAAGCTGCATCTTGTAGTGGGGCGTATGAGATGCAGAAGGTTCGGGAGGGCATGGCGACTCGCCGGGCGGTGGGGGGGGGAGGGCTCGGGGGTGCCCAGGGAAGAGCGTGAGGCTGACGCGCCACTCCCCTTCTGTTCACAGCTCGGCTTCAGTGAGTGGCTGCAGATGGAACTGCGAGTTGATTCGGAGCGTGACCTTCTCACTCACACGGAGCGGTGAGTACTCCCCTGTCTCCCTGCGCGCCCCCAGCACTTGGTTCTTGATGTACCCCTCGGTGTCGAAGTCTTTGTGTCTCTATGTACCCTCGTGTAACTTCCATGACGCGCTGTGCACTCCGCGTGTTCTGGCTCTCCTTGACTCTGCATAGTCTACCAGTGCACCCATGGCCATGCCCTTTAGCACTTCTGTACCCCCGTGTGGCCTTTATCTTTTTGCCCTTAATATCCTGTGTAGTCCGTGTGCTCCCGTGTGCTCCTGTGTGCTCATCGTATACCACGTGTTCTCACCGTGTACGCTGTATGCACACCCCACGTACCACGTGTTCTCACGGTGTACGCTGTATGCACACTCCAGAGTCGGGTACGGACGATAGACTCGCTCGTGTCCGAGTGGGGGGGGGTACGTGAGCCCTGCAAAAGAGGAAGCCTTGGAGCTTGAGAAAGCCCGGGTAAAGAGCAACCTCAGGGTGGTGCTTTAGGGGGTGCTCAAGTTGGAATGGTCCCCGCCATCAGGACCCCCCGTAGAGCGCCCCGGGCCCCCACACCAATAATACATCTAAAGGGGGGTAAGCGGGGATGGGGGGGAGAAACCCACTGTTAAAAAGGGGCCCTGTGGTGGACGAGGATGGCTCGAATGAGGCAGCCTCTCAACCAAAAACAGTCGAAAACTATTCAGTGGGATCAAGAATGGTGTTCCTCAGATGTCTGTATAAAGTCGATCATCGGTTATCCGATGGCTTATGGGGGGGGAGGGGGCTCTGGATTTTTTTAAATGCCAGATAATTACTACATCATTATTTAAAATAGCTTATTTTTACACATTCTTGCATAGGTGTTGTGCGTATGTTTTTGTTTAGCATTTAAAATGTTTATTATGTGAAATTGGTATAAATAAACATACAAATAGACAAAAAATATCCTGTAAAAAGTTTCTGTATTTACTGTACCGTACTTACTACTACAATGTCGAAGACTCTGCAGTGGGTAATGTATGTAATACTACTACGCTCTTGTTTCAACAACTTGTGTTTTGAGCGATTTTGCTGGTTTAATCAGATTGGCCTGGCACTGTCCGATATATGTGCATGCCGGATAATCGATGATCAACTGTTTATTTCCACTGTCAACGTGAAGCTGTGGAGAAAATAGTTTCCGACAGGCTTGTAGGTTGTGGGTGGTAGTTAAAGTGGGAAAAACACAATGGCGTTCAATAAAGCTTAGAGGTGTGCCATTGGATATGGTACGCCACGAGTGGTCGAGAAAAGGTTACACAACCTCTCAGATGACCAGAGTGTAAGGTGAGGTCTTAATGCCACTCCCCTGAGTGGTTGCCAGGGACCGGTTGGCAGATCATGTCGCATAAAGCCCTCAGTCGTAGATGGACCAGGCCACGTAAAAAGGGATGTAAAAATTCATTTTTTGGTGGCCGCCACTTCACTCTGTGGCCTCTTCAGGGAAACTGGCCCAAAAGGCCATACTGAAATTTTAAAAGCAAAGCTAATAGTACGGCTCTGAGAAAGGCTCTCGAAGCGCTTCACCTGGCCACGGTTGGACAAAGAGAGAAGAGAGAAATGGAGGATCCCACGAGATATCCTATGCTCTTTGAGGCATAGGACCCAGGGACAAGGTCAAGCTCGCAGAACTGGAAAAACCGCAGCTGTCCTAGTCGGGACCGTTCCTCACCAGGGATCTACCGGCAAGGCATAATAAAGCTGTTACACTTCCAGAGTCTCTGAAGAAGCAGATTCACGGACTATGCTCAGCCTCAAGGCTGTTAAGCACTGGACGAGGTACACACTAAAACTTTCGTGCCGGTCCCACGTGTGGATGCCACCGTGGTGGTGAAGGTGCTTCCAGGGTCACTGATTTGCAGGACGAAACCAGGAAACCTCCAAGCCTCCTGCCGGACACTACGGGCAAGACATTGATTGAATAATAATTTGAGAACGGTTATCGCCCCGCAGTTTCTGCCCCACGTGCATCGCCACGTGCAGGGGCGTTCACAACCGAGTTCATCCTCAAGTCTTTGGGGGTGACTCTCAAGGCCAACAAGGAAGAAGAAGAACCGGGAATTTCGCCATACCTACCTCGAACATCTGAGACGTGGCCATGTTCTCTCTCGACCTGCTCGCTTCCGCCGTAGTGGGCTAAAGGGACGCAATCTTCTAGAAGCGGACAAAGACGATCGCCGGCTCAAGGGGGCGCTGTTGTGCGCTTCCACTGGTCGAAAGGGAGATATCCTCTCAACAAACACTTGCCGGAATAATGTCTCAAAAGGAAGTGGACGATGCCAGTCCTGGTACTACAACGGGAAGGCTGCTTCCAAGCCGGCCTGAGGTCACCACTTTGCCCGGTGGGGGGGGGGGGCAAAACGAAGGATAAAGCCCAAATCACCACAGAGCATTGATTAGATTATTCGTGAAAGGGGTCACGATTGCTAAATGTGAAGAATGACATTGGATCAGTGGCCGGCGGTATAGAAAGTTTATTTTTTTAAATTAGGTGAGTAATGCGCGCGAGTACTCTCCATGTCCTTATCCTCAGTGCTTTTAACTCGTTTAAGTTGTTGAGTCTGCGCTGCTTGTGTTGTGTTTGTTGTCTCACTTCTCCTTCTCCCCCCAACTCTTCTCCACACAGCCTCGGTTTTGTCCGTGGAAAGAGAGAGAGGGTGTTACGTTTCTTTGTGTGTCCCCTGCCTTGAGTGCCCTTTGCTATCAGCCGTCGTGAGGCTTATGGGTAAGGGGCGGGGAGGGAAGGTCAAGTAGAGGGGGGGGGGGGGGTCCTAGGGGGGTTATGACTCCTTTTCTGGGAATTGTCGGGAGCAGATTATTGCTCTGAGGGACGTAAGTTCACAGGCTCACACGTCACGTATAAACTATTTTATCAGTGGTATTTTATTCCGTGACTTTCCATTTTTTCCCCTTTCTTTGCCGTCCCCCTTGCCTTTATGTTAATTATCTTTTCCCTTACCCCTCCCCCCCAAAGACAAAGATCTCCCGTGTAGCCTTAACAAACTGTTGGTGCAAGTACTGTAAGCGAGCAGCACCTATGAAGCCCGGCACGGCGCACGAGGGGGTGGGTGGCCAGCACCACGCCATGCTGCCTTTGTATCCCTAGTGGCGATGTTTACACACGGCACCAGGTACTCATTTCGGGCTGAGTCGATCTAGGCGGAGGCCCAGAATCGATTTAGAGAATCGTCACCGGTGTTAGCTGTAAGGGAAAATCTAAATTTGGTCGCTGGGTTAGTATTACAGCGCACTAACCCCTGCACCACCGCTCCTCACCTTCCCCCTGTTTGAACTTTCACTGATCTGTTGGAGGCTGCCCACCTGGGTGGGGCAGTGACCCCAATCCACCCAAGCCCTGGCGTGGCGTCGATCTCGGGGCTTTTGCTTGCTGGATCCCACCCCCCTCTTCTTTTGTGACCGATGTACCAGGCTCACGTGAAGTTGAAACAATAACAAAAACATGATACCCTGCCCAGGTTCGAACACCAGCGCTGGAAGATCTTCACTCAATTTCTTCCGTGCCCCGTGGTCAATGGCGGCTGTGGCAGCTCCTACCACGTGGCCTGCAAGCTCCTCCTGTCCACCCTGCTCCACGCACACGCCCAGTGAGACACCTGTGGACAAGTGCTGTGTGTAGAGTGACAGTGCTGTGTGTAGAGTGACAGTGCTGTGTGTAGAGTGACAGTGCTGTGTGTAGAGTGACAGTGTGTGCTGTGTGTAGAGTGACAGTGTGTGCTGTGTGTAGAGTGACAGTGTGTGCTGTGTGTAGAGTGACAGTGTGTGCTGTGTGTAGAGTGACAGTGCTGTGTGTAGAGTGACAGTGTGTGCTGTGTGTAGAGTGACAGTGCTGTGTGTCGATTGACAGTGTGTGCTGTGCGTAGAGTGACAGTGCTGTGTGTAGAGTGACAGTGCTGTGTGTAGAGTGACAGTGCTGTGTGTAGAGTGACAGTGTTGTGTGTAGAGTGACAGTGTGTGCTGTGTGTAGAGTGACAGTGTGTGCTGTGTGTAGAGTGACTGTGTGTAGAGTGACAGTGTGTGCTGTGTGTAGAGTGACAGTGTGTGCTGTGTGTAGAGTGACAGTGTGTGCTGTGTGTAGAGTGACAGTGTGTGCTGTGTGTAGAGTGACAGTGTGTGTTGTGTGTAGAGTGACAGTGTGTGCTGTGTGTAGAGTGACAGTGTGTGCTGTGTGTAGAGTGACAGTGTGTGCTGTGTGTAGAGTGACAGTGCGTGCTGTGTGTAGAGTGACAGTGTGGGCTGTGTGTAGAGTGCCAGTGTTGTGTGTAGAGTGACAGTGTGTGCTGTGTGTAGAGTGACAGTGCTGTGTGTAGAGTGACAGTGTGTGCTGTGCGTAGAGTGACAGTGTGTGCTGTGTGTAGAGTGACAGTGTGTGCTGTGTGTAGAGTGACAGTGCGTGACTGTGTGTAGATTGGCAGTGCGTGCTCTCTTACCACGTGCGTTGTGTGTGCTGTGTGCAGGCCGAGTCAGGCTGGGGGTCGTGACCTCTCCTCCCCATGCAATCGCAGCAATAGCTGCTTCTCCGAGTTCCTGTGCCGGCTGCAGGTGCTGACGCGACTCTCACAACACTCCTGCTTATTCGGCACTTCTTCACTTTGCTGCTCCGACATCACTCCCTTAACTCGCAGTTTCATTTTACCCTGAAAACGGCGGTCTGTACTTAACCTCATCAGAATAATTGCATGACAGATGCGGTCATCCGCTCCAAAACCAATGGGCAATTAAGAATATCCCACATTGCGACCGCGATCACCAATCGCAAAGCGGAGACTATCTGATAATCAATACCCACTTGAATCGTTCGCTGTGAGAATTTCAGATATTCACCAAGCTACTCTTGAAACTGTGATTTTAACACGTAGTAGTAGTAATAGGAGGAGGCTTTCACCACCAACATTATCCACAATAAAGGTTTTGTTGGGTTATATCGCGTAAATATAAATGTGTCGTTAACCCACCACCGCCCGACACAAAATGTGCCAATTAGTTACGAGTTCAGTGCACTATTTACAATTTGAGTGCGCCGTTTTGCTGGTGATTACAACCCGCCTCATCAGGCGATTTGCCAAAATTGTGAAGAAGTCCTCCTGTTTTTGTCTTTAATAGAGTAAAGGTGATATCATCACTGTGAGCCTATCAGGTGCGAAGACCAGAGGGGGGGGGTAATGTCATCATGTACATTGCAATGGATAATGTTAATTGCTCCTGTGTCCACTGCTATGTGTGTCAAAGGGGACGAATTATACTGGTAGGAACGAAGTGGACCAGCCTAATAGATTATTTCGTCCATCCGTCCGATGTCCGATTACGTGTAGCAACATCGCCCGCTACTGAAAACACTTGGCATGACCCTACAAAAACCTTTAGACTCTGTGAGGCTTTCCTGGCTAAACACGTGTAACATTCCCTTATAATTCCCTGAGATAAAGCCTAGAATTAGGCCTCAAAGTTTCCCTTCGTATCGTACCCCCGCGTGTGTGCAAGGGAGTTAATGTTTAACAATGTTACATTCCCTGATGCTTTTAAATATAAACATTTAAATTTAAAGCTTTTACATATATAATAAAAACATTTACATTTAAAATTAACTCACGGCGGCCTAAAGCCTACAGCTAGGCCTAAAGCCTAGAACGAGGCCTCGAACTCTCCCTTCGTATTGTACCCCCGCGTGTGTGAAAGGGAGTTAATGTTTAACAATGTTACATTCCCTGATGTTTTTCAATATAAACATTTACATTTAAAGCTTTTACATTAATAATTATAACATTTAAATTATACATTAATAATTAAAACATTTAAATTAAAAATTAACTCAGCGCCCTAAAGCCTACAGCTAGGCCTAAAGCCTAGAACTAGGCCTCAAAATCTCTCTTCGGATCGTCCGATTAGGTGTAGCAACATCGCCCCCTACTGCAAACACTTGGCAGGACCCTAAAAAAACCTTTAGACTCAGTGGGGCTTTCGTGGCTTAACAAGTGTAATAATACATTATGTTTATATTCTTTGGTTATTCGTTCCTACCAGCCGATCCCGCAGGGTCCTGTTTAGCATAAAACTAAAAGAACACCAAAACAATATTAAATTCTCGAAAACACAACTGTCGGCAGTTGCAGAACATGCGTGCCAACAAGGACATTATATTTATTTTGATACTGGTAAGAACAAAGTGGACCAGCCTCCAATAGATTATACTGGTAGGAACGAAGTGGACCAGCCTACAATAGATTATATCGTCCGTCCGTCCGACCGTGTAGCAACATCTCCCCCTACTGCAAACACTTGGCATGACCCTACAAAAACCTTTAGACTCAGTGACGCTTTCCTGGCTAAACAAGTGTAACATTCCCTTATAACTCCCTCAGATAGCTTTTAATTAAAACATTTAAATTAATGAGGCTTTCCTGGCTAAACAAGTGTAACATTCCCTTATAATTCCCTGATATAGATTTTAATTAAAACTTTTAAATTAAAATTTTACTCACAGCGCCCTAAAGCCTACAGCTAGGCCTAAAGCCTCGAACTACGCCTATCACTCTCCCTTCGTATCGTACCCCCGCGTGTGTGCAAGGGAGTTAATGTTTAACAATGTTACATTCCCTGATGCTTTTAAATAGAAACATGTAAATGTAAAGCTTTTACATAAATAATAAAAACATTTAATTTTAAAATTAACTCACGGCGGCCTAAAGCCTACAGCTAGGCCTAAAGCCTAGAACTAGGCCTCAACCTCTCCCTTCGTATCGTACCCCCGCGTGTGTGAAAGGGAGTTAATGTTTTACAATGTTACATTCCCTGATGTTTTTAAATAGAAACATTTACATTTAAAGCTTTTACATAAATAATTAAAACATTTAAATTAAAAATTAACTCACAGCGGCCTAACGCCTACAGCTAGGCCTAAAGCCTAGAACTAGGCCTCACACTCTCCCTTCGTATCGTCCGATTCGGTGTAGCAACATCGCCCCCTACTGCAAACACTTGGCAGGACCCTACAAAAACCTTTAGACTCAGTGGGGCTTTCCTGGCTAAACAAGTGTAATAATACATTATGTTTATATTCTTTGGTTATTCGTTCCTACCAGCCCACCCCGCAGGGTCCTGTTTTCGTCCGTCCGTCCGTCCGATGTCCGATTACGTGTAGCAACATCGCCCCCTACTGAAAACACTTGGCATGACCCTATAAAAACCTTTAGACTCTGTGAGGCTTTCCTGGCTAAACAAGTGTAACATTCCCTTATAATTCCCTCAGATAGCTTTTAATTAAACATTTAAATTAATTAGGCTTTCCTGGCTAAACACGTGTAACATTCCCTTATAATTCCCTGAGATAGCTTTTAATTAAAACTTTGAAATTAAATAAAAAACTCACAGCGCCCTAAAGCCTACAGCTAGGCCTAAAGCCTAGAACTAGGCCTCAAAGTCTCCCTTCGTATCGTACCCCCGCGTGTGTGCAAGGGAGTTAATGTTTAACAATGTTACATTCCCTGATGCTTTTAAATAGAAGCATTTAAATTTAAAGCTTTTACATAAATAATAAAAACATTTACATTTAAAATTAACTCACGGCGGCCTAAAGCCTACAGCTAGGCCTAAAACCTAGAACTAGGCCTCGAACTCTCCCTTCGTATCGTACCCCCGTGTGTGTGAAAGGGAGTTAATGTTTAACAATGTTACATTCCCTGATGTTTTTCAATAGAAACATTTACATTTAAAGCTTTTACATTAATAATTATAACATTTAAATTATACATTCATAATTAAAACATTTAAATAAAAAATTAACTCACAGCGCCCTAAAGCCTACAGCTAGGCCTAAAGCCTAGAACTAGGCCTCAAAATCTCCCTTTGGATCGTCCGATTAGGTGTAGCAACATCGCCCCCTACTGCAAACACTTGGCAGGACCCTACAAAAACCTTTAGACTCAGTGGGGCTTTCCTGGCTTAACAAGTGTAATAATACATTATGTTTATATTCTTTGGTTATTCGTTCCTACCAGCCCACCCCGCAGGGTCCTGTTAATGTTTATGTTTTGTGTAAAACTAATTATTACTGGCCACGGCTATTTCGAGAATCTATTGAAATTGAGAGAAATTCAATTATTTTCACCATTCTGATAGCTACAGGCTTGGCACTGCTTGGAATCGTATTATGAAGTAACACACCATTTAATCTTGATTTGAAGCTTTCGTGATTGCAGGAATACATACTCTTTGGTTCTTTCGGTAAAGTCACGTAGGTAGAAATAACATAAAATAAAACAAATCACGACGTTTCGATCGCAACACAAGCAATCTTCATCAGGTGGAACAACCACAGCAAGTAAATGTTGAAGTAGGCGAGAGAGCTGCCATGGAAAGAGGTTATTTAGGTAAGAAAGGGGGGAGAGAGGGGGAGGGGTGTGGGGTAGGGGAGTAATACCCCATTTAATTATCATATGTTGATTAACTGTGACTATTCCAACCGGTAATATGTACTGCATATTCTCAAATTAACATAAGGAATGCATATATGTTTAACTTATTTCGCACCCTACATTGCCAACCATGCTAATCGGAGATGCGGGGATGGACAAGCTAAACACGAAAAGCAATTCACCATACGTTGATGAACTCCAACTAACCCAACCGATAATTATAATAGGTACTGCATCTTCTCAGATTAATATGACCCATTGTAATCTACATGACCACATTATAACCCCCCTCTGGTTTTCGCACCCGATAGGCTCATAGGGACAGCGTATGGGAAGCCACGGCGTTCACTGTGGTTTGTGCTGCTCTGTTGGCCACGAAGCATCCAGATTGCAGAGGGGGGCTGCCAGGCTTTAACGAGCTGTGGCGAGTCAAGTCCAAGTCTGCGGTGACATCGCTCCAATGTTTCCATTCGCATAGAGTCCAGGGACTCGAGCAGTGCAGTGTCCTCTTATCTCGGTCACCAGTTCTGATGAACTCTTTCAAGAGTCTGTTTCTGGTTGCTAACATGGCGTGTGTATCAGAATCGGCATATTTATACTGCAAGAGGAACCCGATGAGCGATAAAGATATTTTTCACAGATGTCCAGTAGGGGCGGGTAAGAATTTTACAACAACAAACAGCACGAAACACAATAGAGTGCAAAGTAGAAGAAAGGTAAACAAATTGCCCAAACACAAACAAATACAACTAAACCATCCCCATCCTACCAAGCAAAGCCTACTAAGGTATTAACTTATTTTTTTCAGAAGTGACCTGGCCACAAATTATAGTTTTTTTCCCAATACCACTTCAGATGTCAGATTTCTTTTTGAATAGATTGAAGTTTACAGGCTTCGGCTCCAGCTTCCTCAATTGAACTTTGGTTTCTCTTTCACAGCCAGGTCACGGTCACCCTTGAAGTGCCAATGCGGCCGTGGTCTGGAAGGTTATGACCGGTATAAGTAATCCAATTTCGCTGTCCAATCTTGTCCTTTGAGACAAAGTTCAAGTCTGGGTTTTATGCTCCTTATTCCATCAGGCCGCGTTGAATTGTGCCTGGCTGTTTAGGGTCGTATGTGAGGGATTTCTTGTGCCGAAGACCATTCCTCGAGTTTCCTCTCTTTTTATTTTAGTAGCCCCATTCATTATACGCGTTGGCTATTGAAGTCACCCAACACCAATAGCCGAGCGAGTGGCTGTTGGCTAAGCTCGTATATACATTGATGCCCGTCGTCAAATAACCAGCTGTGATGGTTATTGTCAGTGCCGATGCTTGTGGTGGCGGCGGTGGATTTGAGAGCGTGGGGAGCGTTCGTGTAGCGGTTAGCGCGCTGCGCTACAAACCCGGCGACCCGAGTTTACCTGCCTGGCACTTTGTTCGTTGTTGTGAGTATCACTCTGCTGCTGCTGCTGGAGGGGACTGCCTCCAACTGCCCAATAGCATCCTTCACGAGCCTCTTCCACAGAGGCCGATGTTGACACCACCTGTACCAGTCATTGGCAAGTCTAATCAACTCCTCGTCCTCCTCTACTCACATCGTTTACCCCCTTCTGTCTGGCCAGACAGCAGCCGCTTATGCATGCGGCAGCGGCTGGGTATGTGGGCTGTGTGACCCAGCTAACGCAGCCTCCTCGCCCGCCTCGCACCGACCACACACAAACAACTGTGACTCACTTCCTCACCGTGGCGACGTGTGCAGGAGTTGGCGGTTGATGTGGAGGTTCCGTCCACTTCACTGGGCGAGAAAGTTCCCCAGCACTGGCTGCTCGAGGGACTGAGGGAGAGCTTCCAGCAATTAGACGAGTGGCAGGCTGCAGGGCAACAGCAGCAGCAGGCCGAGAGTTTTGCCACCCCCGAGCAAGAGACACTAATGCACTCCTTTGTGAGGTTCGTGAAAGCTCTTCCCAAAAGCAAATGTTGGTCATTTTTTTCGTGTTATAAATGTTGCAAAGTTGAGCCACGTTGGTTAAGCATTGTCAAAGGTTCGAGTTTAAATATAAAATAGAGCTAACCAGCAAGTAATTCAATTAAGTTAAGATTACTATAAATGTTACTGCTAAATTATAATTATATAGTTTAGGACGTCCCAATTTAATATTGTAAATGAATGCTGAAACTTCATGTTGGGTCTGTAACGCTGAACACCAGATCCTCCACTTGAAATCTTAAAAATCCCACCATTAAATGCATGCTTGGCTGATTCCGCTCATGAACACACTCATCCTACCACTTCTCGTGCCAAAATTGTGGAATATGACCGATGTCTTGAGTCGCAATGGGTCTAGATGTTATCTCCATTGTTAAATAAAGGTTTACAACTGCTACTACTTCTACACACTGGACTTGCAAACTACAGGTTGCCAGTTCAATTCCATATTCTGGCTCGGCAGTTGAAATGATGGCGCAAGTTTCTTAAATCGAAAGGCCCACTGTGCTATTTAGCTCTTTTTCGGAAGCGACTTGGCCACAAATGATAGCACATCACGTGGAAATGTATAGCCGCCAAATACTCTAAACGCACGTTGATTCTAAATGTGGAGGGGAAAACCGGAGGACCCAGAGAAAAATACACTGGATCACGGGGAGAACATTCAGACTCCAAATATAGTCATTAGGGTCTGGATCGAACCCCCGACCTCGTGTATACCAAGAGAGGTAGTTAACATCTCACCACTGGGGCGCCCTCCGTCGTGGCACCATCAGCGGTATTAATGGATATGCCACAGTCGATCGACAAATCTGCGTGTCGACGGGTAAAGTGTGGGTAACTCCCACCTCAGAGTGGAGGCGCCCTCCATCCATGTGGGTTGTGAGAAAGTAATTGCAAACGCTGCAACCTTCATCTGACCACTTGGTGTGATGATAACGACGTGAGCCGCCTCAGCAAGAAGCAGAGTTCAACTCCTAGCTTGGGCACCGCTCTGTGTTGCGCTTGTACGTTCTCTCTCTCTCACCCCCCTTGTTCTGCACGGGTTTCCTCTCGTTTCTCCTGTTTCCTCCGAGAGCAACAACAAAAAACTGCACAATGTAACTGTTATTGGCCAATTTAACACGTAGTAGTCGGGCTTTCGCGACCAGTATTATCCATAATACAGGTTTTTGGCTTAGATCGCGTAAATATAAATGTGTTGTTAAACCTGCCACCACCTGACACAGCCAATTAGTAAGGTGTGTCACGTAATCAAAACAAACCAATTAGGCACACCCGTGTGTTTGAGAGGAAACCCACAATTCTGGCTGTCACCTTATGATGCTAGTTGTAGTTACCGACGAAACGTCATGATACTCGAATTGTAAATGTTGTGGGTTTACTCTTCAACACACACACGGTGTGCTGAAGTAGTTACTATTTGGCACGTTTTGTTTATGTGACAAACCTTATATTTCAGCAATCTAACCCAAAATCCTCTTATGGATGTTATTGGCCAAACTTCCCAATGCTGAAACATTACCAGCCAATTACTCGATTGGAATTGCACAAAGCAACATCACTACTACGAGAATTTGGCATAATACAATGTACTTGGCCCGCTTATGTATGTTATTAGAACCATCATCATGTACAAAAATCAATGCGCGTGTGGGTGGGGCCAAGGGAGCATCAGGGGGAGGGGCTATCCTATATCCTGGCCTATTGCAATACGTTCAGCAGCTAAATGCCAATGTCTGCTTCTCGCCATGCGCGTGCTTCAGGAGAGAGAGAGAGAGAGTTTGTGTTGTTTTTTCTGTTCCTCCTTCATTGAAGGGGCGTAGACTACAGTGGTTTTATTATATGGACCGTAGTTAGTGTTGCACGGCCACAAACGTTACGACTGTGGCTTGCCTTGAAATTTCTATTCGTGAAGGAGCTGCGTTGGTGGGTCTGTGCTCTTTTTGGTTTTGAGGCACCTCGGTTTCCGGAGGAGCTGCTAGGCTTTACAGCCAGAGTAAGTGAAGTCCAAAACTCGGTGACGTCTTCCCAACATTTTCTTCATGCAGAGTTCAGGGACTCTAGCAAGTACCAAGTGCTGTTTAATCTCACTCACCGGTTCTGATGAATTATTTCAAGAGTAGTTCTGTTCCTGGTTGCCTAGGGGTTGTCACGTACGAGGAGGGGGGGACACCCAGGGGGTGTGGCGATCTGGGACCGTCAGTGAAGAAGCGTATTGTGTATCGTGTTGCTAGGTTGAGTAGAGTGTACTGTGTCGTGCTCAGTGTGTGGTGCTTTAGCGGGGCGCTGTCCAGCAGGTGGGTGGGTGCTGAAGGTCGTCGTTGTTGCAGGGTGCTGTTGGGCTTGCCTGCCGAGACCTTGCTCACGAGGCCTTCCAGAGACGACGCCGGCCTTCGTGACCTCTTCAGCCTGACCAACAACGAATTGGTACGAGCAGAGATTTGTCTCACCGGCGTCTCACACACACACCACAGTCACTGCATCATTGTGCAACACTTCCATACGCGCTTTCACAGGCACCTGGAATGCTCTTCCGATATTAGGAAGCCGCTGGAGCTACGCACATTTAAATCATCGTCTAGATTGAAAACTAATTTTTTTAGAACTGATTTTTGTGTTTAGTTTGTTTTCGTTCCCCGGCACCTCTGATTAGCACGGTTGGCTACGCACGGTGAGAAAGAAGTTCAATATACACACATACAAAGACACAGATACAGTTCCCCCGTCTAGCCTCACCGGACTGTTGGGGCAAGTGCTGTTAGTGAGCATCTATGAAGGCTGGCATGGCAGACGAGGGAGTGGGTGGCCAGCACCATGTGCGGCCGCGTTTACTGATGCTATTTTACTGACATTACTCATGTTTACACACCGCGCCAGGTACTAATTTGATGATGAGTCAACCTACGGGAGGCCCAAGACCGATTCATATAATCGTCACTGGTGTTGGCAGTAAGCGGGAATTGAACTCGAAGGCTTGCTGGCAGGAGTTTATGGGACAGACCCAGGTGCCATGTGTTGATTTCCCGAGAATGACTGGCAGATGCACCAGCTGTGCCACTCATTGTGCCAACTTGCTGCATTTTAGCCGCCCGTCGCTCAATTACAGCAAGTTTTGAGCGTTGCTCCTGTGCCCTCCGTTGTTGTTGAATGACGACTGCCTCTAACTGTCCAGTAGCGTCCTTCACGAGCCTCCTACATAGAGGCCGATCTTGATACTGCCGGTACCAGTTATCGGCAAGTTCACGGAGCTCCACATCCTCCTGTACCGCATCAGTCAATCTCTTTTCCAGCCTGTGTCGTGCCTTTAGAGCCCCCCCTATCCAGCCAAACAGGGCATGCGGTGGTTGGGCATGAGAGCTACATGACCCAGCCAACGTAGCCTTACCCAGCAGAGGAGCTCACTGATCTACGCATCACAAACACACACAAGCACACACGTGCTCAATGCACGTACACACATACTGTGGCCAGCTTAACATAGGAGGCAGGGGCCGACGATCAGCAGCAATGCGTGCATTATAATAAACCAGTGTTGGAATGTGCGTAGCTCCAGCGATTTTAGTTCAATAATGCTTGTTGACTCTACGGCACAGAGCATAGTGTTTGTAGAACTTACTTTATTGTAAAAAAAAACAACCCTATGACAATCGGTGTACCCCAGGTGCCCACTTGTATAGCCTGAAGCCAGAAATTAAACGCAGAGCATGGCCTGTAATTGTGGTTGTCTGTAGGTGGATTTGGTTGTTGGTGTAGAAGCTGTCCGGCTGTAGGTGCATAGCTGTACAGTGAGGGAAAAAAGTATTTGATCCCCTGCTGATTTTGTACGTTTGCCCACTGGCGAAGAAATGATCAGTCTATAATTTTAATGGTAGGTTTATTTGAACAGTGAGAGACAGAATAACAACAACAAATCCAGAAAAGCGCATGTCAAAAATGTTATAAATTGATTTGCATTTTAATGAGGGAAATAAGAATTTGACCCCCTCTCAATCAGAAAGATTCCTGGCTCTCAGGTGTATTTTACACAGGTAACGAGCTGAGATTAGAAGCACACTCTTAAAGGGAGTGCTCCTAATCTCAGCTTGTTACCTGTATAAAAGACACCTGTTCACAGAAGCAATCAATCAATCAGATTCCAAACTCTCCACAATGGCCAAGACCAAAGAGCTCTCCAAGGATGTCAGGGACAAGATTGTAGACCTACACAAGGCTGGAATGGGCTACAAGACCATCGCCAAGCAGCTTGGTGAGAAGGTGACAACAGTTGGTACGATTATTCGCAAATGGAAGAAACACAAACGAACTGTCAATCTCCCTCAGCCTGGGGCTCCATGCAAGATCTCACCTCGTGGAGTTGCAATGATCATGAGAACGGTGAGGAATCAGCCCAGAACTACACGGGAGGATCTTGTCAATAATCTCAAGGCAGCTGGGACCATAGTCACCAAGAAAACAGTTGGTAACACACTACGCCGTGAAGGACTGAAATCCTGCAGCGCCCGCAAGGTCCCCCTGCTCAAGAAAGTACATATACATGCCCGTCTGAAGTTTGCCAATGAACATCTGAATGATTCAGAGGACAACTGGGTGAAAGTGTTGTGGTCAGATGAGACCAAAATGGAGCTCTTTAGCATCAACTCAACTCGCCGTGTTTGGAGGAGGAGGAATGCTGCCTGTCCCCAAGAACACCATCCCCACCGTCAAACATGGAGGTGGAAACATTATGCTTTGGGGGTGTTTTTCTGCTAAGAGGACAGGACAACTTCACCGCATCAAAGGGACGATGGACGGGGCCATGTACCGTCAAATCTTGGGTGAGAACCTCCTTCCCTCAGCCAAAGCATTGAAAATGGGTCGTGGATGGGTATTCCAGCATGACAATGACCCAAAACACACGGCCAAGGCAACAAAGGAGTGGCTCAAGAAGAAGCACATTAAGGTCCTGGAGTGGCCTAGCCAGTGTCCAGACCTTAATCTCATGGAAAATCTGTGGAGGGAGCTGAAGGTTCGAGTTGCGAAACGTCAGCCTCGAAACCTTAATGACTTGGAGAAGATCTGCAAAGAGGAGTGGGACAAAATCCCTCCTGAGATGTGTGCAAACCTGGTGGCCAAATACAAGAAACGTCTGACCTCTGTGATTGCCAACAAGGGTTTTGCCACCAAGTACTAAGTCATGTTTTGCAGAGGGGTCAAATACTTATTTCCCTCATTAAAATGCAAATCACATTTTGACATGCGTTTTTCTGAATTTGTTGTTGTTATTCTGTCCCTCACTGTTCAAATAAACCTACCATTAAAATTATAGACTGATCATTTCTTTGTCAGTGGGCAAACGTACAAAATCAGCAGGGGATCAAATACTTTTTTCCCTCACTGTATGTAAGCATGCGTGTATGCGTGGCTGTGCTAACTGTGTTGGCTGCTGTGTCGTCCTCAGAGGGCTTTCTGCTGCGAGGGCTCCATACTGCCTCGGAGCATCACTCTGCATCTCACAAGAGTGAGTGCCTTGGCTCACAGCCACCATCAGCAATCCGCAGCCACACGTCCCAAATTCCACTCCAGTGGCACCGACTGCAGGGTTACATTTTGGGACCACTTGTTCAGCCTGTATATAAACTAATTAAAAACTTAACTCTTTTTATTTTACCAGGTAAAGCCCACTGAGCTATATAGCTCTTTTAAGAAGTGACCTGGCCACAAATGATAGCTCAAAGAAGTGGCTTATCATGTGAAAATTTATAGCAGCCAAATACTCTAAACGTGCTGTTTCCAAATGTGAAGGGAAAAAACGGAGGACTCGGAGAAAAATCCACATGACCACGGGGAGAACATGCAAAATCCAAATATACAGGCGTCAAGGTTGGGGTCAAACCCAATACAGTGATCCCTCGTTTATCGCGGTTAATGGGGACCGGAACCCCTCGCGATAGGTGAAAATCCGCGAAGTAGGATTGGCCCCCTAGGAATTTCCGTATATGTGTGTGTGGGTACCAGAATGTTTAAAATATGTATATTTATACTTTATATATATATATTTTACTTAAATCTATTTAATTATAAAACCTTAATATTATACATTCACTCTCTCTCTCTCATACGATACGTATTATGGTGTTCTACACTCACCAATGACAGTAGTATCTTGAGACTTGACTCCAGTAATGACGACGACGACGATGACAATGACGACGATGACAGACCTGTGCAGTTCGATGAATGTGATGATGAATGATGATGATGATGGTGTTACTGCACAGGTATAATGAGGCCTTTAAATCAGTTCGAAAAATCCGCGATGCACTGAGGCCGCGAAACTTGAACCGCGAAGTGGCGAGGGATTACTGTACCTGTATACCGGGTGAGGTAGTTAACATCTCACCACTGCGGCACATATACTACCGCTTGGCCAAATTTTTAATTGTCAATGGCTTAAATTTGTACTTTTATGATTGTTATGCAGGGTCGGTTTGACTATCCCAATAATTCCAAACCACACCTGGTCTGGAGTAATTGGAAGGCATAGGCTGTATCATCTCAATAACAACCGTCGGAGGTTGCTAGACTTCTGTACAGCCCATGGGCTTGTAATCACCAACACGCTGTTCCGGTATCGGTGCATCCACACAAGATTGTGGATGGATGCCGGCTCCAAGCAAGAACATCTTCTGGATTAAATAGCATGGCTTCAAAAGTGAGGATACATAAGGTTATTTTAATTATTTAACAATCACATGGGGTTATTAAATATATTTGTGCAAATGTTCAAACCGATTTCCATTATTAATTGATGCATGCATACTCTTTTTAAGTTAAAATATGACTTGCTTTTTTTAAGATTACACATGTAATCTTTGAACCTTCATCAATGGTGTTTTGTTTTAATCCTTTCGGGGTTCTTGGGCAAGTTTTTTAAACGCCACTTTTGAGGTGACCCCCACAGGAGGAAGAAAAATAAATATTAATAATGATCTTTGATCGAATATTAACTTAAATAATAAACAATTGCATGTTTAAAGGCCAGTGTTAAAATCCATGAAATAACCCGATGTGTCCTGTATGTCATGAATCCGCGGTTGGCAAGTCCGCGCTTGGCGAGGGATTACTGTATGTGCACATGCGTGGGCGTGTGCGTGCGTGCACATGCGTGTGTGTGCCCCAGGGCATACTGCTCAAGTGCTCGCGTTCACCGCACTGCTACGAGGCTGTGGCCTCCACGTGGCTCCAGCTGCTGACGTCGTCACCCCTCCTGTTCGTCTCCATCGCAGTGAGACCGGGGCTCACCTCTCCTCCACGCTCACCCCTCCACCATCCACGCTCACCCCTACACCATCCACGCTCACCCCTACAACATCCACACTCACCCCTACACCATCCACGCTCACCCCTACACCATCCACGCTCACCACTACATCATCCACGCTCACCCCTACAACATCCACACTCACCCCTAAACCATCCACGCTCATCCCTACACCATCCACACTCACCCCTACACCATCCACACTCACCCCTACACCATCCACGCGCACCCCTACACCATCCACACTCGCCCCTACACCATCCACACTCACCCCTACACCATCCACGCTCACCCCTACACCATCCACGCTCACCACTACATCATCCACGCTCACCCCTACAACATCCACACTCATCCCTACACCATCCACGCTCATCCCTACACCATCCACGCTCACCCCTACACCATCCACGCTCACCCCTACCCCATCCACGCTCACCCCTACAACATCCACACTCACCCCTACACCATCCACACTCACCCCTACACCATCCACACTCACCCCTATACCATCCAAGCTCACCACTACACCATCCACACTCACCCCTACACCATCCACGCTCATCCCTACACCATCCACACTCACCCCTACGCCATCCACACTCACCCCTACACCATCCACACTCACCCCTACACCATCCACACTCACCCCTACACCATCCACGCTCACCACTACAACATCCACGCTCACCCCTACAACATCCACACTCACCCCTACACCATCCATACTCACCCCTACACCATCCACACTCACCACTACAACATCCATGCTCACCCCTACAACATCCACACTCACCCCTACACCATCCACACTCACCCCTCCACCATCCACGCTCACCCCTACACCATCCACACTCACCCCTACACCATCCACACTCACCCCTACACCATCCACACTCACCACTACAACATCCACGCTCACCCCTCCACCATCCACGCTCACCCCTACACCATCCACGCTCACCACTACAACATCCACGCTCACCCCTACAACATCCACGCTCACCCCTACACCATCCACACTCACCCCTACACCATCCACACTCACCACTACACCATCCACACTCACCCCTACACCATCCACGCTCACCCCTACACCATCCACGCTCACCACTACACCATCCACACTCACCCCTACACCATCCACGCTCACCACTACAACATCCACGCTCACCCCTACAACATCCACGCTCACCCATACACCATCCACGCTCACCACTACAACATCCACGCTCACCCCTACACCATCCACACTCACCCCTATACCATCCAAGCTCACCACTACACCATCCACACTCACCCCTACACCATCCACGCTCATCCCTACACCATCCACACTCACCCCTACGCCATCCACACTCACCCCTACACCATCCACACTCACCCCTACACCATCCACACTCACCCCTACACCATCCACGCTCACCACTACAACATCCACGCTCACCCCTACAACATCCACACTCACCCCTACACCATCCATACTCACCCCTACACCATCCACACTCACCCCTACACCATCCACACTCACCACTACAACATCCACGCTCACCCCTACAACATCCACACTCACCCCTACACCATCCACACTCACCCCTCCACCATCCACGCTCACCCCTACACCATCCACACTCACCACTACAACATCCACGCTCACCCCTCCACCATCCACGCTCACCCCTACACCATCCACGCTCACCACTACAACATCCACGCTCACCCCTACAACATCCACGCTCACCCCTACACCATCCACACTCACCCCTATACCATCCAAGCTCACCACTACAACATCCACGCTCACCCCTATACCATCCACACTCACCCCTACACCATCCACACTCACCACTACAACATCCACGCTCACCCCTACACCATCCACGCTCACCACTACACCATCCACACTCACCCCTACACCATCCACACTCACCACTACAACATCCACGCTCACCCCTACAACATCCACACTCACCCCTACACCATCCATACTCACCCCTACACCATCCACACTCACCACTACAACATCCACGCTCACCCCTACACCATCCACACTCACCACTACAACATCCACGCTCACCCCTCCACCATCCACGCTCACCCCTACACCATCCACGCTCACCACTACAACATCCACGCTCACCCCTACAACATCCACGCTCACCCCTACACCATCCACACTCACCCCTACACCATCCACGCTCACCACTACACCATCCACACTCACCCCTACACCATCCACGCTCACCCCTACCCCATCCACGCTCACCCCTACACCATCCACGCTCACCACTACAACATCCACGCTCACCCCTACACCATCCACGCTCACCCCTACACCATCCAAGCTCACCCCTACACCATCCACGCTCACCCCTACACCATCCACGCTCACCCCTACACCATTCACGCTCACCACTACACCATCCACGCTCACCCCTACACCATCCACGCTCACCACTACACCATCCACACTCACCCCTACACCATCCACGCTCACCACTACAACATCCACGCTCACCCCTACAACATCCACGCTCACCCATACACCATCCACGCTCACCACTACAACATCCACGCTCACCCCTACAACATCTACGCTCACCCCTACACCATCCACACTCACCCCTATACCATCCAAGCTCACCACTACACCATCCACACTCACCCCTACACCATCCACGCTCATCCCTACACCATCCACACTCACCCCTACGCCATCCACACTCACCCCTACACCATCCACACTCACCCCTACACCATCCACACTCACCCCTACACCATCCACGCTCACCACTACAACATCCACGCTCACCCCTACAACATCCACACTCACCCCCACACCATCCATACTCACCCCTACACCATCCACACTCACCCCTACACCATCCACACTCACCACTACAACATCCACGCTCACCCCTACAACATCCACACTCACCCCTACACCATCCACACTCACCCCTCCACCATCCACGCTCACCCCTACACCATCCACACTCACCCCTACACCATCCACACTCACCCCTACACCATCCACACTCACCACTACAACATCCACGCTCACCCCTCCACCATCCACGCTCACCCCTACACCATCCACGCTCACCACTACAACATCCACGCTCACCCCTACAACATCCACGCTCACCCCTACACCATCCACACTCACCCCTATACCATCCAAGCTCACCACTACACCATCCACACTCACCCCTACACCATCCACGCTCATCCCTACACCATCCACACTCACCCCTACGCCATCCACACTCACCCCTACACCATCCACACTCACCCCTACACCATCCACACTCACCCCTACACCATCCACGCTCACCACTACAACATCCACGCTCACCCCTACAACATCCACACTCACCCCTACACCATCCACACTCACCACTACAACATCCACGCTCACCCCTCCACCATTCACGCTCACCCCTACACCATCCACGCTCACCACTACAACATCCACGCTCACCCCTACAACATCCACGCTCACCCATACACCATCCACGCTCACCACTACAACATCCACGCTCACCCCTACAACATCCACGCTCACCCCTACACCATCCACACTCACCCCTATACCATCCAAGCTCACCACTACACCATCCACACTCACCCCTACACCATCCACGCTCATCCCTACACCATCCACACTCACCCCTACGCCATCCACACTCACCCCTACACCATCCACACTCACCCCTACACCATCCACACTCACCCCTACACCATCCACGCTCACCACTACAACATCCACGCTCACCCCTACAACATCCACACTCACCCCTACACCATCCATACTCACCCCTACACCATCCACACTCACCACTACAACATCCACGCTCACCCCTACAACATCCACACTCACCCCTACACCATCCACACTCACCCCTCCACCATCCACGCTCACCCCTACACCATCCACACTCACCCCTACACCATCCACACTCACCCCTACACCATCCACACTCACCACTACAACATCCACGCTCACCCCTACACCATCCACACTCACCCCTACACCATCCACACTCACCACTACAACATCCACGCTCACCCCTCCACCATCCACGCTCACCCCTACACCATCCACGCTCACCACTACAACATCCACGCTCACCCCTACAACATCCACGCTCACCCCTACACCATCCACACTCACCCCTACACCATCCACGCTCACCACTACACCATCCACACTCACCCCTACACCATCCACGCTCACCCCTACACCATCCACGCTCACCCTTACACCATCCACGCTCACCACTACAACATCCACGCTCACCCCTACACCATCCACGCTCACCCCTACACCATCCAAGCTCACCCCTACACCATCCACGCTCACCCCTACACCATCCACGCTCACCCCTACACCATTCACGCTCACCACTACACCATCCACGCTCACCCCTACACCATCCACGCTCACCACTACACCATCCACACTCACCCCTACACCATCCACGCTCACCACTACAACATCCACGCTCACCCCTACAACATCCACGCTCACCCATACACCATCCACACTCACCCATACGCCATCCACACTCACCACTACACCATCTACACACACTCACCACTACACCATCCCAACTCAACACCCCTACACCATCCCTACTTTGATCCCCGCTCACGGCCATCATCGGTGACAATTATTTGAACCAGTCCTGGGCCTTCCCGAGGTGTGGTGTGTAAACACCACCACTGCAGAGACAAAAGCGGCCGGGCTTGGCGTTGGCCATCCACCCCTTGTGTACCGTGCCGGCCTTCATCGGTGCTCACTAACAGCACTTGCCCTAACAGTCTGTTAAGGCTATACGGGAGATTTTTGTATTTGTGTGGATATGAGTAACGGCGGACACAAGCGTGGTCCTCTACTGACCCTAGGTTTTCACGGCAATGTGTCACCATCCCCTTACCTAAATCCCATCGAGGAATCGGAAAATGGCCTTCGCAATTTATGGAATGGCGTGAAGCCACTTGGTACTCGGACTCTAAGGACACAGTCCCATCCGTGAGCTCGTCTGGCAGGTTGAGCTTTCGTTGGCCGGGTTCATGCAGCCTGCATGCTCATCCACAGCTTGCCCAATAAGCTTCTGTTTGGCCAAATAGAGGGGGATACATGGGCGTGGCATAGGCTAGAGAAGAGATGGACTGATGGCGGTCTAGAAGAATGTGGAGCTGAGTGGACTTGCTGATGACTGGTATCACTGCTGTCGAGATCTGCCTCTCAGTGGAGTGGAGGCTCATGGAGAATGCTACTGAGCAGTCTGAGCCACTTTCCCTCAAGCAACAACGGAGGGCAGATGGGTGATGCTCACAACAGCAAGCAGAGTGCCGGGAGGCTAAAAGGCAGCAAGTTGGCACAGTTGGGGGGGGGGGGGGGTACAGCTGATGCATCTGCCAGTCATTTCAGTCAGTCAGTCCATAACACCTGGGTCTGTCCCATGAGCTCCGGCCAGTAATCATTTCAGTCAGTCAGTCCATAACACCTGGGTCTGTCCCATGAGCTCCTGCCAGTAATCATTTCAGTCAGTCAGTCCATAACACCTGGGTCTGTCCCATGAGCTCCTGCCAGTAATCATTTCAGTCAGTCAATCCATAACACCTGGGTCTGTCCCTAGAGCTCCGGCCACTACTCATTTCAGTCAGTCAATCCATAACAACTGGGTCTGTCCCATGAGCTCCGGCCAGTAATCATTTCAGTCAGTCAGTCCATAACACCTGGGTCTGTCCCATGAGCTCCTGCCAGTAATCATTTCAGTCAGTCAGTCCATAACACCTGGGTCTGTCCCATGAGCTCCGGCCAGTACTCTTCCACACTTCTTGTGGCCTTAAGGTGCACCTAGCCTGACATGAGCGCTTTGGTGACATCACCGCCACCTAGTAGCGAATGGCAGTGGTTGGTGTGTGTGTGCTTGTAATTGTTATGTCCTGTTGGCTGTGTGTGTGTGGGGATCAGTGGTGACCTAACTTAAATTCCTGCTCGCGGTCATCAGTGGTGAACGCATCAACCAGTTCTGAGCTCCTCTATGTTGACTCAGCCTTAAATGAGTGCCTGATGCGGTGTGTAAAAATCACCACTGGGGGTTGGGTGTGGTGCTGACCACTATCACTATCTCGTGTGCCGTGTTGGCCTTCTTAGTTGCTCGCTTAAAGGCATATGTTCCTACAGTCTGGTAAGGCTACATGGGGGATCTTTGTGTGTGTGTGTATGTAGGGCTGGTGGCTTCAGCTGAGGCCAGTGCTGTCCGTGCTCTGTGGCCACTCGCCCTGGAAGGCCGGATTGCCCAATGAACTCCTCCGCCTGGATGAAGCCTACTTCTGTGCCCAGCAGTAAGATCCCGGCATCTGGAACAGACCCAGAGCGATGTCTTGTGAACAACCCTCAAGTTGGCGCATGCCTTGCCTGATAATTACGTTCCCTTGCCAGCCTCTGACACCCCAGTTTTCTAAATTGAAAACTAATTTCTTCATCACTGGTTTTTGTGTTTAGTTTGTTGTCCCACCCACCTCCAATGTACAATGCGAAAGAAGGTCAACATACACAGCGCACGCCTCAGCTCTTAACTCATCACCCTCCATCTTTCTACAGGGTCACATCCTGCAGTCAATTAATTGTCGAGGTCAGGCTGTCTCTACTATGCTGTTGTAGAGAGTGGGGGACCTTTTCCTTACTCTCTGAGGGCTGAATAGGACTTACAAATACCTTTGGTGGGTAAGCACACTATAAAATTATTTTTTAAAATATTTATATTTTACCAGGTAAGGTCCACTGAGCTATATAGATATGTTTCAGAAACGACCTGGCCACAAATGATAGCTCAACAAAAAGTGCCTTACCATGTGGACAAGTATTGCAGCCAAATACTCTAAACGCACGTTTCTAAATGTGGAGGTAAAAACCGGAGGACCCGGAGAAGAATCCACGCGACAACGGGGAGAATATGCAAACTCCAAATATATAGCAGGCGTCGGGGTCAGGATCAACCCACGACCTGTATACCAAGTGGGGTAGTTAACATTGCGCCACCATGGCGCCCTCTGCATTGGATAACACCTTGGCATTGTCCAATAATGTGAAAAATAACAGTGAGTGACAGAGCATGCAGTGCTCCTTGTTGTGACCATAATTGCCTGAGCACAACTCAAAAATTATCAATGCAGTGTTAGTGAAAACATTCACTAGGACCCGATCAGATGCTCGCAGAGACGGAATAAATATTGTGTTTGGGCTGTTCCTAAGTGACACTTGACAAGTAACTGTTGGCTTTGCGAATTAAAATCGCTGGGCACACGATCCACACCCCTGCCGCAGAGTTAGATGTCATTAAGAACGTTGTCGTGCGTACTGTCTGTACTGTATTGGGTGGTGACGTAGTCCGGTGGTAGCACGTTCGCCGCTTGTTACGCACATTTGTGGTGTTTAATCCGGCAGACCTGACTGCAGTGTTTATTAACCGTGAAATTCTACTCGTTGTCTGTTTCACAGCGTGGACGTTAAAGATCCCGTGATGTCATATGAAATGGGGGAGTGGGCAATTTGTGTGTGTGCAGCATCACGGTCCACATTTGCAAATAAAAAAAAAAATTCCCGCAAAAATCACTCAAATTTGTGATGACATATATCACCAATCATTGTCAGCCTCCTGCCACACGAGTGCCCCCTTGTAGGCCGGTGCCGAGCCACCTTGTGCAGCACAGGGAACAGGTGCCACTTGGGGTGGCTAGGAGATGTTAACTCGAACCCACGGCCTCTTGTATACCAGGTGAGGTAGTTAACATCTCTTTGTTTTCCTCTCACACAAAGCCAAATGAATACTGGATTGGCCAAACGCAAACATTCGAATGCAGGACCCTCCTAAAATAGTCTTCCACTCAGTCTGGTTTCCTGTGTGAAAACTCTAATTCGCATTATATTTATATTGCTCTTCGTCTTTGCTTTATGGATAAATGTTAGTCGTAATATATTTGCAAGTAGTTATATTTTGGCATTGCATCCTGGATCATTTGGGCACAACAGAGGCGAGATGTTTTCAGAAGTTGATGGGTTCGATCCTGACCCTAATGCCTGTATATTTGGAGATTGCATGTCTTTCTCCCCATGGTCGCGTCGGTTTTCTCCGGCTCCTCCGGTTTTTCTCTCCACATTTATAAACATGCGTTTAGAGTATTTGGCTGCTATACATTTTTACGTGTTAAGGCACTTTGTTGAGCTATCATTTGTGGCCACATTGTTTCTGAAAAAAGAGCTACATTACTCAGTGGTCCTTACCTGGTAAAATATAATAAATGTTTGAGATGTGATATAAGTGGCTTATCCTCTGTAAAATAATCAGAGAAACTCTACATATATATAAAGATTCATTATCTCAAATACCCTTGTGCGCTCTGGTGTCTTGAGCGGCACTGCATGAGAACGCAGTATCAACATGATATAATGATCATGAGGATTTTTTTATTGGGTGCAATTGTGAACAACAGCCATATCAGACATAATTACATCGAATCGGCATAATAATTGGTTCACTGTAGCTCAAAGACTCGGTCCGACAAGGCGTGTGGTGAAGTGAAGATATGGCCATGTGCTCGGCATCTGAACGCCTGAAGACCAGAATCGGTTATTTTGCCGACAATGTGTTCAGGGAGGCAGTTCCATATCCGGACAGCAGAGTGGTGATGATGATGAGGTCCCAGCTGTGGGCTACCTGAGCTTGCCGTGTCTTTGCGCCCTTTTTCAGGCTCGTGCAGGGCTGTGTTGACTCCACGGTCACCGTGGACATCCCCGGAGACGGAGCGTGGGCCTGCGCCGTAGCGCTGCACCAAGTGGCCGGGATGGCAGCCGTAGCCATTCTGCGGCGGACGAGCATCCTGTCTGTGAACGTGAGTGCGTGCGCATGAGTTACACGGCGCGCGGAGCGTCGCACGCGGAGACGTTTACCCGCACAAGAGATCTCCACGTTCACCACAGAGCGTTATTCTAGTTCCAGATCCCAGTTTAGTTGCGTGGGTGTGTGCATGGTTGTGATTGTTACGTGCTTTTGGCAGTGTGTGTGTGTTTGGAGCGTTGGAACCTTGATCTGTACGCTGTGCTACGAACCCCGGTAACCCGCGTGTGGTTTCTGCTCATGGCCAAAATCTGTTACAAATATCTGAACTGGTCCTACGCCTCCGCTAACTTAACTCAGCCTTAAGGAAGGACAACAAACTAAACACAAGAAATGAGTTTCAATCTAGATGATTTAAAAGTGCATAGCTCTTGTGTCGAATGTTGGATGGGTGGGTTTGCGGCCGTCAGGCGCTGGAATCCTGCGGGCGATACAATGGAATTCTTCTGAGGCGTAACCTCCGGGCTCGCTCGCCCCAGCTTGTCGGACACAACAGACACCCGGCACTCAGGAGGTGGAGATGAACTGTCAACACAGGGCGGAATATAGGGTTTCAACCGTGACAGGTGCACAAACCAGCACCGGCGACCAACCTTTATATGCACGCACTGCGGCCTCTTGACTCCAATCACCTCAACAGGGCCCTGCCTCGGCCGGTGCAATTTAGGGGACGTACCCAGGGGCACCTGGGGACAATGCAACCCCACGCCTTGCCTCCAGCGGTCCATGGGGTCCCGGACTCCCGTTGCCCTACAAGTTTAGCCGAATCCCCGAGACGCCTCTCGCACCTCCGTCAGCCGTCTAGTCATGACCTGCATGGGCGTGGGCATAACAGCCTTCTTTTGGCCCAGGTCCATGCTCAACAGAGCCGACTCCATGGGGGGGTCACTTTCCCTCCCATACATGAGGTAAAACGGGGAGAATCCTGTTAAAGTGTGAGGGGCCATCTTATAAGTGGCCAGGACACCTAGAATGTGTAAGTCCCAGTCTGACTGTGCCTCATTAACCTGTTGGCACAACATGGACGTGAGAGTCCCGTGCAAGTGCTCTACCATCCCGTCCGTCTGGGGATGGTAGGGCGATGTCCAGATATTTTTTTTTGTTCGCCCCTGATCCGTAAGAAGTTGTTTAGGGGCCACTTTGTCCAAAACGTACCCATGTAAAAATGCGTCCGCAATGGATGCGGCCGACTGATCTGGCAGAGGCCACGCCACCGGCCACCGGGACAGGTGTTCCACCCCGACGAGGAGGAATTTGTTTGTCCAGATCAACCAGCTCGTTAATACGAGACACCGAGATGGATTGTAACGGCGACTGGACCTGCTTCGGTGGCGGCTTGCGGCGTGCGCCGTCAGTACATCCCCTGACCATGTGGTACACGTCGTCCGTCATCCCGGGCCAAAATATGTCACGCTTCAGTGTCAGCAAAGTTTTACGCACCCCAAGATGCATTCATTTTACGTGGACAGCCCGTGTAAGTTTACCCCGCAGAGCAGTCGGCACCACAATGCAAAAACTTTGCAGCTCCTCATCCCACCTCATCAAAAGCCCGTCATGGAGGGCTATAAGGGACATTCCCGCTGGTACATTTTTACTACCCCTCGTCCCAATGCGTGAGACCAATTGTGTCGTCACAAGGAGCAGTTGTCACGGGTGGTGGTCCATCGACGGACGCCAAAACGGTGAACGGCAATTCCGCAGCCGATGGTTTACATCAGCCAGCATCCATTAGACATGCACACTGGTCCCTCGGTGGTAACCGGGACAGCGCATCCACGTTGCAGTGACGTACACCCTTCCTGTAGGTGACCGTGAAGGAGTAGTCCTGCAAAATCTCTCACCAGCGGGAAAGTTGGCCGGAAGGCTGATCAACCTGTAAGGCATATTGAAGAGCCGCATGGTCTGTACGCGCGACAAAGTACCCTCCGTAAAGGTACGGCCTATACTGCTGCACAAAGTGCACTCTGGCCAACAAATTTCTGCGCGTCACGCAATAACGCTGCTTTGCGGGGGACAGCACACGGCTCCCATAGGCCACAACCCTCTTCACACCGTTCACGACCTAGGACAGTACAGTGCCATTTCCGGTGTCGCTGGCATCCGTATCCAACACAAAGGGCAGAGATAAATCGGGATATCCAAGGGGAGGAGGCGCATTGGCGAGGCCATCGCGCAGCATGACAAACACGGCCTCCTCCTCCTCCCCCCACCAAAATCTCTGGCCCTTGGAAGTGAGCGCGTGGAGGAGCTTAGCGATCGTCGCAAACTTGGGGACGAACCGGCGATAATACAACACGAACCCGACAAAACTGCGGACTTCACCGACCGACGTGGGGGTTGGCCATGCAGTTTGTCGGGATCCGTGGCTATCCCGGGATCGCTAACAATGTGGCCAAAATACCGCACCGATGTTTGTAAAAGATGGCACTTCTGTGATTTACATTTGAGATTGGCCGCTCGCACCCTGCTAAATACTGACCACAACCGCTGCAGATGCTCCTGAAACGTGCGCCCAAACACAATTACGTCGTCCAAGTAAATGAGGCACGAGTCCCATTGAAGACCTGCCAAGACCAATTTCATAAGCCGCTGAAACGTGGCCGGAGCAGAGTGAAGACCCAGTTGGTGTCCGGAACGCGGTTTTAGGCCTGGATCCTTCATCCAAGGGCAGTTGCCAAAACCCCGACAACAAGTCGAGGGTCTAGAAAAACCGCGAACCCGACAAGCCATCCAAGGAGTCATCCATCCATTCTCCTGGCTAAAAATATCCTCATTCTCTGAGCAAGGCACGCAACTCGCCCCGTTGTTCCCCGGACAATTTAGAGTTTTCCCCACACAACGCGTCCATCCAAGCCCCATCCGACTTGCCTCCCCGCTCCACCATGGCAACGACCTCTGCAGCCCCCTCGCAGGTCTCCTCAAATCGCACGGCCGTTGCGTGGGCCAAAACTGTACCCGCTTGGACCACCGCAGCCCCCACCTCGACGTTCAGCACTTGCAAAAAAGGCTCCTGGTCCCCTTTTTGCTATAGTTTGGGCCCCCACCAACGCGAGACCCCGAATCGCCTTGTTCGAAGGGGTGAAAAGGACCCCTTCAACGGTATCTGTCAAATCAAGTTGCTTTCGCAATCCCAAGGGCACCAACATCTGAGCACCTGGAGGAACCGTAACAGTTTCCTTTGCCAGGGCCTGAACCGTGGCGTTGGCCCTTTCTAACTGGGTCGGAGACCTCGGAAAGGCCAACCGCTATCCCGACGGCAATCCAATACAACCCAGATCAACAAGAATCTTAAGGGGCATCCTCCCGAGAAAACCGGTGCCAAAAAGGCAGGGCCCAGCGAAAGTTGAGCCCCGTCTGCCTGCTGCCTCGTGCTGCAGCATCTCTGGTGGGCGCCGCGTGACCCGAGTTGGACGACCGCTCCGCTGCGACAGAGAGCAGGCCTGCGAGGCGCCCAGTGAGGTCGCGCCACCCTTCTCCGGCCTGGCGGCTGCAAGGGGCCGACGTCCCTCTCCTGCTGCTCCGCAAGCATCGCCGCCTCGGGACACATCAGCGGAGTCCCGGGTTCCGGGGCTGTCGAGGGGATCACATCCCCGTCATCCTCGTCTCCAGAGGACACGGTCGGTTGGTTCTCTCTCTTGGCCGACTTTGACGTGACAAATTTCTTGTTTTAGTTTAGCACTTTTGATGCCAAATGTAGTGACTAACTCGGAGACGATAAGACTTGGAGACACTTCTTTATTAACAAGACTCTTATAATTAGTCCATCTATTGTCGGCGACACTACTCAGTCAGGACAGTTGGTAGGCTGCCTGACTGGTGACGCCCCGAGATGGTGAAGACGGAGACGACGAGAAGAAGGATGGTGAAGATGACGACAAGAATGGTGACGACGACGAGAAGAATGGTGACGACGACAAGAAGAATGGTGACAAAGACTTCAGCAGCACGACGGGGATCCCTCTCCACACAACCGCCCCAAGGTCTCCTCCAGGGGCCCCTCTTATACTGTCAGCGTGGCCTGGCTCCGCCCCCGGCCACGCCCCCTTTATAGAACCTACCAGCGGGTTCTTGGTGTGTGCCCCTTCTGTGACCTTTCCCTTAGATCCCCCTCCGGTGTATCACGTGGCCTGCTGACGTCAGGGCTGCCGTAAGCCACGGATCTCCTTCCCTGTCAGCAGCCAGCGCCAGACTACTACCCTATGCTACTACACTACTATTCTATGCCACAACACTACTATTCTATGCCACTACACATGTACACATTCGCTATCACAGGATACAAAGGAGGGCCCATTGCTGCACCTTCCTTTTGTTTATAGAAGTCACCTTTCCACAAGAAATGTGTTCTTGAGACCGTGTTCAGCTACTCTTGGGATATCTTTGGCTAAACCTTTGTTCGTTACCAGTGTCGAGTAATTTAATTGACTCGTTGACCGGAACCCTCGTGAACAGAGAGGTCACATCAAATCTTACGAGAATATCATTAGGGTTAAACTTAATATCTTGAATTATATTTATGAGATGTTTATAAACGAAGAGGTCCTACTGATGTAGGGCTGTATTTGTTTCGTTACGTATTGTGCTAATATGTATGTGGCAGAGCCTATTGTACTAACTATGGGTCTTAATGGCCATAAAGTCTTGGTGGTATTGATGCCCTTGGTTTGATCAGGTATTGCTCCTCCTTGGCAATTGATGACTTGCCAATGATTGCCGTTGTTTTATGTTCCAAGGTGCTGGTTGGGTCTCGTTTAATTTTAAGGTAGGTACCTTCATCGAGTAAATCTTTGATTTTATTATCATAGTCCTCACGGGGTATCACAACAGTCGATCGGCCCTTATCAGCAGCAAGAATTTGGATATCTTTATTTTCTCTCAATTCTCTGAAGGCTTTTGCTTCACTGAAGTTAATATTTGTTTTTGGCAATTTGCTGTTCTCAATTTTGGCAACCTCGTGCCTCGTCATCTCGGCTTGATTGTGGAGAGATGTCTCACTGCTGATTCCACTTCAGCAATTATCTCATCGACAGAGATTGTACGTGGGGCAACAGCAAAGTTAAGACCTTTTAGACAGGACTGACCATATCGTTTTGTTATTAAAATGTTCATTTTTAGTTGGGAGTTGTTTGTTAGTCAGTCTAGCAAATTTGTTAATTTGGGTAGTGCTAGTTTTGTTAAATACATTATCAGCTGATTGCTGTGTAATTGTGTCGATTATATTCCAGTGATCTGTAGAGACACTTACCCATTTTTACGTGTAAGGGCATTAGTGATTTAGAAATGTGACTTTGTTCATTTCTATTGTGCTGTATTCTCTCTTTTAGCAACAATTCACAAGCTTTATGTCGTATTTGATTAGCTTTAGGTGACTTCATGTGATGAGTTACTTTAACTGCATATGGTATTACCTTTGAATCTCTGCATCTTTTGAGAAACGCCAGTGAAGACAACAGCTTCATCCGCTTAATTCGGAGTTTCTCTAATTTTCTAGTATGAAGAATAGTATCCTCCCCATAGAGGTTAGTCAGTTTAACACGTAGGCTTTCGCGACCAATATCCACAATAGAGGTGTGGCAGAGTATTCCCATATACTCTCAAGAGTGCTTCTGGAGAGCTCTCTCAAATGAAGTGCTTTCAGCAATGGCATGGCTGCATCTTTAACCTTAAGCGCGTTTGGAAGTTTTGCATGTGTAGTAAGTAGACTTGCATTGGCGGTGATCATGGCTGTGAATCTCTGCTCTGGCAATGCGTGTGTGGTACCCTTGGCTCTTGTTGCTGGGACCGTGTTGCTGGGACTGTGTTGCTGGGACCTTGTTGCTAGGACCATGTTGCTGTGACCTCAATGCTGGGACCTCCACAGTGGCCTCTCTCTGTTCGTCTCTCCCTCCCGCCAGGTCCTCGTGGCTCTTTATCAGCTCGCCCTGGGTGACTCGCTGAGCCTCACCCTCTGCTCCAGGGTGAGTTTCCCCGCCGTGCGATCATGAGGGGGGACATGAGGGCACAGATCCCCGGCTTGCACTCGGAAGTCTAGGATCTTGTATATCCCCATTCGGAGTCAACTCGGCCAATCATCCTTTTCAGGTGAATAAAATATGACACCACTTTTTGATGTCCCTCAATTTATCCCAATTGTCTGATCAGCAGCATGAGACAAAGCATCCAATTCGGATCTCTTGTAAAACAGTGCAACCCTTCGTGCGAGAGATGTCCATTAGATTTCAGTACAACAGTGGGTTTATACATGTCTGTGACCTTATGCATGTTCTGTAAAGTGCTTGTTTGCTTTGTTGTCGAATTTCTATTTGGTTCATTGTTGTACTTGGCTGTGATGTTCATGCCGTTGTCATATTGCTGATCCAGGTCACTTTTGCAAATGACTCATCCTGGTCTTTTGAGTCATCTCCTGATCAAACAAACTTGAGACGGAGTGCTCTGCCTACGCTTAAACCGATTTCTGTCAACATGTGAATCACACCCAGTGTGGTGTTGACACTGATCACTGAGAGTTGAAGGGCATTGTGTTTATATATTTGTTATCACGGTTGTGCCATCTCTAACTCCCCCATGTGTTGTCCGGGCATGGCTGACTTTGCACTCCACCTGTCATGAGATACTTCTTCAGGGACCGTGTATACAACATGTAGAATAGCAGGGCTAGAATTCACTTCCTGAAGAAGATCCCCAGCATGTGGAGCAAATTGTTGGGCGCCGTGCACAGCAACATGAAATGACAATGGGGCAAGAAGGGCCGAGGTTCGATTCCTGACTCGGATGCCTCACTGTGTGGAGTTTGTATATCACCCTCCTGTTCAGCACGTGATTTCCCCCAGGTTTTCTGGTTTCCTCTCACAGCTAAAAGTGTGCAATAGTAACTCGCATTCGGCCAAGGTTGCCATGCTGAAGAATCACTTTACCTGTAAATTGCTCAATTGGGATTGCACCACACAGCGGCATCGTTACCCTCCTGTGAAAACTTGGCAAGACCCATCTCAAAGAGAAGTCTTGAGACTCAATGAGGCTTTGTTGGCTGAACAAGCGTAATAATATAATAAATAATCGTGTGTTTTTCTCCACAGTTCACAGAAGACATCTGGAGAGAGAAGCTCGTGGAGCTGAATGTCCTCGCACTGGAGCTTGGCAGGAGAGGAGTCTCGTGGGTTTCATTCTTTAAGTCTGAAGGCGAGTGTTCGTTTTCTTATTTAAATTGTTTAAAATTGTGGCTCAGGTGGCCAAATGGCTCGGGCTGTGCGACGTCTCTGTGGGAACCGCTGCGAAGCGGCAACCGCTGCAACACCCTGGGAGCAAAGTGTTACTCTCAAGGAGCTGACGACTTTGTCACCAAGTTAACACGTGACAGTGTCTGAGCGCCTGCCGCCGGTTTAATAAAGTTTGTCGTGCGCAGAGAAATTGATGGGCTCGGCGTCATCGACGGTCTTTTATAATTTAGTATGTCAGTGGCCATGGACAATGCCACATTACCATCCAGCGCCCACCACCTTAAATCTGAAGGCAACACAAACAGCTCCGCAGAGACCACCATTGCCATGTTTTTTGGATTAATGGTCCAGTGTCTTCCTGCACTTAGAGCTTAATTAAAATCACGACTTGCAAAGATGTTCTTGCTCTAAACCATTATCTCTCCACCGGCCACTGTGGTCTGGAATTCCACACTGCTCCCATCATTTGTCTGCTGGATGCCTTACTGATCAATGGGATTACTCTAGTCACGGATTGCCAATGAATTGATACAGTGATTAACCCTCGATGAATCGATACTTTGACGTGGCTGTCAGATCGACTGTGAGCAAAATCGGTATAATAGACTCCTCGATTCAGGTTCCACAAGACTACGTATGGGCTGATCCATGCAGGAACTTTCCTCTAAGACAAAAGATTGGAATAGCGAAATAGCATTATAAGCGGCAGCGCTATTAGAGGGGTATGCCTGTACAGTGACCCCTCAGTTAACGGTATTAATTGGTTCCACAAAAATCATTATTAATCGAAATGATCATTAATTGAATTTTGGAAATGCACGTTAAAGGCTTAATTTGTTCCAAGACGATTGGAAGTTGACCTTTTTCACCATAAAAACATGGTTTCTAATATTTAAATGCATAATTTTAATAAATAAACGTTATAATAACTTATTAAAGTATTAATATTAATAGAAACATGGATAAAGAAAAACATGGCTGAAATTGGCAGCCGCGTGATATTGCAAAACATGTCGTTACTAGAAAATATGGGACCTTATGGGAGGCGGATCTTGAATCGAAATATCATTAATCGATGGCATCGTAAACCGAATAATCACTGTATTGAGGTAAAATAACGATTACAGCATAATGGCAAGAATCCACAGTGATATGGGGGCCTATATTGTGGATCTCGTAATCCTTGACACATCGTGGAGGGTGAAACTAAACTCGAAACTATTTTTTATTTTACCACCACGCAAGGCCCACTGAGCAATGTCGCTCTTTTTCAGAAGCGACCTGGATATCAAATGACAGCTCAACGAAGTGGATCTGAACTCTTTTCTCTATTTACAATCTTAAACCTCTCACCTCAAGTCAAACTCCCCCTCGCCTTTCACCATCATCAACCAGGAGCAATCCACTGCTGGATAAACACCTTCCCAGGCCCACTGCCACTTCTCACGAGCCCGCAACACAACAGTCCATCTTGTCTTAATATATTTTATATAGCGCCTTGACAAAGGCACTTTACAGAGAGTTAAGAAGGGTGTACAACGTGTGTGTGTGCAACGGTGGAGATGAGGTGAATAGAATTGATGAAAGAGGAAGCAATGGGGTCGAGTCCGTGATGATGCGTGAATTCGGTGAAAGCGAAATTGATGAAGGAATGAATTGAATGAATGGGGGAATGATTGGTCGCCATTTAATGAGAATGCGAAGAGGGAACAGGAGCAGTAGTGGTGGTTATGGAGGTTATAAAGTGCACATAGCCTGGCACAAGCGCCGTCGTCACGTCACCACCACTTAGTGGCGATGGCGGTTGTTATGAGGGGGAAATTAAGGGGTCAGTTCACACGAACTGATTTCATAATTTCATCTCCTAGATGTGCATCCTCTCGGACATCGTTCCCTGAACCTTGCCTCACTCTCCTCTCCCCTTCTTCCCGACACGCCACCCCGTGCAGCAGTGGAGTCCAGGTTGGACTTTGTGCGATGGAGAAGTCTCAACTCGGATGCGCTGCTTAAGGGAGCTCCGGTGATCTTCTTAAGGTGTCATATGACCACAGTCTTGCTACTCCATGTCTGTCATTACTTTCTCTGTTTACTTAACGACACAATATGTGTCGCAGCATTGTTTGTATAAAGCTCTTGGCTTTTATGAAGACCACCAGCTCAACAGAACTGAATTTGTGGCCATTTTGCCATTTTTAGACCACTTACAATTTAGAAGTTATTAAAACTATTAAATACCGTACATTGAAGGAGTAGCTGATAAACTCGCCAGATGTTTGGAAAAACAAAACATCCGAGTCAGATTTGGTACGGTACAGATAATACAGAAATTAACACATTCCTGCAGAGGGAGCTGGTAGGAACGTTGAGTTGCTCGGTCAATGGCCAGGGTCAACGGCGGCGTGGTGTATTCCGCAAATATGCCGGACTGTGAGGGCGGGCACAAGCCGATGTGAGTAAGTTAAACGTTGAGTTTTATAAGGGCACTACTGGGTGACCAGCCCCTCCCCACCCAGCCCCACCCCTCCCACCCCCCACCCAGCCCCACCCTCCTCACCGTCCCCTCTCCACCCAGCCCCACCCAGCCCCTCCCCACCCTCCCCTCCCCACCCAGCCCCTCCCTCCCCACCCAGCCCCTCCCTGCACGACGGACACAATAATCCCCTGTGGGCTGGTGTAACCAGGAGGTTCCTACCAGTAATATCTGGTACAAAAGCTGTATTACCGAAGCTATCAACAGAAGGTGTAGCAGATTAATTGCACTTGTAGCAAATGCTATGTTGGGCAAACAGGACGAATGATCAGCACGTGACTAAAAGAACACCAAAGAAATATTAAATACTCCCAAATACAAGTCAGCAGTAGCAGAATACGTGTGCCAACAAAAGAGTTACTACTGGCCAAGAATAATTATAAAATCTATCGAAATTGAAATAAATAAAATAATTTTAATCGTTCGGATTGCTACCGACTTGGTGTTTCTTGGAAGCAAATCATCAAATAATACATTTTTAAATACATGCCTATACAGACCACCATACTTTAATAGGGATTACCTATGGTACGACTATTTTAATAGTGTCTCAGAAGTAACTCACTTGTGCTGTCCCCTTTTATATTGTCAGAGCCCCTTTCTGGAAGCTTCGCTGACCCCATTTCTTTCAGCCAATCCTCGTCCTCCTCCTCCAACGGTTGTCAATCGTCGCCCCTACGGTCAACCTTAATTCTCCGCCTTTTACATTTTAATCTCTCAAATTTATTTGAATCTCTTATCCTAACCAATCGTCTTTGAGGCCTCCCCGCACCAATCAGAGGCCTTGATTTACTTCCTGACTGTCCATTCACATGTAAGCTTATGTGAGGTAGGTGGTCTGTTGCCTCGGTCATTACATACTGTATGTATTTTACATATGTATATGACGCATGTGCATTGTGCATGTGCATTACTCATGCACATTATATATGTGCATTCTGCCGTTGTGTCCAAAAATCGCAGTACCTGTGTAGTGGACACAAACGGACACTAAGACGTACAGTTTAGAGGCGGCACATTTATTTAACCAACCAGATATTAACCTATGGTGGCGGTCCACCAGGCTAACTACGCTAACTGCACTGGGAGTATCTATGATGGACGGGGACCGCAGCTTTGGTCCAGGTTCTGTGTTGGTCTTGTCTGCAGGCAGAGGGCAGCACGTAGATTTCTTCAGGATCGCAACAACAGCCGGTCCCACTGGGAGACCGGCTTTTATCCCCCGTGGCGGGGCTCGCTCCGCCCCGAGCCACGACCCCCTTCTCGAACCGTCGAGAAGGATCCCTGCTGGACACGTGGTCCCCCAGCCCCCCTTTTGGGGGTCCTCGGGTAGACGCCCCCGGTCACGTGTCCTCCGCGGTCAAGGAGAGTGCCATGGCCCCGTGGGACCCCGTTCCCCAAGCCGGCACCCCCCCCCCCTTGCACCCTATCCTCTAGGGCTGGCATTGTACCCAGTGCAGGGTGCCACTGGTCGCTGTCAGTCCGTGCTCCTTGAGCTCCGCTGGGGCCGGCGGTACTGCTTCTGCCTTCGGTGGTGTCCCTGTTGAGAGAACATTGTGTGGCGTGCCTCTACCAGGCTGGCCACACACACGGCGACATCCAGCGATGTCGCTACAACTGTCATCGGCTGAACACAATTGTAGTGGGTTCGAATTAGGTGCACACACACGCAGCTTGAAGGCAACACTATTTATTCAACGGTAAGTAATATAACACTGTACATGAGGTGGTGACCACCTTCCTCAACTCACTAACACTCTGGTTCAGGACGACGACCTGGGACTTGAGGACCGATGATGTCTTCACTTCGGAGTACAGTACAATAGCCTCGATCTGCGTTCACACCACGCTTATATCTGCTCTGGCGTGGCCGGCTCCGCCCAGGCGTGGCTGGCTCTGTCCAGGCCACGCCTCCCTTCCCAGGCCACGCCTCCCTTCCCCCACCTCTGGGAAGGTCCGGGTCCCTCCACCACGTGACCCCCCAGGCACCCCCTTGGGGCCCCCAGCCCTCGTACGGGCCGATACAGTAGTGACCGTTCTATGTCACTACACAATCAACGTCAACGTTGGTGACCTATGTAGGCACGCACAGTCGAGTAGTATCACTTGATAGTACGCTTCCAAGCAGCACTACGTCTATAGCTATCAGAACGGGTAATTTTTTTTTTATTTCTCTCAATTTCAATAGATTATACAATTAGTCTTGGCCAGTCATAACTAGTTTTGCACAAAACCTCCACATTAGACGTAATCTCGCCCGATGAGTAGGAGGAGCAAAACTAGCAGCTTATTGAAGGATTTTAGATTATAGGAACAAGAGGTCCCTGCATCACATTGGTTTAGTATAGCAGGGAGGACTCGTTAGGAGAAGTAGACATGTGGGGCAAGTGACATGTAGAATAATGAAAGGGAGAGTGTGGGGAAAGGAGCCTTCAAGAGAGAGAGAGAGGGGAGGTGCATGGTTGGGAGGGGGGATTGGGAAGTAGGGGAGAAAGGAAGAGGGAGTAGGTGGAGATAATGGAGGGAAGGATGGCAGAAAGGTAGGAGGGGTGAAAGGGAGGGATAGTGAGGGGAAGAGGGTAGGGAAGGTGTGTGACGGGGAGGGGGATGATGAGAGAGGTAAATTTGGAGCAGGAGGGGAGGGAGAGAAGCAGAGAGAGCAGAGAGATCGAGGAGGCCTTGGTGGGAGACTTGGGGGACAATGAGCAGAGAGATGGCTGGGGTCAACGAACATTTTCAGACGGTCCCATAAAATGGTTTAAGAGCTACCTTTCAGACCGTTCCAAAAACATACAGAGTGATAACATCTCGTCCACAAACATTAAAGTAGCAAAGCGTGTGCCACAAGTTTCCGTGTTGGGTCAAATTCTGTTCTTATTTAAACAATCTTGGACTGAACTGAAATCACTCAAAATTAAATATCTTTGCTGATGACACTGTTATGCTAGGATAAGGTAAATTTCCATGTGACGTATCACTAAAATTGCTCCCAAATCCCCCAGTTGAATTTCCTTTCACCGATGACAGATATGAGAAACAACATAATTGAACAAACGGAGTGCTTTATATACTGGGGTGCCATGGTGGCGAGATGTTAACTACGTCGCTTGATATACAGGAGGTCGTGGCTTCGATCCCGACCTGATGCCTGTATATTTGAAGTTTGCATGTTCTCCCCGTGGTTGCGTGGGTTTTTTTCCCTCCACACATTTAGAAACATGTGTTTTTTAGATTATTTGGCTGCTATATATCTGCACGTGACAAGCCACTTCATTGAGCTATCATTTGTGGCCAGGTCACTTCTGAAAAAAATCTACATGGCTCAGTGGGCCTTACCTGGTAAAATAATTTTTTTTATTTTTTTGAAAGAGTTTAGTTTTTTAGTTTGCTTGGAAGCGGCGGTGCTACGGTTAGCGCTGCAGCGCCTACAACTTGGTGATTCAAGATTGATTCCCCGCTCAGTCGATTGGCAGGTTGCGTGTGGTGGGCTAAAGTGTGGGTATGCCCACCTCTTCCAAGATGTCTGGCTAGCGCGAAGAACAGATCAAATACCCTCGACGCTTCCTCTATTAAAGGCTCTTCTTCCAGCAGTGGTGTTAGCGAGCAAGAAATTGAAGGGGTTTCATGGCCCTGAACATTTTTTTTCTTTAACACCCAGGTGAGGCTCTCCTGGGTAAACGAGTGTCATAGCAAGGTGGTGTATGCACACATGGAGTGAACGTGTGCTCTCGTTACGGGACTGTTTCTGGTGCTGGGCAGCTTGCTGGAGGCTCTTGTGGCCACGTGGCCAGAGGGGAGCTCCGAACCGGCTCTGCAGCCAACTGTGACTGACGTGGACCTCCTGGTGGTGGCCGTGGAGATGCACTCATCCCTCGCCTCCCTCTTCGCATCCCCGCAGAGAGAGAGCACAGGCAGCCTGCATTCGTCTGACACGGTGTGTTGTTCCATTTCGCTCATTACTCACTCACTCCTCCACCCACCGCTCATGGACTGTTGTCTTGCCGTCGGACTTGCCGGAGGTGAAATTTCCTTCTCGAACTCGACGCAAGAGCCTCACGATGTCACGAAAGGGGACGGCCCCGGAAAGTTACGTCACACACACGCACTTATGATGCGTCCGTCCAATTGGCATTTTTTTAAATATCCAGCTCCACAATGAGGCTCACTCGCACTTTATGCAGTGGAATTTCAACGGAGTTCTTCAGGATGAATGCTCTCTGCTATTGACTTAAAGCTTTCATGAGTGCAGGAATTAATATTCTTTGGGTCTTTCGGTAAAGTCACGTAGATAGGTTCAAATTAATAAAATAAAAACTACGATGTTTCGATCACACCACAGGCGATCGTCATCAGGAGGAAGAAAGAGGGGGGAAGCTGCTGAGACAGACTGTTCTTGACCGTCTACTGCAGCAGCTTTCCCCCTCATTCTTGGTTGTTTGTTTCTTTTATTTGTATTAATTTGAACCTATCTACGTGACTTTACCGAAGACCCAAAGAATATAAACATTTTGTGGTACAGACTTTCAGACAAACAGTTGTGGAAACGCTGAAACATTGATTTTAAATGCTATACCTTTAGGCATCCATGGCCAATATAAAGAATTAGTTTGTTCACCTGGCGGTAGTGATACCATGTGTAATCCCATTTGACACATTTTGCAGGTAGTTTTTCAGCATTGGATAAACCCTAATTTTTTGTCATACTTCGACTGCCAAAACAGGTCTCTTGATATCCACTGCACAACCCAAGCTGTGAGTGCTCTGACGCTTGCATGGTCTCTGTACTGTTCGCCTTTTGGTGTTCTCTGGTCTGACACTGGTGGTGAGACAAGGCCATACTGAAGGCTCTCTCTGGTGTAGGCCAATCAGTTTAAAAGACAATGCAGATATTATTACCACAAGTACGTGTGGTTAATGCAGACTTGATTCCTTGCAAAATATATCTATTTGGTGTTTAAACATCTTAACACAACTCCTGTTGTATTGCCAGAAAGGGTAAAACCTATTCTTATTTTTCATAGCATTGGAAATGTTGGCCAATATCTATGGGGGATGGGGGGGAAGTCGACAACCCTGAGGAAACCCATGCAGAAGAGGGGCAGAACAAACACACTCCACACAGGGGCTCGAGTTGAGAATCAACCCCAGGCCCTCCTTGCTATGAAGCACCAGTCTTACCACCGTGCCACCCTGCCACAATCACTCTCACTGTAATACAGTAGTCCCTCGGTTAACAGTGACATCGGTGAACGGTTTATAGGTGAACTTTTCGCCTCGCATAGGACTCCCCCCCCATGGTATCGATTCACGTTAACATTTTGACGAGCAGTACGTTCACGTTATGCACGTGGGCGCCAATTTCGGCCAATCCGAGTGCTCGTAAGTAGGCCTGAGCCATGCCCTCAGCCAATCAGCAATGCCCATTCGTGAGCGGTAAGACCTCAACTGCCTTTGTTTACATTACGCTTTTTGTGATGGCATTGGAAACAGCTCTCTTGCAGACTCGGGGATTTTTACTTATTTTAAACTGAAAAATGAATTCGATTAACAGTTATTTCAGTTAACCGTAGTTTTCGTGGAACGGATTAAAAAGCATTAAGCAAGGGACTTCAGTATTCATTCTCACCAAACTCGTCTCCTGTCCGCAGTTCCTGCCGTTGGATCTGATTCACAGGAGCAAGCAGCTGCTTTTGAGGCTCATTCCCCGGTGCCCCTGCCCAGCGCGCGCACAAGAGGCAAGTCTTGTCAGCCGCATCTTAATCCACCTGCCACATTTTTTACATGTGAGAAATGTAATCCAAATCATGATGTTGGTGTCTTGCCATGAGACGTAGTAATCTTGATTTTGAAGCTTTCGTGACTGCAGGAATCCACACCCTGTGGTTCTTTAGGTAAAGTCACGTAGGTATAAAATAAAATAGATCACGACGTTTCGGGCGCAGCACAAGCGTCCGTATCTTCGCTACTTCCGTGCCCATTTACATGCTAATTTCTCACATTAACATCACTAGACCCGGCCACTTCTTTATGACCCTTGGGCTACACCCATTTCAAACCTTTTAAACAGTCTGCCTCAGCAGCAGACCACGCTTTCCCACCTGATGACGGACGCTTGTGTTGCGCCCGAAACGTCGTGATCTATTTTATTTTATACCTACGTGACTTTACCGAAAGAACCAAAGAGTATGCAGCACCATTAAAAAAAGCCCACACTTCGCTTCAGATAAAATAAACCAGACTTTTTAAAGCACTTAAATACAACTGAATAAAAACCCTTGAAATAAAACTCAATGCAAACCCTAAACAAAGAAAAAACACTGTAAAAAAACTAAAAAGAAAAAAAACCTATGTAAAAAGCACATAACCTACACAGATGGGTATGCAAGAGAAACCGAATATGTTTCAAAACGATACCAAAAATACTCCAAGGACTGCGAGTTTCTAATATGCTAGAGAAGAGCGTTCCACAAATGAGGTTCATGGCTGCTGAAGGCTCTTATTGATCGCAACTTTGTCCAAGTCACACCCCCAGGTTTTCTTGTTACCCACGGACTGACGTCGCTGCACATCGGAGTAAGTTTCAGCAGATGAATGAGGTGTATGGGAGACAATCCCCTTCAGAGCCTTGAACATCAAAACAAAAACTATATTCACTCAATCCATTCATTATCATTTACCGTCATCAATTTCACTTTCAACAAATTCATGCATCATTACGGACTCGCCCCCATTGCTTCCTCTCTCATTTATTCTATTCACCTCCTCTCCACCGTTACACACACGCGTTGTACACCCTTCTTAACCCTCTGTAAAGAGCCTCGATTAAGGCGATATAAATTACGTTAAGATAATATTACATCAAAATAGAAAATACTTTCAAAACCTCTTTACTGTGAATCCCATGCGGATGGCCTTCATTATGTCTTGAGCAAGAGGAGCTTGTGACAGACAGGTGAAGACCTGTAACCTTGCTGTTTCCGTGTCTGGTGTTCACTGCAGGCGTGGCTGACAGCTGTTGACCCAGAGCTAAGGGCTGCCCTGGACCACTTCTCGCAGAGAAGCTGACATGTCACCACAACAATCCTCCCGCCTGTGCCCATGAGCACACCAATTTCAGCTGGCCCACCGAGTGGGGTGCAATGGTGGCGAGATGTTAACTACCTCTCCTGGTATAAAAAAGGTCGTGGGTTCGATCCCAAGCCTGACGCCTGCTGTATATTTGGAGTTTGCGTGTCTCTCTCCCTGTGATTGCGTGGATTTTTATCCAGGTCCTCTGGTTTTCTCCCGCCACATTTAGAATCAACGTGCGTTTAGAGTATTTGCCTGCCATATATTTCCACGTGATAAGCCACTTGGTCGAGCTATGATATGTGGCCAGGTTGCTTCTGAAAAGAAGCTACATAGCTCAGTGGGCCTTACCTGGTAAAATAAAAAAGTTTAGTTTTGTTTACTCTGCCTCGGGTCCCGTTGGTGTTGTGGGGCCACTTTGGGGTCATAAGAGATGCTTTCAAATACCACTCGGGGATAAACTGGAAATCAAATGAGTGGCATTCATGAAATAAACAGCACCCACACATTTCTCTACAAATGCTCATGAGTGATTATTCATGCGGTGGTCACTGGCACGCTCTGATCACCAATGAAATCCATATTGTACAAAACACCCCAAACATGTAATGAATCAATCAAAGAATTTGACGAATTATTCCCCGAGGGGCAGGACGTGGGTGAGGTGGATGTGGGTGAACTGACCAACCCATGTGGCTCCCTCTGCATTCGTCCATGTAAAAGAGTTTCTGCTGCTCGGTGCATCAAAACATATTTCGTCTCAATCAAGTGGCTTTAACATACGTGAGAAAGCAGAGGCACTCCGTCTAAAGTTAATAGGGACACAAGTTCGTCCTATCGTGGAGTTTTTTTCTCGTCAAGAGTCTAAATTGCCAGTTGCGGATTAACATTAAAAAGATACCACTCTGTTAAGAAGGGTTCTAGGGTAGAGGGGGATGACTTGGATGAGGTGCCCTATCTAGAAATGAAAGATGAGTCTAGCACAACAGGGGATGAGGCATTTGGCGAAGCATTTCCTCCATGAGGACATAGAGCTGTAGAGAAAGCCGTTGTTGATAGGCTTGGAAGTTTCACCTACTCACTCAGGCAGTAGATACAACATATAAAGCTACATATGCAACCGGTCTGTGATGAACCAGCTCCCTTAAAAGCCAAGTGCTTCCCCTTGGATCGGCATATGCCAGACATGCTGTGCCATTAGATGGGGAAAGCTGGGAATGTTTTCTTAATTCCTGGGGTGGTCGAGAAGCAGTACAATAATGACCAGAGGAGGCTTTAATGCTACTTTCATCAGTGGAGCCAGCCATAGCTCAGTGGATGATGCTGCATAAAACCCTCAGTCACAGAGGACCCAAGTTTGCTGTTACACGATATGTAAGACAAGGCCACAGAGAAGTAATGTTAAAAAAGGCCTTTGGCTGCCAATGCTTCTCTTAAATCTGGAGCTTGTGGCCTATCTATTTGGAGAATTTGACCCAGAAGGTCATACTGAAGTTCAAGAGCATAGTCAAGGACCTCCAGCCCCCCCCTCTCCTTTCTCCCCCCCCTTCTCCCCCCCCCCTTTCTCCCTCCCCCCCCCCCCTTTCTCCCTGCCTTGCGTTTGTGAGAGGGGAGGGGGAGAACCTGCGAGCCAATGACGACTTGGCGGTGGATCACTCGACTCGTGCATCGATGAAGAACGCAGCCAGCTGCGAGAAGTAATGTGAATTGTAGGACACATTGATCATCGATACTTTGAACGCACATTGCGGTCCTAGGGGTTCCTTCCCGGGGCCACACCTGTCTGAAGGTCACCCATTTATCAATCGCCCTCCTGCTCAAAAGTGGGTGGTGTGCAACTGGGGCGTCGTGGTGCTCTTGTGCGCCTCGTTCCCTGAAGGGGAGAGGCAGCGGACTGACGCAGCGGCGGGTGGCGCCTCGCCTGCCGCGCTCAACGGTGGCAGCAGCAGGAGAGAGGCCTGAAGGCGGTGGACGCGTCCGGTGGCCTCGCACATGCTGGAGATGTGCGTCTGTGCTGAGCCCCGTCGCGCTCGTGTGTGCGGGCCGGCCCTCGGGCGCTCTCCGTGTGTGAGCCCCCCCGTGACTTGCGTGTCGCGGTGCGACCTCAGATCAGACATGGTGACCTGTTGAATTTAAGCTTATTACTAAGAAACTAACCAGGATTCCTACTGGCAAGTGAATAGGGAAGAGCCCATCGACCCAATGAGTAGCACTGAACTCTATGGGAGCCCAAGTACATAACACTGATCCATACTCTTTGGTTCTTTCGGTAAAGTCACATAGGTATAAAACAATAGATCACGACGTTTCGATCGCAACAACAAGCGACCGTCTTCAGGTGAGAGAATCAGACTGCTGTGGACGAGGCATTATATTGACCTGAGCGGGGGAGGGGGGGAGGGTTGCCACATCGGGCAAGAGGGTGGGGCCAGCGATTGTGGTAGATGGACTGTAGGGCATGTGAGCATGAGAGTGCAATCCAAAGGACATGTGAGCATGAGAGTGCAGAGTGAGTGTTTATGCCAGTTTTATATAAGTAAACAAATGGCCACTTTTTTTGGCCAGTAAAAAAAAGTGGCCAAAAAAAGTGACCCGTTGAAGAGTGGCCATTAAAAAAGTGACAGGTCAAAAAAAGAGTGGCCTTTAAAAAAACTAGTGACTGGTCAAAAAAATGGCCAGTAAAAAAAGAAATGGCAATCAAAAAAGTGACCGGTTGAAAAAGAGTGGCCATTAAAAGACTGGACAAAAACATGTCATTGGCTCCAGTCCCGGTAGACTCTTGAACCAGGTCGCAGCCCTCGTCTAGGTTCTGGCCCCGTGACAGTTCCTGGGCCCTTTCCTGGAGCTAAAACCGGTCCCGGGGAGCAGAGACCAGGGCTAGGGTTGAGACCAGGTTTGGGACCATGGCTGCAACTGGAGTTGTAACCATGACCAGGTCCTTGGAGCCAGAATCGGACTTGGGACCGGAGCGAGAATCATGGCCGGGGGGCTGCGGAGCCAGGACCAGTGCTGTGGAGCTAGATCCAGTGCTGTGGAGCTAGAACCAGTGCTGTGGAGTGGAGGACCGAGGCTGGGACTGAGTCAGGGACCAGATCCGGCACTGGGGCTGGGCCAGGGGGTCGGAAGGCCATAGAAAAAGTAACCAGTCGAAAAGAGATTTTCCATAGACAAGCGTACGTGTGAATGGACAGTCCGGAACTCAATTTAAGGCCTCTGGTGCAGGGAGGCCTGAAGGACTATTGGAAGCCAATCAGTTCCAAATACTACATACATTAGCAAAGCATTTTTTACCACAATCATGTGGTTAAAGGTGTCTATTTTGTGTTTGAACATCGTAACACCTGTATTATTTCCAGAAAGGATAATGCCTATTTTGTTTCATCGTTTTGATTCCCGGAAAAGGGTTCCATAAGATTTTGAACACGAGGACGCAGAGTTAATAAATGTAAGTTGACAGTGTTGGGAGCGTTGCTGGCGGCGCAGCTGATTTCGGGACTTGCGAGGTTTCGTGTTCCAACTGCCCCCACTGCAAAGAGACGACCTTGTTCGTGTGCAACATTTCCCCATGCTGGAGAGTGAAACAGTGAATGTTACCGAGGCAGAATTTCAAGTTTCAACTGACGTTCGCATGCAACATCTTTTTCTGTGGTGGAGAGTGAAGCGGTAAATGTTACCAGGCAGAATTTCAACTTGCCTTGTTTGGCTTCAATGCCGCCTGTGCTGGACGGTGAGCCAAGCCTCTCGCTCGCCCAGGTATGTTGAACAAATGCACCGTACGAGGCCAACCGTGTTAACTGGAGGTGCGGGGGGAAGTGTAGGAGAGCGTGAGAGGCTGTATATTTTGTTCAAGCAGAGTTCCCAGGAGGAACCCGAAAATTCTGGCGATCGAGTGTGCGGCCCATTTTTCATGGAGCAAACCGTTATTTGGAGAAGACAGTCATCCTATCGGCATCTGGGAGCAAACCCTATTAGCGTTGAATATACGTGGTGTTGATGGTTTGGTTTTGTGTAGGTGTTTCGGTTTGTTGATTGTTGCGTCATTATGAAATTGTTTTGTGTTTGCCTCCCTTTCGTGGCCTTGGGGTTTGCTTGAATGGGGTTGTTCGAATATAATGGGGCCTGGTGAGCCGAAAGGCCCCAATTTGAGGGTTCCGATGGACTCCTTGCCACACAGTTCTTCAGCTGCCAGTTCTCGATTAACCACGCAGTGCCTCCAAACAAGCAGATAGAGCAACACTCTTTACCAAGGTGCGCAGTTCTGCGTTGTGTGCTGCCACAGACGGAGCACCATCTGCACAGAAGCCGAACGTGCAGTCCCAGTGGTTGCGTGTTTGGGAAGTGTCAGAAAAGAATGTCAAGTAAGTATCCCAAATGCAGCACACAAAAGCTAATGTGTGTGCATCTATATCTCCACCTCTCCACATCACCACCACTATCAGATATCCACCTCCCCAATGCCCTGTGTACCCTGGAGATGGCAGACTGTCCCCAATGGTGGGAGCCGCTCATGAGACGCAAATGGAAGTTTTGTGCCAAACTCGGTCTCGAACCACTAAGGGGCACTAAAGTTGGCGGTGAAGTGCACGTGGATCGTGAATCACGAGTCTCAACAAATCCGCATTCTAAATGCATCATAGAAGCTTTCCATAGTTCCCTACCCAAGTAGATCCTTCAGTTCTACAAGTTGAGTGGTGGTGCAGTGCTTACCTGGTTCCCCAGCTCAATTCCTGGCCACGGTAACGTCAATGGCAAGTAACACGTGAACTGTGTTGGTTGCTGCCATTCCACCAATCGGCACTGACCCGTGTGGTGAAGTATGATCAAACAATCTCCATCAATTCTAGATTTGAAGCTTTCGTGACTGCAAGGATTCATACTCGTAGGTTTTTTCGGTAAAGTCACGTAGGTAAAAAATAATACAAATAAAATAATAACTCGCTACAGTTATTTTGCTGTGCCTTTTTTTTACATCTGATGAAGGAAGCTTGTGTTGCCGCCGAAACGTCGTGATTTAATTGATTTATTTTCATTTATTATTATTTTATTTTTATTTAAAGCTTTCGTGACTGCAGGGATTCATCTTCTTGGTTCTTTCGGTTCTACGTGACTTTACCGAAAGAACCAAGAAGATATTTTATTTTTATTATTTTTTCCTACGTGAATCTCCATCAACACAATGTGGAGAGGGAGGCCTTCATCCAGCAGTAGAATGACAAATGTTGAACAGTTATTACTTGAATATCAATCTTTTGTAATTTCTGCTCAGCATTCTTCTAAAACACAGCCCTGATGTGAAGTTTAACGAAGCGAGGGACACCTGGCCATACGTGTATGGTCAATGGGAGGGCTATTCGAGCTATCAAGAGGAATGTGAACCGATGCCGAGTTCCCATCATCACTCGTGGTGACCTGAGCTGGCCCTCTTCCCATTGGTGGTGGAAACAGCAACTGTTGCTTTGGCTTTCACGAGGCAATGTCTTTTGAAAACAGGCCATTGATACATACTCTTTGGTTCTTTCGGTAAAGTCACGGTATAAAATAAATTAAATCACGACGTTTCGGGCGCAACACAAGCGTCCGTCATCAGGTGGGACAACCACAGCAAGAAACAATTGCTGAAGTGGGCAAAGGGCTGCTGCTGTAACAAGAGGCCATATAGGTAAGAGAAGGGGGAGGGGCACATACTCCCCCCCCCCCCCCAGGCATTTTGCCGTGCTCGCCCTGCATTCCCTCCAGCAGCGCCCCACGCCACCCCCCCTTATAACCGCATCTCCACTTTCTTCAGCCCCCCCCCCCCCCCCACATTTTGTCTGCTCGTCCTTTAAACGTTCTCGCACCCCCCCCCCCCTTCTCTATATCTCCCCACTTGCTCCTCCCCCTTTATCTCTCCCCACTTGCTCCTCCCCCTTCTCTTGCCTATAATGGCCTCTTGTTGCAGCAGCAACTTTTGCCCACTTCAGCAATTGTTTCTTGCTGTGGTTGTCCCACCTGATTTAATTTATTTTCTACCCACGTGACTTTACCGAAAGAACCAAAGAGTATGGATCCCTGCTGTCACGAAAACTTCAAATCTAGATGAGGCCATTGATAAATTTTTTTATTTGGTTATGCCGCGTTGGCAGTGGTGCAACGGTTGATGAGGAATGGCCATTGCCCAAAATGTTGCGTGTTACATATTTCCTTTTAAGGTGAATGTATTGGATTTTTCATTGACACAATTGATGCTAAATATATGTCACATACATAAACACCAAACAAATATCAGATTCTAGCTACAAAACACGTGCTTGGTTCAGACCAAACTTCTCCCCATCCACCAGGATTTCAACAGCAGCCCTCACCACCGATTGATGTCGTCCAAACAGTTTTGACCTAAACGCTTAAACCTTCAACGATGCAGCTTGAACCCCAATGATGCTTAAAAATCCGAATGGAGTTCACAAGAAGTCACAAACACCTCGTAAAAGAATCAACGATACGAAGATCCTTAGCTTCGACCTACTGCGAAGCTTATGAGGCCACAGACACTTGAAGCACAAGTGAACAATGTTGAACTTCCCGCTGTGTGCAGCGACTGTGGTCTCCCAGAACAGAACCATGGAACATCGAACGACTTCCCAAATCACAAAGACGATGGAGGCATTATCACAGCGGTTGCACCACCCCGCTATTTCTGACACAGTTATTTGGCTCAACCACTCCAAAGTAACATTTTATCTGCTGCTCTAAATCAACATCAGCCACACGAAGAGCGTAAGGTTAACAAGGGAATCGACTCGTCCGTAAATTAGTTTGACAATTTTATGTTAGAACATTGAGAAATGAAGCAAGTAAAACAGCATTTTCTATAAATCAAAAAGGAAATTATATTTGTTTTCATGTATAGTTGCATATTCTTATTTTCTTGCATTATTATTATGCAGTCCAATAAAGTAAATTCAGCCACTGCGTGATGGATGCTGGGAGGGGAAGTTGGGCCTCGAGGTAGAGGTTACCATGAGCCGCCACTGTGCTGTCTGCATGAGACGTAACTACGCCAGGCACATCTATTGATATAGAAAAGGGAAATCTGTTAATATGTGTGTCTGTTCGAAATGTTTAGCATACTTCCCGACATGCAACAAATTTGGCATGTGGGTAGCTTCCAGGCTGTACACAATGCAAAAAGTATAAAAATAGACTTTTGTATTTAGAGGGGGGGGGGGCGTAATAATGGATATATTTTGCACGGCAAGTGAGTGGTGACGTCACATCTGTGATGTCACCCGCATGCGGCAGCGTCACGCAGTGTGCCTGCTGACCCCCCCCCCCACCCTCCGCGTAGGCCGTGTAATAATCCAAGACAAGAATCCAAGTCTGGGGCGAACCCGGGTAGTGAAGCTCGTACTGTATATATATTCAGTGGTTGCACAATGTCACGGTGAGAATTATACTCTTGGTTCTTTCACTTGGAAATTTGCCGTGCAGTGTTTCGAGCCTGCAGAGTATTTCTCCAACCCACCCCCCCAACGTGTCACAGCTGGAGGTCGCCCTTTAGGTCGAGCTCTAGGACCACCCTTGCCGCTCTGCTCCAGCCCACGCCCCGCCCCCACACTCAGCCTGGTTCCCCCCCTCAGCTATATAATCCCTTGTCACAGTCATCACTTCAGCGGTTGTTCTCGCTGTGGTTGTCCCCGCCTGATGACGGACGCTTGTGTTGCGCCCGAAACGTCGTGTTTTGTTTTATTTTCTCTGCCGACTTGACTTTACCGAAAGAACCAAGAGTATTAATCCTTGCAGTCACGAAAACTTCAAGTCTAGAATGAACGGTGAGAATTGTTTCAGTTGATGGACGTTACGTTTGAATTAGCCACGGTGTGTGCCGTGCGTGATGGGACTCGGGTTGCCACCTTTGCCACTGTAGGCCAAACCCAGACGTATTGCTCAGCCAGCACCAAGGTCTATCAAAACTGTCCTCTAGATGATATTAATAAGAAAGTTCAACAACACAACAATTCCCGCGGCCCGAACACAGATGCCAATTCTTGGACTGTCCGGATGAAAGCTAGGCAAGGTGGCGACCCTCGGTGAGGCTGCCATCAGACGGCAACGCTGTTGGGGATGCGGTCTGGAGAGAAGTAGTAGTAGGGAAGCTTCTTCCCCCGGTTCCTCTCCGTGATGCTGGAGGTGATTTCCTGGAGGCGCACCTTGAACCTCGCGATGGCCTCCAGGATTGGCATCTCTGTGAAGTGCTGGTCGGGGTAATTACCCAAGAAAATCTGGAAATGAAAGAAAATTGAAAAAGTACTTTTAAAAATTCCCCACTGACCCCAGTGAGACATTTATAGATGGCAGATGTGCCCATGATGTTGGTTCAGTGCAAGTTTTATCTTCATAATACTGCAGCAAAGGCAAGAGGTAAAGATGCAGCCCTGCAATTGCCTGCTAACACCCACTGTATGTATGCTGAACTTCTTTTGCACCGTACATAGCCAACCGTGCTAATTTGAGGTGTTCTGCTGGTGGAAGGGCCTCCACTGGAGACCGCTCTCGAGATCCCCTCGAGTGGGTATTTTGGCCTACTCTTCCACAATGGACAGACCATCTTGGAAGAGGTGGGAATGCCCACACTTTATTCCACCACACGTGGCCTGCCAATCGACTGACTGGGCACACACAGGCGGTGGGGATTTCATGAACTTGCACAGTTGCTCGAACTGCCACGCGAGGAGATCGTGCCGGCGACCTCTGTATTGCACCAAATCTGACTGGTGGCCACACAACATAGCATATATGGTAACCCTCTTTGTGACTTTTTTCAGGAACAGCTGTCAAGATGGTCCAGAAATTGTCAGTGAGAATTATTTGGATAAGTTGTCAGTGTTTTTACAGACCCAGGGCTGATGGCACAGCCAGAATGTGAAACTGTATACTGGATTGTACGACACACTTTGGATGCGTATTATAACCTGGTCGCTGCGTGTGCAATATTTTTACATCAGACACAAATTTAGGGTGCATCTTACTTTCCAGAGCATCTTAATAATCTGGAGAATACGCTGTTTGGATTTTTTAAAATGTTGAATGTTCAACTCTCCTGATTTCGTATGAGTTGTCATGGTAAAGTTCCCACCCACCTCATTTTCCTGAAACTGGCTGAGGGCCCAGACTGCGCCAAGGTGCCAGCAGGAGCGACCGCGGTCAGCCAGGCTGGCGATGATGTAGTCCATGGTTGTCACTCCCTTCTCAGTCGGTGGAGGTTGTCTCATCGTTGGAGAGGCGTTCGGGATCCAGGAATACCAGTCGTACTGGGAACGCACAACACAACGGCAATACCGTGGACCTGATCAAGTGGAGTTTGACTCCGCACACTTTCTTAATTTCAGCATTGTGCGGTAACTTGGCAAAATTAATTCAACCAAATTCACGTGATAGTTTTTGCCACATTTCACCCTGTGGAATGGGTGGAGCTCCATTGCACAAAATACCCTGTGACCAATCAGCAGCTGGGAGAAGGCTGACTGGAATTTGGGGCCGTGAATGGTGACGGCACGCTCACTCCACCTGCTGGTCGAGCCAACCAATCACGCTCGGTCTGCAAAGCGGATGAGACGGGTTGGAGCAGCGCATTCCTGCCCCACCGACACTCACAAATGGATGCACAATAACGACTGCAGTGTCCCACAGAACCCATCGAGCTCATCAACCTGCGTCGTAGGACGGCGCTGTCCTTCAACACCCTTACCCGAATAAATCATCAATTTAGCCACCCGAGCCACACTGCTGGAAGCGACGCTATGGTACTCCGCTGGGCAACGTGGCCAAGCAAATCGAGTAAGCGCATCGGCACTGCTCGTGTCGTGTGGGATGTGGATTATGAATGTGATTTGTACAGAGATTTACGTGAGATCAGTGAAAATATACGGAGAGTTTGACATCTGTCCTTTACAACAGCATTGCCAATGAAAATGATGAGAACAATGACTGTCAACAATTTTTAGTTTAACTTTCACACGAATTTTATAACTGATGTGCAACAATTTCTCAAAAGAAATAACTGCTAAAGACCTTGCCTAAAAGAAGTCCAAATGAACCACTAATGCTAAGCACTGGGTCAGTGAGCCCAGAAGAAATGTAATACCAAGTGGTTCTTTGGGACCACTCGGTATTTAATTACGTGCAGTAAAATGTTTTGCCAGAAATGTTCGTGCACAGCTCTCACCTGCCCAAAGTTGACAGCGGCATGATTCGCTGATGTTGCAAATATCACCGTGGTGATGAACAACTCCAGCTCCTCCAGTGTTTCAAACGACTGGGGGATTCCTGCAACACGCCAACGTGGCACTTGTATCCACAGCAATATACCCCAATATTTAGCAAAAGTTACACGTGTACATATGTAGTGAGTCACTTGTGAGACACTTTTAGGAGGAAACAACCACTGGCGGAGCGTGTGGGGGAGGGGGGGTGGCATGTGCCTCCCCAATGATCCGATCGAAATCCCTAATTTCGATCGGATCATTGGGGTTTATTAGTAGTAAATCGGCATTTTGCGACCCCCACTGCCACGGTGTAGCATATTATTAGGTGCCAGGGACTCTATGAGACGATAGAACAATAGTCTGAGTCCATAATTGGTAATAAGTAATGGCAAAGCAGTAATAAGTGACTTACAGAATTGTGCGTAGTTGCGTATACAGGACACGACTTCCCTGAAGGCATCAACACCTTCAGCGAGCGCGATGCCGATCACAACGCGGTTCGAATTTGACCCTCGATCGATGGCCGCGCCATCGCCGCACATGTGTTGAATAAAAAGCAAGGGACAAGTCCTTACTAACAACTCCTATAATTTTTCATTGCTGGAGGGGTTTCCCCCTCTACCTGAAAATACTGGTTCCGCCATTGGCAACAACGTTTATTCTACACTATATATCTTACACACTGTTCACACACGGGATAACTAATTACGGGTCAAAGTAGCCAACAAGCTGTCCGACCCACGACGCCAGAGACGAAGACGTAGCACCTCGGGTTCCATTCCATCTGTAGACAGCCCTGATTCAGCCTCGGGGCTTCCCTTTTATGCCCCTCAGCGTGGCCTGGTTCCGCCCTCGGCCGCGCCAACTTCTAGAACCTTCCAGGAGGTCCTGGGCCGACCTCCACGTGCCACCTGCCCGGCTCCGCCCTTAACCACGCCCCCTCCTGGAACCCTCCAGAAGGTCTGGGCCATGCGTCGAAGCATCGTGATTGACGATCGCATGCAGCGATATGGATTGTAGTAAGGAATGACTTGCGTCTGATCGTCACCCTCCTTTACACCAGGATGTTTCGGAGCGCCGTATACGTGATAGGTCACTTGCATCACATCTCACCTCAACACATTTGTAAGGGACCCCCCCCCCCCCCTGGTGGTATCTGTCCCTGATCAAAAGGTGATTTTATCAGCTGGCCTAAAAATGGGCATGAGTCTGCCAGTAAAGGGGCGATGATCGCTGTGCATGCAATCGAGGAGAAAGGAGCCGTGCACAACGTGTGTATTTGCTGTCGACACTACGAATCACGCTGCAGAGAGCTCCGTCTACCTGAATCCTTGTTGTTCCGGAACCCGTAGACAAAGATGTCGTTGATCCAGGCCTGCACCTCAGAGTCCATTTTGACGGTCTTGTCGTCGGGGTAGTAGACGGCAAGCACTTCCTTCACAAACCTGCAACGTACACTCGGCTTTATGCAAACCCAGCCCTCTGTGTTCATGATGACAAACCCCATCGCAGGAGGGGAACGAGCGCAGGCCAGACACAAATATCAGTAGCATCATGCACAGGCGCTGCTAACACCCAGCAGGGAGGCATAACGCCCACCCATTGGCCACGTGTGCCTGCTATGTGACAGCCACATCACATGTGCAATGCTCTCTGCCTTGTCTAGACCACCAGCTCAAGAGATTTAACAGCACGCGCAGGTGCTGCTCATAAGCAGCAGAAGGGCACAACTCCCATCATGCTTTGCATGTGTCAGGGACGCCCAGAGGCGATCCCCACCTAATGAGACCCGCCCGCCCGCAAGCAACTTCACCAGCTCTGTCACTTTAAGTGGCGCAGGAAGTCTTCACCAGCTCTGTCACTTTAAGTGGCGCAGGAAGTCTTCACCAGCGGTGTGCAGAGCCTGGTTAGCCCTGATTGGATCACTCGGCTTTAATGTCCGGACTGGCTAAGGGCCACTTGATTGCCTAGCGGGTTTGAATGGGAAAACGAGGGGGACTTAAGAGATCGATGAGATAAATCAAAAGATTCTGGAGTGGGGGGTGGGGGTGGAGGGAAGTTAACAGATGGACAACAGAAGTTTGGGAATTTTTCGTAATTTTTGTATTAATGAATTACACAGGAAAGCCACACTGAGTCGTCGGACTTTTGCAGGAGGTTTTTGTTAAGTTGTTTTCAGCCAATGAATGATGAGTGTTTATACAAGTGGGAGGAAACCCACGCATGGGAGGGGGCAATGCTATGTCCCCATACAGATGGAAACAGATGGCGATTAGTCCACTTGCTGCACTGCTTTCTTCTGGGGAGCCAGAGTATGGCACCTTGAAAGCCACGGGAAGAGAGTTTCACAACATTTGTGCGGTGATCCACCAACCCTCACTGCCTCCACGGAACTGGATTACAGGCGAACGTGCATCGCCACCACCGCGCTGCGTTGCGCGCGCCACCGCACTCCTCTATTCACTGCTCTTCACATTCACACCGCGTGATCACCACGAGTGAAGTGGCGTCACACCGACCCGCTGTGTGAGCAGCAGCAGCAGCATTGTCAGGGAGAGGAATTCCCTCGCGGCTCAAATGTCAAATTGAGGGATCCAGGTTGGAGTCTCTGCATTCATGAACTCATGAAAGAATGCACACCTGGGAATGAGTGAGTAGTGGGTAGGAATGGTAAAGCGATGGCACATACTGCCATGGACCATGTATCCCTTTGCTGCAGGCGAAGCGTCCATGATTTATTTGTCTTGCAATTGGCTATCAGTGTCTATTACAGTTTGTATTTGATTTATGAGCCACGATGCTCCACAACTGGACTCGGTGGGGTACGATACGACGCTGTTGCTCGCGGTGACAGCCCACGGTGCTGAGGATAATTATGGAAATGCGCGAGGTGCGATGCGTACTCCAGGATCGAGAAGATCTGATGGTAATGACGCCGGTTCGGCCTCGTGTATATCGCCCTTACTGTGCCGTGCAGTTCCAGACTTGCTGGCCATCTTTGCGGTAGAAGTAATAGGGAAGGTTCTCCTCGCTGTCCACGCCACGCATCTGGATGTTCTTGGGAAACTGCAGATGTTCGTATCTTAGTTCCTTCACAGCCCTCTGCACGAGCTGCACGTGGCCGCCTCCCCCTGTTGCATTCGCCTGTAACACGCAGGGCGCAGACGGTGTTAGCACAGGAATGCAGTGTTTAAAAACTCAACACGTTTGTCAGAAACACTGTGGTGTGTGTGACCTTAAAAGAAAAATATTGAATAGATGACATTTCCAGCCATGGACCTTCTCCATGGCACATACAAATAAAAATGGCCATTGCCGAAAACGTCGCCTATGATATATTTTTTCTTTTAAGGCAAGTCTTATTGGCAAAAGTTTGTATGTATGTTGAACTTCTTTCACACCGTACGTAGCCAACCGTGCAAATCAGAGGAGTGTCTGCATCACTGGAAAAGCAGAATAACCAAATAATCTGTTTACATCATCAGGATGGTTGCTAAAATAGTTATTTGCACAACTGATATATAAAATGTAACATTTAATCAATTGAGAGAAGAAAAAGATTTTTGGTAATAAAACAGGAGGTATTAAAAATGTTATAACACCAAATAAACACCTATTACAAAGCATTAAGTCTGCATGAGATGTTAACGACCTCGCCTGGTGTCCAGGTCTCGTGGGTTTGATTCTGACCCTGACGCCTGCTGTATATTTGCAATTTGCATGTTCTCTCTACAGTCACGTAAATTTTCCTCCAGGTCCTTCGGTTTTTCCCGCCACATTTAGAAACGTGCGTTTAGAGTATTTGGCTGCAATCAATTTCCACGTGAGGATAATCCACTTAATTGAGCTCTCATTTGTGGCCACGTCGCTTTTGAAAAAGAGCTACATAGCTCAGTGGCCCTTACCTGGTAAAATAAAACAGTTATTAGTTTTTATTTGTGATAAAACATGCAAACAAACATGCTTAGATAATGTGTGCATTGTCCTTGAAACTGATTGGCCTACACCAGAGACAGCCTCTATTGCCATGTCTTATTTTTATCATCATCTTAACACTGGAAGCAAAGGTCCCATAGAACAAACGCAACTTCGATGTGAACATCTCCCAGAGAGCAGTCGCGGAGCACGTGGGCGACGGGAGCATCCAAGGGAACAGGTTCACCCCGGATCGCATCGCCTGGTGATCACCTGTTTGCGCTATCACCTTTTTGTATATGTATGTAGTTTCTAAGTAAACTAAATGAATTTTAAAAGAAGTTAAATGGCTATAACAGGAACTCAAATGCTTGCAAGTGATTTAGAGGAGCGATGTAGCGCAATAGAGCCATCGCTGTGAGCGCCACGCTCATTGCGCACGTTCCGGCCAGAGCGGTTTTGTCTATTTGTGTTGTTGGTCGCCTTTCCCAGCATGGTCCCAATTCCCGGCTTGCTCGTGTCCAGATTCCAGATGTTTTTGTGGTAAGTGGAATGCGACTAACCCATATTTGTGTTTGGGTTAGGCGATGTACAGCAGTAGTTTTATACCAAAATGATTGTCACGAGCCCTCTACCACCCAACACGATTGCTACACTTATGCTTATTTACGAGTGCCAATGTAATGATCAAGTTCTCACCAAAAGAGCTCCTCCTCAAAAGTGGTTTGAGAATTCTTACGACTTTATTCAACATCAACGTAGCGTCAAGTTTCGCTCAAACTGCTCGGCCTTCGCCCGCGAGCGAGCTCGCAAGTGGAGCGGTGATGGTGGAGGTGCGGGGAGCCTGCCCGTCGGTGGACTGTGGTGGGCTGTAGGATGCGCAGACCCCCGTCGCTACCTTGTCGAAGAGGCCACACTTGCAGATGAGCTCCTCCCTGGCTTTTGTGTTGATGGCGATGGTGAAGCGCGTGTGATGCACCAGCAGCTGTAGAGACAAGTGCATGCTCCGCTGCAGGTCGATGCCGGCACCTCCTTCACACACAACCAGCTGATGCTGCTGCTGCTTGTTGCAATTCGAGGCCAGAATGTTTGTTTCTTAACGGCTTTGATGTATTATTATTTATTATGACACTTGTTTACACAGCCGCACTGCGTCTGGAGACTCGTTTGCATGCGTACCAGTGTACACAGACACAATCCTGCGTGCATGGTATGGGGAGCACAACGAGTAAGGAGTTATACAGCAATCCCTCGCCAAACACGGACTTGCCAACCGCGGAAAATCATGTGCACACGGTTTATTATCTGTTTCCCAATTTACGAATTGCGGCCTGGAAGTGTTGAGTATCCACAGGCAAGCACGGGTCCGCAACGCGCATTTACAAATTCCATGGGACCGCGGTTCTCTGCACCACTTGTGGTGCTGCGTAGCTTATTATTATTATCTGTCCATTCGTTTAGTTGATGCTCGCAGCGCATCGACTTAACGAGGCCGAACAGTGAGGTGTACCAGGACTTACACAAAAAACAGCAGCAGCCACCCACTCACACACTCACCCACCCAGCCACTCACCTGGAATGCGAATCAGCAGGTCAAGAGTCAACATACACTGGCCTGTGTGACTGCGGTGAGATGCAGACTGTAGAGCGCCTATTGGTCTGTGGGCTCCTAGTAGCAGAGCCGTGCACCATGGGAGGCTACGCCAAGGTTACACACTGGGACACATCATCACCATGGCATGCCGTGGTCTATTCACTGGCCGGCTATATCATCATCACGTGCCTGGCACCGGATAAGCGCGCGACCGTGGTGGCAGCACACAACAACAAGTCGTCTCGGTGCGTTTAGCAGCGTGGCACCTTAAAGATGGGGTGGACGGCCGGCAGCTGTCGGAACATGGCGATCCCGAACACCTCGGAGATGAGGTGTGTGTGCAGCAAGTGGGACACCGTCTGGTGCACGTGAAAGTCACAGGATCTCGCCCACATCTTGGCCAACATCCAATCGTTGTTGGAGTCAGTTGGCAGGAAGATGGGGTTGTCTGAGCCTGGGGTCTGCTGCAGCTGTTGGGCAGAAATATTCAAGCAGAAATATTTGTATAAAAGTACGTACCACAAATTGAATTATAGTCGTAAGATACCTGTGAATAGAATAAATGATATCATTCTTAAATGACTTTAATTACATTGCTATCGATGATTATTTAAAATATCCGTGGCTCACCAGTGCATGTAAACATTGTGGATTACAGGAAGAGAAATACTGCTGTTACAGATTTATGTATTTTGATTATTTACCCAGGAAAGCCTTGCTGAGTCTCAACTCATCTAAGAAGGGTCCTGCCAAGTTTTTTTGCAGGAGAGGGCGATATTTCTACGTGCCAATCCCAATTAAATAATGTGCAGCTCATGTTCCACCATTGGCATTTTTGGCCAATACCAGTTAACGTTGGTTTTTATTTTGCTGTGGCAGGAAACCAAAAAATCCAGGGGGGAGAACATTCAAAAATGCACGCAGAAAGTGCCCAAGTCGGGAATCCAACCCAGGTCCCTCTCGCGTGTCACCACAACGCCACCCCACCCGCGCAATTATTGGGCATCCATGGCGTGGAACAGTGGTGGTCCTCACACCAGCTTGGGAGGGAACCTGTGCCTAAGCAATCCCCACGGCCCAAAACAACTCAAAAGTGGCTTAATTTCTGCGAAAAGCAGGAACGGGGCAGCGATGATTTCCGCTCCATTGCCAAGGAAGGGGCCGTCTGTGCGGAGCCCGCGGGAGCTCTGCCCGCTGCCCTCGCGGCCGCGGCAACAGCCAACAGGCAACAGGCAACAGCCAACAGGCAACAGCCAACAGGCAACAGCCAACAGCCAACAGGCAACAGCCAACAGGCCGAGGAGATTCCCACCCGAGAGTCACGGCTTGCAGGCATGAGGCTGTTGTAGATTAGTAATTAGTGTTAATGTGTATTATTTAACTGAACCCAATTACTATAACCAATCAAGTGCAGAAATTAAAGGTGAGGGGGGGTATATAATAGATTAGTAATCAGTTAAGTATTATGATTAGTAATAAGTAGTAGATTAATAATTAGTTGCAATGTGTGTTATTGTAATTATATACTACGTTAGTAATCAGTTAATTAGTATGTGTTTCCCTATAAGGAATTGTACTATGTATTATTTAATAGTACGCTTCCAGGCTGCACTAAGCCTGTCGCTGTCAGAGCGATTAAAGTTATTTCTATTTCTCTCAATTTCAATGGATTATCTAATCAGTCTTGGCCAGTAATAATTAGTTTTACACAACACTTCAACGTTATCAAAATCAACCACCAGTAGGTTTGCCACATATAATAGCTCATCGAAGTGTCATATGTGGGAATTTATAGGAGCCAAATAACCTAAACACATGTTTTTAAATGTGTGGGGCAAAACTGGGGACCTGGAGAAAATCTACGCCACCTCGGAGAGAACATGCACACAGGCATCGCCAGGGTCGGGATCGAACCCAAGTTCACCAACATGCTAGGCAAGGGATGTAACATCTCGCCACTCCAGCTGTGAGAGTCGCCTGTGCCATGCTTTAAACGAGTTGAGACTGGTAGAATGTTTTAGTACATCTGGGAGATCGTTACAGTTGAAGGAGCTCAGTGTCTGAGCGGGAGCGTGATGTAGAGAGGAGATGGTGTCCCCCTCACCTGGATGGCGATGGGAACTAACTTCTTGTTGACGTTGTTGTACAAGAGGCAGATGGGCGCCGCCACGTACTGCATCGTGCACGGGTCAGTGGCATTGGCCTGGATTCCATCCATGATGCTGTAGTCGGCGATGAAGATATTCCCTTGCTGAAAAGCACGCAAGCATGGGCCACCAAGTGATCCCGACGCACGACATGCGACCCTTTCCCAAGAGGAACAACTCCCAGAGCGTGGAGCGAAACGTCGTACATTATGCCGAACAGTGCATGGTATGACCAGAAATCACACCGGGCAGCTGTGTAGAACTGCGGAATCCCACGCAGTACAATTACACAACAATGTGTCAATTAGTGCAGTCGACTATGACACCTATGGGGACGAGGGTGGCGCCTAATGCTTGTGTCGCACAGCAAGACGCCCTTGGGTTCAGTTCCTGACTCGGGCACCTATTTCCGTGGAGTTTGTATATCATCTCTGTCTCCCCCTGTTCTGCATGGGCTTCCGCTGGGTTCTGCAGTTTCTTCCCAAAGCAAAAAAAAACCATACAGTGTAACTGGCATTGGGCAAACATCCCAATCTTAATTATGGAGCTTTCGTGACTGCAGGAATTATTCTTTGGTTCTTTCGGTTAAGTCACGTCTAGACGTGACTTAACCGAAAGAACCAAAGAAACATCCCAATGTTGAAAATTACACAAATTGGGATTACATACAGAAGCAGCGGCAGCAGCAACATCACCCCTGACTGCAAAAACTAAGCAGGAGGCCCTCCTGAAGTAAAGTCTCGAGAACCAGGAGAGGCTTTCCTGCTGGGTATAAACAAGCCTCACAATTCGTTTGGTAACTGTCTGTTATCTCACTGGCAATCTATTGTCGTTTACACGCGCCATTGTCCTGCTGGGACTGGTTACATTTTGTAAACCTTAAAAATAATGTTTAACTGCAAGTCACTCAATTGGGGTTTACACAGCAGCAGCAACCCCCTACTGTGAAAACACTTGGCAGGAACATTGTGAAAAAAGACCTGAGACTCGGTGAGGCATCCCATAAGTAAACGAGCACAATTCGGGCAGTCCTCGAATTTCTACTAAAAACCCATCGACTTAAAACACGAACTCGCACTTTCAAACTGAACCGTGGAACGGATGATCAGCGGAGAGATCATCCGTGAGATGGAACGAGTCAGCCTCGTGCTGGGAGTGTTTGTGTGTGTGCGTGTGTGAAAGTGTGTGTTACTTTATTTTATGTTTGATTTACTATACAGTATTTTCTTATAGTGTTAGATGCATATCTAAAATCATTCTACTTATGAATTTAACACTGCTTCCCTTTTTTGTTGAACCGTAACACATTTTATAACTGACCGTATGTGCATATAAATGGAGTATATTTTTGTGTTTCAACTTACGAACCGTCGACTTACGAACGAACGGGTCACAGGAACAAAACCCGCTCGTAAGTCGAGGTCTGCCCGTAAACAACAACAACAACGAATGACTGTGACACGATGTGCGTTGGCGATGGTGGCCGCTGTGCTGCAGTCACCCACGCACCTTTGCCTCCTCCTCCAGGGAGATGGAGCGCTCCAGACACGCTTCCACCATCTTGTGAGTGACCGGCAGTTTCTCGGGGATCTCGGTGCACTTCTTGAAGACGACGGGATTGCAGCCGTTCAGAAACTGGTATCCAAACATGAAGTCCTCCTGCCAGTGCTTCATGACATACTCTGGAAACGCGCGGGCACACGTTCAATCAACACCGCCCTTTGAGTTACCACGCCACAGCACGCGGAGTGTCGCTGTCATCTAAATGATTCAAATCTGTTGGGATGGGCACATTTTCTCCACTCTTTGAGTCGGTGGTCTAAACAACAAATTGGCCTCAGTTATTTTGTGCTAGTGGTCTGGATAAGGCTGAGAGATGCAGTGCCGCACACTGTGTATTATTCAATATACGTGGTGTCCATGGTTCGCACACTAAAATCTTAATCCACGAGTCGCTGGTTAGATTCTATCTTAAAGTCCTACCCCAGTTCCCATCTGTTCCCGAGATGTGTGGCCAGCGTGGACGAGTAGGCCAACACATTAACCTCTTGAGCGGCCATCCTTGGACTCCCTCTAGCAAATGGACTTCCGCAGCAGTGGCATGAGCAAGAGATTGCAGGTCTGCGCCTTCACCCAGAGCCCATTGGGAAGTGAATGCGCCCTGCACTGCGACTCCACACGGAGCGTGCGAGGTCCACGCGACACAATCGCCGCTGTGGAGACTCCACTGAGGATGTTCCGGCAGAAGATCCGCACACAACAAGAAGCCACCGGCCCCTTGGGGAGTGAATGTCTCCCAGCAGCAATGATTCAATGTGAGCAAACCCTGGACTGCTGTTATTTCGTGCACATTATTTAAAAATACATTTGATTGGCATCAATAATAATGTTGTGTTAATAATTAATAGCATACAATTAATACCTGTCAGCCCATACGGTTTACCCGTATTCTTGTACAGGGAAATTGAGTTTTGAGGTCCATACGCCGGTACGGTCGTTTCAATACGGGCAACAGAATGTTTTATCTGTTTGTGTTTCTCCCTGGCGATGGAACTTTGTAGGATGCACGTTGAGATTTATAAGGGCACGGGGTGACCAGTAAGGTCTGAATTGGTCTGTAAACACATCCCTGCGGAGGGAGCTGGTAGGAACGTTGGGTTGCTCGGTCAATGGCCTGCAGGGTCAACGGCGGCGTGGTGTATTCCGCAAATATTCCCGACTGTGAGGGCGGGCACAAGCCGGCGTGAGTAGGTTACACGTTGAGTTTTATAAGGGCACCACGGGGTGACCAGCCCCTCCCCACCCAGCCCCTCCCCACCCAGCCCCACTCTCCCCACCCCCCACCCAGCCCCACCCTCCCCACCCAATCCCTCCCCACCCAGCCCCTCCCTGCACGACGGACACAATAATCCCCTGTGGGCTGGTGTAACCAGGAGGTTCCTACCAGTATAAGGTAGGGCACTGATAAGGGGTTAACAAGTATGATTTTAAAAGTGTTTCCCTCAGCCAAGCAACACGTCACGGCGGCCATGTTGCGTGAGTGACTTTACGGCGGCCATGTTGCGTGAGTGACTTCACGGCGGCCATGTTGTATGGGAGTTATGTTCCTGGCAGTTGATTGGCTGAAGCGGTGGGATTGCTGACGTCACCCCTAGCGACCACGTGCAGACTTGGAGCTTGTCGACTTCGCCTGTGACGCGCGCACAGCCTCTGCTGAGAAGTGTTTGCGGGTTCCCGTTGCGGCATTTCGGAGCGTAATACAGTCGCAACCTGCAGGCTAAGACGCAATTTAATTTAACCAGGTCACAACGTGCACTTTATTTGGTATGTGGGCTGCTTAAGAATAATACGTTTGCTGTGTTTCTGGCTCTGTGTAGACATAAGTGGTAAGACATGAGGATGGGTTGATATTTGTCGCGGGTGTTCGTCAAGGTTGCAGATTGATAGGCTAGGAGTTTGACGCATTGCGTTAGCAGGCCAGCTTGTTGACGGGCTGCACTTAATAAACTTGTTTCACGAGTTTGGTCCATGCGAGTCAGTGACGTTGGGGAGTGTAGAGATTGGAGCATAGTACAGTACAACAATTGATTTTGATATTCGTCGACTAATGGCAGCTGAATAAAATGTTTACAATAAAATGTGTCAGCCGTTTCCAAATGTCCGTGGTGTTTGTGTGCCCCTGATGAAGAGAGGTCTCACCAGATATGGTGTTTTTTATTCTCACAAAGATTTTCTCGTAGTCGGCAAAGTCACTCCAGGACGACTGGAACATGTGCATGAACTGATTGACACACAGGTTCTCCATCCTTCACAGAGGAACACAAAACCATATGCAAATTAACAAGTTCAACACGTTCATTCATTCGGGGCCGTCCATAAATGACGTCATGTACCGGGGGGGGGGGGGGGGTGTCAGACATTCGTGACGATCTGTGACGGGGGGGGGGGATTTGAGAAATGCGACGTCACATCAAAATGCGCAACTTTATATAAATATATAATTGCTCTAACAACACGACTTTTTCTTTTTTAACTATTTGATTATTTAAATTTACTAAGGTCACCTTTTATTTATTCCATGGAAGAGCATTTTGCTTCTCCATGGGAGAATGGAGAAGCATACATTTGGAAATGTTTTTTAATGATTGTTATTAAACATTTTGATTCTACCAGGGCTTTTCATTCTGTGGAATGAATATGTGATTGTATTAATTGTACTCTCCATTTTGCTTCGTTCTACTACAAAGTTTCAAGTATTTTTTATAGTTATAATTACTTCTAATATTTTATAAATATAAGATAATTTCAATATAATATTCTGAACATCTGCAGTTTTAGTTAGACGTTGAATATTTTCAAGTAAATTGTATGCTAAATTTAAGCTTTCCAGCGCCTCCTTTTAAATAAATGTTTTCTCCTACAACATCAGTGTGCAGTGCCACATTAAATACGCACTACAATGACAATAGTTTAAAGCGATTTGAAGCATGTTTTATTTTCAAAATGAAAATGTTTTTTGGGGGGGGGCAGAGCTTTGTGACGTCATATTTGAGGGGGGGTCTGACTTTTTGTGACGCCGTGTGATGAGGAGGGGGGGGGGGGGCAAAAATCGTCCAAAATCGCGTGACGTCATTTATGGACGGCCCCTTATGTGGGGCAGAATTCCTTAAACAGGTGCCCCAGCTCTGTGGTCCACCGTTGGGATGTTTTGCCAACACCATCAAGAAGTGTTTACACAAGTTGGAGGAAACCAGAGCACCTGGAGAAAGCCCACGCGTAACAGGGAAGTAATTCTCTTTCCCTGTACAAATGGAAACAGATGGAGATACATCGACTTGCTCTACTTCCATTTGTTTTGAGCTGATATTTGCCTCACCACAATTTCTCTTTTTTTATGAATCTGTGGCCCTTAATTTTTTTTGCAGCCAAATATTTTTCTCAAGTTGCTTATGGCTCGCGAAAAACGCCTTTCTCCCTGGCACTATTTCAGGTGCAGCATGATCAGCCCGCAGCAACCACGAGGTTGGGGTGGGCAGTGCGGAGGGGGGCGTGTGAGTTTGGGGGGGCACTCGCGCGTTATCTGTGGTGCGAGTGCTGCCCCCCCCCCCCCCCACAACTCTCGCTTCCAGTATGATTTGCCACCATCTTCAAGCTGCTCACGTGCGAGGGGTGCGTGGGGGCCCGTGCCAATCTGTCGCGTGATAAAACTCCAGCAGGCCCAAAGTCTCCGTGCCCGGTCGTGCCCTGACCGTGCCCGCGTGGCCGCAACGCGACGTACGCTTTGGTGTAGTTGAGGAGGAAGTCGATTCCTTTCTCGCTGTCAAACTGGATGTCCCGTGGCAGGTCCCTGTGGCGCGCCACATCAATGCTGCCCAGGAAGCCAGGCTGCCATTCCTGCCACCTGCGCACGAAGGGAGCGTGCCGTGAGCGAAGGCTTTCGGATTTAGTCACACGCACGAGCGTCTTCACTCGGAGAGATTTACAAATTACGAGTCACAGCAACAGTTTTATAATTTAACTATTCTTTATATAGCATAAATGTGTTCTGGTGTTTGTAATCATGGACTGACGTATTTTAATTCCATGACTGAATGAGATTTTGTACAGATATATTGTTGTATCTATACCCTTTTTTAAAATTAATATTAAGAATAATTCTGCCAACATATCTATTTTTTTTAATAGACACGGGGCAACTTGGGAGCAACCAAAGACGAGCGAAAAACCCGTTTCCCCACTTCCACGGACAACAGATGCACACACACCTCGCTTCAAATGCCAGAAATCATGAAAGAGATAGCAATAAAATGTCATAAAAACTCCCCTAATTTCACACAAGAGGAAAAAGGGAGGGGGGAATTGCAAGCGGGGGTGAGGATAACACCCAAACTTCGAAAAGCCCCCCTCACAATACAAAACAACAGGCGCCACGAGGAAGATATAATTATATTCTTAACGGCTAAAAAATACAGCATTGGCAACAAGAATGCACAGACGGGTTTTTGAGTCATGTTAGTTAAACAAAGTTACCAACTTAGCCATGAAGATTAAGCAAACATTATCTATCTTCGCTCCAATTGGAAACCAGACTACAGTCTGCACCAGGGTCGTGAATCCTCATTTGTTAATTTAATACTGACATTATTTACCTTTAATAATTTTCTACGAATACGGGCCGAAGCATCAAAGAATAATTATGGCAGTCAGGGCCGCTCCAAAAAAAAACTAATTCCCTAGCCCCGGGATATCAGCTTAAATAATAACAAGAAGTCAAATAATAAGTACGAAATTAGAGTGGATCTCCTAGGAGAGTTAAGGGCGGAGAAGTCTATCATAATTAACCAACACGCAACACTCCAGGGGAAGCGAGCAGCTCACAGCCGTCTTTGTCTTCCCGAGAGGCACGGCCACGGAGCACACACACAAAGCCAGGAAATGACCCTCATAAAAGTTCGGGGCGAGCGAGCGACGGCTCGAGAAAGGGAATTAACAGTGCCTCTAAAAAAAATATAAAACACACGCGCAGTGTGCTCCACGCGGTGGAGCACAGCCGTCTTTGTCTCCCCGCAGCACGGACAGCAAGATTTGCGCACGTGAGCAAATAACATTTCCCCATAGGGAGATCAAACTACGATGGAAATACCGTGAACACGGCTACGGCATACCTTGAGTCACTTGCAATCAAATCACAATGATACTAAGCAGCCAAATGAGTCGCATTTTAACTTCCAAACCAAAAACAACTTAAGCTGTGTGAGACAAAGGATAAACGCCCAGAGCGAGGGAAGGGATTATAGAAATCGCTTAACGCGTAGGCTTTCGCGACCAATATTATTCATAATCAAAAACGTGGATTATGATTTTGGAACCTCGGTACGAACGCGAATTGTCGGTCTGGTTTAGTTTGATGACTCATGTGACGCCGGTTCGCGAGGAAGCCCCCACCCCTCCTCCCAGAATTATTGCGGGCATCTGTGTCTTTTGAAGAAACTTTTCCTCCAATAAAGCACACACGACACACACGGTTGGACACACACACGGCACACGGACGCAGATGTGTCCACCCCCACAACGAAAAAGTTATATGGTCTGGCCTTTGAACAACTCGGAAAAACTGAGTGGATTTTCCCGATATAAGCCGAGGCAAATCCATTCAAACGAGATCTCTCTGGGACTCCGGCCCCCACAGATCACCAGGGCCCCCACATCTCTCCGGGGCTCCGGCCTCCATCTCCTCTCGTCGCCGCCAACGAAGAAGCTCTTCCGTCATCCAGAATGACGATGTTCGCGGGGTAGCGACGTGCATCGACAAGCCGAGGTGCCCGCCTGCCCACGCACAAGTGAACGAGCTTCACCCTTCGTCCGATCACCAAGCCGAGGTGCCCGCCTGCCGCGCACGAGTGAACGAGCTTCACCCTTCGTCCTGTCGCCAAGCCGAGGTGCCCGCCTGCCGCGCACGAGTGAACGAGCTTCACCCTTCGTCCGATCACCAAGCCGAGGTGCCCGCCTGCCGCGCACGAGTGAACGAGCTTCACCCTTCGTCCTGTCGCCAAGCCGAGGTGCCCGCCGGCCCGCGCAAACGAGCACTGCCGCGCCGTCAGTCACCGTACGGGTGTCAGCCGAGGGAAGAGTCGGAAAGCGAGCCGCTCACCGCAGCCACGCTCGAGCGAGAGGGACCTTCTCCGAAAGTCGTTCGTATCCACAACTCCCTCCCCACTCATAGACCCACACACGCACGCATCGACGTCCCGAACCTACCTAAGAGACTATTCCACCCATACCATCGTATCAACCCTAGTCAATTATCAGAAGACTAAATACCAATTACATGAACCATCAGCTGGCCGTGAGGAATCGTGGCCCATCGAGTGATTAAGAGTCCGTCGGTTATAAGAGTGAAGTTATTTTCCTTGCCTTTTTATTTTTGTTTCGCTCATCGCATAGGCGACCAATAGATTCGTCGAGGCAAACTAAAACTCTCGAAATCCTCATTACAAATCGACACGTTACAGAGAGAGAATATCTTGTCAAACCGGTTTCTTGTCAAAGAGTCTCGTCGAAGAATTAATCAAAGCAGCGCTCTCTCACCAACACGCACCCACCCACCCTTGTCTCAAACATTTCGTTAAAAGAATTTTATACTTGCCGATGAATCTATTGACGTATACTTTCGCCTCTGGGGCATAATAAGTTGCCTGTATTGCCTTCATTTGAATATCGTTGCATGCCTGTTTTAAAACTCCGCCAGTCGCCGGTTGTGCTCGATACATGGGGGAACTACTGAGATGTCTGGTGGGAAAGTAGAAATTACGATTGTTAGAAGAATGTTAGCCTTCAGTTCGTTAATTGCATAATCTAGCCAATGAATCGATTGACGTATGCTTTTTGCCTTTGCATGCTAGAATGTCACATGTTTGTTTAGAATAAAATTGTTAACACAGAAGTATCTCGAGTGTTTCTTCCAAGTCCATGCAAAACTGTCTTATTCATAACAGCTGTATCCTGCGATGAGATATGAAATTGGAGACCTAACATAAAATAAAAACACTAAGATAATCAGTAAATGTTTAATCAATGATAATCGTGTCATCCTGATTGATACAACTCTGGATAAACGAAACTAAGCTTAATTATCATAACTGCAAACATTAACATAATCGCAAGCATTCGCATAAATTACTACGATTATCTCCGTGATTATCATAATTTATGCATATAATTACATACATTAACATAATTTATGCGATTTGCACATTTTTTGCAATTTCATGAATTTTTATTGTTTTTATCAAAATTTGATAATCCAACATATACAACATTGTTTCGCACTGAACAGGTCCCACAATGTTCACAGAGGACACCTTCCTACCGTATCACATAGCCCAACAGTTCTGACCCTGATTATTGTTATTTTTATGCTGTTTTACCCAGGAAAGTCTCACCAAGTCTCAACTCATACACTCTCACACACTCACACACTGTACAGAACAGGGGAGAACATATAAACTCTACACAGAAAGGTGCCTGAGCCGGGAATTGAACCCAGTATCTTCTTGCCACGAGCGTCACCGGTTCCCTGCCGTCGTGTGGCGGCGCAGCGGGTGCTGTGTTCGTGAGTAAGCGCGCGAGAGGAGGCGGTGCTGACCGGTAGAGCTGCTGCCGCTCCTCCAGCTCGCGCAGACGCTGCTGCTTGAGCACCTGGAGCGTGTCCTGATGCGCTAGTCGGGCTGCACACAGACACCGCACGCCGTGCATCAACCCTTTAACCAACTGATAATGTAGCCAACTACAAACCAGTGGAGATGAGCCATTCCTTAGCAAGTTGGTGATGTCACGGCGGGTACTTCAAGAGCAGAGTCACACTGGTCATGCAGCCTCACTCGATTTCCGAGTTCATAAGCTGATGAAGCTCAAAGAGGTTTGAGTGAAATGTCGAGGTACGTTGGTGTAAAATTCAGTCGTGAGAAGTCTCAAGCCACGGGTGAGGAGGAGGCGTTTTATTGTTCAGAATTGGAAATCTAATTCTAGACTTGAAGCTTTCGTGACTGCAAGGAATCATATTCTTAGGTGTTTTCGGTAAAGTCACGTAGGTAAAACATCAAAATTAATAAAAATAATAAAATAAAAATAAACGTCGTGATATTTATTTTTATTTTATTATTTTTATTAATTTTGATGTTTTACCTACGTGACTTTACCGAAAACACCTAAGAATTGGAAATCTACTTTGGCCATGTACAAATAATATCTTTGTAAATGTGACAATATTGTCAGTTGGTGGAGGTTTATGGCAAGAATTTTGGCATAAATACAAAACTTTATTTTAAAACTTTTTATTTGACTAGGTAAGGCCCACTGAGTTATATAGCTCTTTTTTTTAGAAGTGACCTGGGCACAAATGATAGCCCAACGAAGTGGCTTATTTGGAGATTTATAGCAGCAAAATACTCTAAACCCATTTTCTAAATGTGGAGGAAAAAACTAGAGGACCCGGAGAAAAATCCACGTGACCACGGGGAGAACATGGAAACTCCAAATATACAGGCATCAGAGCTAGGAATGAACCGACAATCTCCTGTATACCAAGAGAGGCAGTTAACATCTCGCCTCCGCATGTGGTATAGCCCAAAACAAATAGGAATCGCACCAAGTACCACTTTTTTCTTTAAATCAAAGCGTTTATATTGCAGCACCATTCATGCAAACTGCATCTCACTCCACCGCACAATCTGCAACACATGGAGGAGCAAAGATAGTCTGATGTTTTAACTCAATTAAATGAGTGTTTAGACATGTCGGAGGAAACTGGAGCACCCGGAGAAAGCCCATGCATGCGAGAGGGCGACGCTATGAGACATCATACAGCTGGAACAAATGTAAATAAGGCAACACTTGCTGTAATCACCTTCTTCTGGAGAACCAGGGTATGGCGCGCCCTCGACGCCCGCGGGAAGGGAGTTGCACAACATCTGTGCGATCCACCAACCCTCGCTGCCCCCCACAGCGCTGGACTACCGCCTCGAAAATTACTCATTTGGAAAACACACAGCAATCATCGCCCTATCCTGGAAAAAAACTTGGCGGGAGCCTCCTGAAAAAGTCAGGACGTTCGGTGAGGCTACCTTGTTCGAACGAGCGTAGTATTAATCACAACTGTGATGACGATTATGGTGGTGATGAGAATTCCGCGCGGCACCGACCTTTGCCCTCGCGAAGCACGATCTCCTTGTCGTCGATGAACCACCTGTAGCAGGGGAACTCCATGTGCTCTCCCTTCGGGGTCTTCACGTGGACGTACTTGCAGTACCAATCGTCGCCGAAGATGAAACCGCGCTTCTGAATTTTCACGAGCAGGATGTCCCCGAGCTCTTCCTCGGCCTCCAGCGTGTACGAGTCCACCTATGGCACGGACGCTTGTTACGAGCGCTGGACATGCAAAAGAGCCCCCCCCCCAAACGGCTGCGGGGAACACAGGGGGCCAGCAGGGAATGCCGGGACCAGACACAGGCACGATGAGATGAGCAGCGGCGCAGCGGTCGGCGCGCTGGAGCTCGCAACCCACTGGTCGCCGGTTCGATCTCCCGAAGCGGCAGTTGAAACAAATGGTGCGAGTTTTTTTAAATGTACCAAGTACTAACGATACTAAACTTAAACTTTTTTACATTTTTTACCAGGTAAAGGCCCAATGAGCTGTATAGCTCTTTTTCAGAAGCGACCTGGCCACAAATGATAGCTCAACGCAGTGGCTTGTTGAATGCAAATGTATAGCAGCCAAATACTCTGAAAAGCACGTTGATTCTAAATGTGGAGGGAAATCCCGAGGACCCTTAGGAAAATCCACGCGAACATGAAAACTCCAAATATACAGCAATTATCAGAGTCAGGATTGAACCCACGACCTCCTGTATACCAGGCGAGGTAGTTAACATCTCGTCTCCGTGGCGCCCACCGTTTCCAAGTGGGAACCTGGCAACAGTAGGTTGACCAGTGAGTGGGTTGTGTGGGATACCCGGTAATTATTTAACAGGCTGATGAGGCTCGGTGAAGTCGTAAGTGATTTGCTTCTCCCATGTATTTTGCGAACCTCTTGAGTTCCTGAAAAAGCTCCCAGCCACGTGGGGTGAAACGTCAGACACGCAACACGTGGAAAGCACATCGGAGAGACACACTGCAGCACAATCGCGAAAACACGGAGTTGGCATCGGAGTCAACTTGATTGGCCTGAACACATTGTACAGCGATACATTGGCCCAGAAAGACAGCCGCTGTTCTATTGATTCAATGTAATTTCAACAGTTCAGTGAACCCCATTTACAATATTTTCACAAGCACACATATATAATTTTAGTATAGTTATAAAACATTATAATTTACAACTTCCTTGTTCATTCACTGCTGGTAGAAGGCCTCCTCATATCCTGTGTATCATGTGGGGCTGTTTGACCATACTTCACCACGCGGGCCAGTGCAGGTTGGCGAAGGAATAGGGGCCAATAATCGGTTCAGATATCGCTCGCCCACGCATGTCAGCTGTGGCAGGGGATATTATTCAGGTGATTGCTGGCGTAACAGTCCCCCATGACGGCCCCCACATCACCATCCCCTACCCCCAACACGCTGACGTCAATCCCTGCACCGAGATGACCACTTGGAGTAACCCCGCGGGGATGAACAGAGGGGATTGGTGGCGGGAGATGAGGCGACATTGTCCGAGGTGTGACGATATATGACTGGTGGCTGTAAATTAGGTGACAGGGGATGAGGGGAGGGAATGGGAGAGGGGGGACCGTGGGGATACGAGGGGACATCGGAGGAGTGGTGGCAGGAGAGAGAGTGGTGGATGAAGGAGGGAGCTGTGAGTAACGGACTGGAACCCTGACCCCATCTCGGCGTGTTGGTGAGGAGAGTGTCCGCTACAATAGCACAGCGCTAACCACTGAGCCACCACTCCACGGCATATACTGTAGTTACTTGGATCCCTAGACCAGAGGGTGGCACTGCGATTCGAATTGCAGTGCTTTCCCAGTGTCCTGGGGTCAACTTCTGAATCTCTCGTGGGCAGGATCGGCCTCAAGTCTGTAGCTGCTCTGGCGAGAGAACGTCAACACTGGGGAGACAAAGGTGGCTGGGTATTGTGCTGGCCACACCGCCAATGTCATGCAGCCTTGACTACCTGACGAGGTGCCTGCTAACAGCTGATGCGGTATAATTAGGGCCTCTGGGATATGAATCCATGCTCTGTGCGTGCCGACTCGGTGTAAGGATATCTGAGGTTCAGCAGCCAGGATGTGCAGTGTCTCTCTGACGCCACAGTGGCTTTGCGAAATTCGAATTTCCTCTTTTGTCAGCTTCCCTATTTATATGGCGGCAGCAAGAGGTTTCTGGGTTGACTCCCAACTTGGGTGCCTTTTTGCGTGAAGTTTGTATCTTCCCCTGTTCCGCATAGATTTTCTCAGATTTTCAGTTTCCTCCCATAGCGAACCTCCTTCTGCCCGCCAGACAATGTAACTCGTATTGGCCAAACAACCCAAATGCTACAAATTACGTGGAATTCACTCAATTGGGAGCATATGCAGTGGCCACATCACCCTCTACTGCACAACGCCTCTTGAAAAAAAGTCTTGAGACTCAGTGAGGCTTTCTTGGATAAACAAGCACGATAATACTGTAAAAAGCATTGGTCCTGCTACATTAGGTCAATGGCTCTTCTTCATGTGCTATGAGACTCACACACACAGCTACACCTACACACACACAGCTACGCCTACACACACACACAGCTACACCTACACACACACCTACACCTACAACTATACCTGCAAGGACAGACACACACGCACAACTACACACACAGCTATACCTGCAAGGACAGACACACACGCACAACTACACACACAGCTATACCTGCAAGGACAGACACACACGCACAACTACACACACAGCTATACCTGCAAGGACAGACACACACGCACAACTACACACACAGCTATACCTGCAAGGACAGACACACACGCACAACTACACACACAGCTATACCTGCAAGGACAGACACACACGCACAACTACACACACAGCTATACCTGCAAGGACAGACACACACGCACAACTACACACACAGCTATACCTGCAAGGACAGAAACACACGCACAACTACACACACAGCTATACCTGCAAGGACAGACACACACGCACAACTACACACACAGCTATACCTGCAAGGACAGACACACACGCACAACTACACACACAGCTATACCTGCAAGGACAGACACACACGCACAACTACACACACAGTTATACCTGCAAGGACAGACACACACGCACAACTACACACACAGCTATACCTGCAAGGACAGACACACACGCACAACTACACACACAGCTATACCTGCAAGGACAGACACACACGCACAACTACACACACAGCTATACCTGCAAGGACAGACACACACGCACAACTACACACACAGCTATACCTGCAAGGACAGACACACACGCACAACTACACACACAGCTATACCTGCAAGGACAGACACACACGCACAACTACACACACAGCTATACCTGCAAGGACAGACACACACGCACAACTACACACACAGCTATACCTGCAAGGACAGACACACACGCACAACTACACACACAGCTATACCTGCAAGGACAGACACACACGCACAGCTACACACAGCTATACCTGCAAGGACAGACACACACGCACAACTACACACACAGCTATACCTGCAAGGACAGACACACACGCACAGCTACACACACAGCTATACCTGCAAGGACAGACACACACGCACAACTACACACACAGCTATACCTGCAAGGACAGACACACACGCACAACTACACACACAGCTATACCTGCAAGGACAGACACACACGCACAGCTACACACACAGCTATACCTGCAAGGACAGACACACACGCACAACTACACACACAGCTATACCTGCAAGGACAGACACACACGCACAACTACACACACAGCTATACCTGCAAGGACAGACACACACGCACAGCTACACACACAGCTATACCTGCAAGGACAGACACACACGCACAGCTACACACACAGCTATACCTGCAAGGACAGACACACACGCACAGCTACACACACAGCTATACCTGCAAGGACAGACACACACGCACACCTATACGGACACAAATGCCTACAAAGACCCACCCCCCCGTATCGGGTTGCGAGCGGCAAGCGGCTGCGAGCGAGCCCGTCCCCACTCACCGCGCCATTCTCGAAGTCGTTGTACCAGGGCTTGTCGAGCAGGTGCTTGTCAGTGGACCTCTGCTTCCCACCAGCGTGATGTACACGTAGTCGTCGGTACCCGCGAAGTACTGCGTGCCCGTGGCCACGGTCACCACGTAGGCGGACATCGCCAGCGGAGCAGGGGCAGACGAGGAGGGCGAGAGACGCCGAGAGACGCCGACAATAAGAGGAACTCTTCCCACTCCGGCGTGTGCGCGAAGTGTTTCACTCACAGCGCCACCCGCCCCTCCTCCCTCCCCCTCCTCCCTCCTCTTCCCTTCGTGCAAGAGGCATTCTTCACCAGGCGGCATTCCTGAGATGAATGTCGCCCTCCAGCGCCGGTCGCCACGCCTGCTGACGAGATGCGCCCGCAGGAGACACCTCGTGTGTCCCGTCCCTCCAGATTAACACAAACACACAAATACAAAAGGCGATTACTACTTGACACGTGCCGTTAGGCGCACGGCTTTCCTGGAGTGCATCGTGTCAGCGGCGTTTGGTGCAACGCCAAGCAAGCGCGACATGGTGGCACCGGCTTTGAGATGCAGTGTCTGGTCAGCAGGCCAGGCGTGGCGTGGCGTGCTTGCTGGAGACACGGATCGCTGGGTGGGCTACTCTGTCGTGGCAGCTCAGTTCACGTGTTAGGTGGAGCCCTGTGAGCCATGCGGCTCTTGAATCGGGTGCAACCGCAACAAACACAAACATGAACAAGAAACATCTTATGGTGACTACACGCAACAGAAACATCCAGGAAAAGTATAACCCAACAACAACGTTTTTTCACTATAAATCCTTTATATGCGTGGCGGCTCGAGTCCTCTCGTCCTCTGGCTTGAAATGGCTGCCACCTATGGGTCAGATGATTGCATTGCACTATTAAGCAATTGGTGATTCAATATAATATTTTTGTCCTAAAAAGTGTACAATTTTGGAAAAAAATTTTCGCGAACATTAATTGGCACGCACAACGAGTCTGTGTGGAAAATGTCAGCTCGATTGGATCACGGGAAGTGGGTTAAAAAACGACCGAAAGATTAGCACGGTCCTAAGCAAGCAAGCGAACTTAATATAAAGGATTTTAAAAAAACAGCAAAGTTTTCCAGAAAAAGCACCGTATATCAATGTTGTGTATAAAAATCCCAATGGGATGCAAGTCAAACAATAACAACCCTAAGACATATTCTTGGTTCTTTCGGTAAAGTTACGTAGAAGCGAAATAATAAAATAATAAAAATAAAACAATAAAACCACACCTGATGATGATTGCTTGTGTTGCAATCGAAACGTCGTAATAATTTTATTGTTTTATTATTTCCCTTCTACGCGACTCTACCAAAAGAACCAAGAATATGAATCCCTGCAGTCACGAAAGCTTTAAATTGAGACCCTAAGACAATTTAGATTAAAGTTATCAGTATAACTCTGTACTACAACAAACAAATATGGCTAAATCAAAAGTTTTCGAAATGAGCTAAATGAAGCTATAGAAGCAATGTAACAGTGATCATAGGAACTGTGGCTCCACTTGCCT